GACGCCAGGTTGGCCATGCTGGTCAGCGTGGAGGGATGGTCCGCTCTAAGCACCCGCTCCTTGGCTTCCAGCGCTCGTTGATGCATCGCCTCTGCTTCACTATACCGGCCTTGCCAGTCTAAGACTAGTCCAAGGCTGTTGAGGCTGCTGAGCGTATCTAGGTGTTCTGCTCCTAAAATGGTCTCCCTGACCTGGAGAGCGGCAGAACCTATCTCGTGCGCCTTGTTATACTGTCCCATCTCGCTTGCATACCATGCCGCTTTAAAGAGCACTGACGCCCATGCCTCTAGCGCTTTTGCGTCCTTCGGCTGGTTGTTCACCACAGCTTGAGCGTGCGGAAACAGCGCCTGGCACACTGGCCAGTTCTCGGGTCGCCCTACCGGGTAGCTTTCGTCCATGAGCACTGCATACGTCGCCTGCCACAGCTCCAGTTTGTTGTTTAGCGCCAGCCACGTCTTGGTCGAGAACTGCACCAGCCGGTGCATCTCAAACTCAAGTCCGTCCGCGCTCATCTTAACTAGAGAATAGCTGGTCAGCGTATGAATGTCATCTTCAAAATCGGCATCCTCATCCTCATTCAGCTGGTACTTGTCGTGAAGAAGCGACTCCGGAATCCCCTGGCGGTCGAAGAGACTCATCAGCGACAGCAACCGAGCAGCCGTCGGCATATTGGTCCGGATATGCTCGAACGAGATCTGCCAGGTCGCGATGATGGAGTTGGACGCTCTGCCGTCCCTGCGGCTGTCTCCCACGTCATTTTTCAGCAAGCGGACCCGGTCATGGTCGCTTCTGCACACTTCCTCTACATATCGTGAGACGGTCATGCGCGGCGCTCTCTGCCTGACGAAAGCCGCCGCCTGCGTTATGGCGAGGGGCATGCAGTCGAGCAAGTGGACTAGTTCCACAGCATTCTTCTTGTCCGCGCCAGCCCCAAGCTTCTTCCCAAGAAGAGCCAGCGCATCGTCATCGTCCATCAGTTTAACCTCGATAACGGTAGCGTAGCTGCCCGTCAGCCTGTATGCTACGTCTTGGTTTCGAGACGTCACAAGAATAGACCCGTTCGGCGATTGCGGCAGAAAGTCCGATAGCGGTTCCGCTGCTTGACCCAGATTGCCCGCTGCGACAGCTTGGTGTCTAGAGAGTGGCGGGAAGAAGACGTCTGAGTCATCAGCATTGTCGACGATCATCACCCACCGTCCGTTGGACTCGTCGCACAGCCAGCTGCAGACGAGCCGCAGAACGTCCGCCTTCGGGTTGTCCCAGCCCTCCATCCTCGTCACCTCGGCGATTCTGTGGTATCCCTCCTCGAATCTCGCCTGCGTGCCCGCGTGCACCCAGAACACCCATGTGTCCGGTGATTCGTCCCGCACCTGGTAGGCAAACTCGATGGCAACCTGAGATTTTCTGTGCAGGCAATTAGTATTGATTCTACAGCTGCGAGCTGCAGCGCTCACCCAACGCCGCCGAGGCCAACCAGCGCCGCGCGCGCTGCAGGCCTCGCGGAGATCTGGCGTATCTTGGTGAGACTGTCGCGACTGACGAAGTCGTCGTCGCGCCGGAAGGGGACCGTCGAGGAAGGGGTGGGAGGCGGTAGGGTGTAGCCTGGGGACGGACGTTAGGGTGGATCGAAGCTACTTGGGACGTAAAAGAGTGGTTACCTGCTGATGGACGTAAAAGAGTGCTTACCTGCTGAAGGTTTCGATGAAGCAGCGGCATGGTATGTCAGCGTTTGGACATAGCCTCGAATTACTGCTGTTATCTTCTTCACCTGGGCGTCATACCGAAGGCTCCGCAGGGCCTTCCTGCCTCTTCTAGCCCAAGAATCACTTGATGCAGGCAGCGCGTTCTCAATTACTTCATCTAGCGCTTTTATCTGCACGCTACACCCTTCCACCGCTGGAAGAAGTGCCCGTTTGCTTTCATCCTGCAACGATCCAGCATCGATCGCGGCTTTCGTCTGACGGAGGGCATCTAGTAATACGGGCAACTCAGATTTGATGTGACAGAACGCTTCCGGGATCTCCGCAATCGTAGACTGATATTGGTTAAGCCGATTCAGAACCCGGGTGCCGAAGTCGATCAGTTGAATGATGTTGGCGACGATGCCGACCACGGCTAGTGCTTCGGCCATCGTCTCGACGTCTTGGAGTAAAGTAAGTGTATCGAAATGCAGACTTCCCAAGAGATAGTGAGAGCGTAGGGGCGATATCAGGCAAAGCCTTAAGCCAGCAGTGCAGAGGCATCTGGTCCATCTTCAGCTTGACGAGGCAGAATATTATCACGAGGCTGAGATAGACGCTGGCTGCGTTGCTTGGCTGTGAGCCTCGGCGCCTACACATCGGAAATACATTCAGCTGATACTCACCCTCCTTCATCCAAATTATCCGCCCATGGACTCTATGGCGTTCGCCATAGAGTCCCATAGAGTCCGTGGGGCGGATAGTCTAGGTAGTCGCAAATGGGACTCAGCTAATTATAGAGCGAGACCAGCAGTGAGGAGGACCGGCTGTTATGAACTTCTCGTTCACCTAAAGACAACTCCTAATAAGGTACCGAGAGGGTACTTGTATGGTTAGGCGCGAGCTTACCTACGAGGTTATGCCACGGGCTGACACGTGACACGAGGTACGTAGGGGTCGACGTTAGAACGGTTCCTAGTTATGCTTTAGTCGTGCGAGACTTATCCTGACTGAAAGATCGTCAATCGTATTGTACCTAAGTACAACTAAGATAGCTAGCAAGATAACTTAAGATTAAGTACGAAGAAACGAAAGTACAAAGGGAATCCTCACAACTTATATAGCCTTTCGCCCTTCATACAATTTAGTCCTGCGTCTCTCCGCCAAGAGGGAGCAACGAGAGCGGCTCGCTTGAGTCACGTGATGCCCTTTACCTTCTTCCTTCCTCGATCCCTGGTCCGGTCGTCTTTCCGCGAGTAGTTCCTGCCGTCCGGCAGCCTCTCCCATGCCTTCTTGTCATCCCAAGGTATCCCCTTCTTGGTCTGGGGCTTGTTCGTAACGCCCGCCGGCTCTTGTTACATCGGTTTTAAGGAAATGCAGCCCTAATATGTACTTCCCGATATGGTAGTGAGGCTCTGAGGCTCGGATAAGGCCCTTTTATAAGCATCAAAAGTGATAAGAGCTCGATAGTGGTGCTGTGGTGAAGGAATTCTGTTACGCCATGAAAAGATGTGCTCCGCAAATCAAGCGCGATGGCGACGATGCGACCGTAATTCCTAGTAGGAGGGGTCTCGAGTGTTCAGGAGCGGCCACCGCAAACAACTTATACAGAACTGTGGGAATAAGTGATGTGTGCACAGGAGCGACTTCATCGACACTACCATTCCTTCAATCCAATTATGATTGGCCGCAGATGATTTTCTGGGTACTCCCTCTCTTTGTCTCCTTGTTCGACTCCACGAATTCCAGTCACCTTCTTTGTCCCATTGTCCTCTACACGCCAGTCACAGTCACGCCTATCCAAACACATCTATAAAACCCAGTGCTCCCATCTCCCACCCTCAAACCCCCACTCATTCCAAGTCCCCCAAAACACATAGAGCAAGCTAACTCAACACAGACCTAAATGTCTCACGGCACCCCCGTCCCCTCCACGCACATCGCCAACCCCTCCGACCGCCTCTGCCCCTTCTGCTCGCGGCTCTACACCGCCACCGGCCGGCCCGGCATCCATGGAACCGAAGAAGCCGGTACCCAGCTAACATGCGGCCATATCTTCGGCGCCCAATGCTTCGGTCACTGGCTGGCGACGACCAGCAACATGAAGCGCTGGAGCCAGTGCCCGACATGCAACCTCGCGAGCGCACGCGCTGCCATGTTCCAAGCTAACGCGCTGAGGCGGCCGAGCCACGACGCGATGGACAGCGTGACGCCTACAGGCCCGCAGCTGCTTCCTGGGATCGGGGCCGCGCCCTCTGACCCCGGGCGGTGGTTTGCAAGGGGTGGCGGTGGTCGAGGCAATGGTAGGAGGAATGGTGCTTTCGCGCCGAGGCAGTCGAGCTATGACTCGATGGAGGGCGTGGCACGCACGGGTTTCAACGGCCCTCTTTCGTATGGTGGCGTACTTGAGGAGATTGACCCTAACAGGACGTATGCGGGGTTTGGCGGCGTCGTTCATGGTAATCGAGGGTTCAGCCCCGATGCTATGGACGTAGACTCGACGGGCCCTGCTCCTCTAAGTGGTGGTTTCACGGGACCTGCTGCTCAGAGTGGTTTCGCCGCAAGGCCTGCTCCTCAGAATCGTCGTGCCACAGGCCCTGCTCCTCCAGCTGGCCGTGTCTTCGCGCGTCCACGCGGAGGGTTCGGTGCGCGCTTTCGCAGATGATCGCTGCGGAGCTCCTGCGCCACGTCCTGTAGGAAGCAGATATCCGCATCAAACTATAACCTCTAGCCCCGTTCTTCAAGCAGCTCTTCCCAAGAGGCTGAGCTTGTCCGCTGGACGTTCTGCTCTTCAGGCTATATCGGATGCCACTGTCCGTCTACCTGAGAAGCATTCTCTCCCATGGTCACCAGTGCACTGGCGCACCAATAAGGTAGTCCGATTCTATGGTAAGTAATTCTACGGTAAGAAGCTCGCTGGCGCGCAATCGAGGCACCCTGGAGGTGTCCTCCCCTTTTAACGTATCTTCTGAGCGTGTCGACAGTGTCGTGAGCTAGCAGAGGTAAGTCAAGTCTGTGATGTCTGTGAGTGGTGATGCTGTAGATCTTTGGATGTGGTTCGGGGGCATGTGCATGAGGTGGCTTAGAGATGTATGAGGCTGTTAAGCTCAGAATCTGATACCTTGTGACGCGTGTGCTATAATCAGCTATTGAGCAATGACATCGAGAAGTGGTCTGTGAATAGGCCGCCGTTCGTGTGCTTTTAGCATAGTGGTACGGCTGTCTGGAGTGGCTCATAGTGGTGGAGCTAGATAGAAAACCTATTGAGCGCTCATGCCGGTTTGGGAGCTCTAGGAATTCCGTCCTAACATATACTGTACATTAGAGTCTTCACTCGTGTGCTTTAACATGTGGATTGCGCTGTTTGTAGTGCTTTAAAGGTGCCAAGGTGTTAAAAAATGTCAGATTTCACACCCCTTTCAACATCCTCACGTGATCACTCAACATCGTTCTAGCAAGTCATCAAAGGGACATCGCAACATGCGCTTCAAATTAGAGCCTGACGATCTTACTTTTGCTACGTAGACGACACTGCCTGAGGTGCCTCAAAGGTGTATGAGAAAAATTCGAAGGAAGAATCTACTGGTACAGAAATGTGTGTCCAACCGCCTTTCCCTTCCGTCACCCGCAATGCAACCGAACAAGGCAAGAAAAAGCATTTCCGCATACGCCATCCCTTTACACGTTTATTGGAAAAGAGAGAGAGAGAAGAGAAAGGGAATATGATGAAGAAAGTAAGTTGGTGTTACATGGTTGATGCCGCGTGGTCGGTCTGGCCATCAGCAATCGCCAGCCGCTGCTTGAGCGTCTTCGCTTTCTTCGACATGCCCTTGCCTTTGCGCTTGGGCGCGCCTTCGATGGCGGAGACGGGCGTTGCGGTGCCCGAGGGCTTTGCACTGTCGTCGGCGAAATTGCCTTCGCCTATGAGTGTGTTAGTTGAGTATTCGGGAAGTTGTGGAATGGGATGGTGGGCTTACCTTCGTGATACATATCGTCCAAGCTCACGTCGGCACGCTTCTTCGCATTCTTGCGTTTCTTGCCTGGCGGTGCAGCCGCCTCCGCTGCAGCAAGCTCGGCTTCCTTCTTCTCGATTTCAGCAGCTTGGTCGTCGTCAGCGAGCCACATGGCGATGTCTTTGGTGCGATTCTCGCGAGAGCGGGTGTTGAAATCGACTTGAGCGCCGGCGCCTCCAGAAATAACCACGCGTTGCACTTCTTCCTTCTGCAGAGCACGCTTGCGGATGCGCTCCTCGATGGTGCCGCGAGTGATGAGACGATACACGGTGACCTGTCGGGTCTGGCCGAGACGATGCGCACGATCCATGGCTTGACTGTCGATGGTAGGATTCCAGTCGGAGTCGTAGAAGATGACCGTGTCTGCAGCTGTCAAATTGATACCAAGACCACCAGCACGAGTCGACAGCAAGAAGATGAAGATGTCCGGACGGCTCTGGAAGTCAGCAACTGTATCTCGACGATCCTCGAGTTTGGTAGATCCATCCAGCCGGCAATACTTGTAGTTGCGATAGGTCAAATACTCCTCCATCAGATCGATCATTCTCGTCATCTGGAAGTAGAGCAGTACGCGATGATCGCCCTTCTTGAGTTCCTTGAGCAGCGCGTCGAGCTTCGCAAGTTTGCCAGAATCGGTAACGAAGCGGCGCATAGACGGCACTTCGATGTCGGTGAAGCGACCCTTCCTATTCGTTGGTGGTGGCAGCATGCTGGTAGCGGGCATGACAGCTGGATCCACTTTCGATTGGATGATTGCCTGCTCTGACTTCTCGGAGACACCGTACAGTGCTTTACGCATTGGCACATTGAAGAAATGCCTCTGCTTCTCAGCAATCGCACCGTGACTAGCACAGTAGAGCTCGATGGGAGGAGCCGATACCGACGGTCTGGAGCAACGATCAATGTTGTCTAAGCCAGTTTCCTCAAAAGCAGCCTTAGAGATATTGAGCAAGTTGTACATGTGACCCTCAGCAGTGATTTCGGCGAGAGGCACCCTGTCTTCCCGGCCGACTATGTTCAGCATGGAGCGCTTTGGCTCAAAGACCGAGTCATCGTCTCCGTCAAACACAACACCAAGTCGACCACGGTGTTGTGGCTGTTGGTGTTGCTCGATGGCTCGCTGGAAGATATCCTTCTTGGCAATGGCCGATGCTTCGTTGGCTGACACGTCCGCAAATCGGAGCCAAGAGAAGGCTCCTGCTTGACGGGAAGACTCATGGATATTGTTGGGGTTCCAAACATTCATGAGGTTGTACAAATACTGCTCTTTGAACCCGGCCCTGGAATTCTCTGGACCGGGGATGTCGAGACGACCTCCATTGCGGCACACAAGTTTCGGCATTCGGATCTCAATGAGATTTCGTACGGAATAGCTCACATTGATATTCTGGCCCTCGCGCATGAAGGAGGCAGTCTCGGCGAAGGATGCGAATGAGAGTGGTGAGTTGGTGTCGGCTCGTTCGAACAAATCTGGATGATTGCAGACTTTGCGGAATTGCATAACCAAATTCATCAATGTGGAACTGTCTTGGTCATCTCCGACAACCTTCTCGATCAAATCCATGATGCTGATTTTGTTGCGAAGACCACTGTAGTAAGCGCGTTGTCGATAGGTGAGATCGCAAAAGACATCCAGTTCGATCTTGTCACCAAGCTCCTTCTGGACGTGCTTCTTGATACGCCTAAGCATGAAAGGCTTCAGGATCATATGCAATCGCTTGAGTTGGTCCTCGTTCAGCTTCGTGTTGCTCTGCGCATGGCTCTCGATGTCCTTGGAGAACCAATCGCTGAACTCGTCGTGAGAGTCGAACAGACTAGGCATGATGAAATGCAACAAAGCCCAAAGCTCTTGCATGTTGTTCTGAATGGGAGTGCCCGTGAGAAGGAGCCGATTGCGGCAGTGGAAGCCCAACAAACTCTTCCACCTGGAACTCTGGGAAGACTTGATAGCCTGAGCCTCGTCAAGAATCATGTACTGCCAACGAATTTTTTGGAAGTACTGGGCATCTTGAACGACGAGCTGATACGAGGTGACCAGAACATGGAAGGAGGAGTCCTTAGAGTAGGTGATGTGCTTTCGGTCCCAGAATTTCCGCAGAATCTTGCGGTCCTTGGCATTCCCCCAGTATGGAAGTACCTTGAGGTTTGGAACGAATCGGGCGATTTCCTGTTGCCAGTTGTGAAGAGTGGAGGCCGGTGCGATGACCAAGAAGGGACCCCAGATGTTGTGGGTTTCAGCGAGATATGCCATGACAGAAATTGACTGGACGGTCTTTCCTAGACCCATCTCGTCTGCCAGGATACCGTTGATGCCCTGCTCATACAAGTTGACCAACCAGTTGAGACCTTTGAGCTGGTACTCCTTAAGCGTGCAGTTGAGAAGGGCGGGTTGTGTGATATCCATGCTCTGCAAACTTGTGGGGTTCTGGAAGTTCATCTCGCCCTCATCAAAGTCTTGCATCTGGTTGCTCTGGTCCTCTCCATTGAACGCGCGAGCACGATCCTGAGCCTCTTGAACAGCGTTCTGCGCGTTGGCCATGGCGGCAGCATGGAGGACGCTCTCATCTTCGGCGTCAAAGTCAAGATCCTCAAAGTTGGTAACCTTGCCGATCTTTGCGTTGGCGTCTGCGTCTGGTAATGTCACCGTTGGAGCGTTTGGATTCGCGGATATGGCGGTTTGAGCAGCAACTGCAACATCGTCGGTGGATCGCTCGACCTCGTCAGTCTTGACCTTCTTTCCGATGAAATGGGAGTACAGCTCGGTTTGAGAGATCAGGAAGTTGAGCTTGCGCTTCTGTCGGTTGGCTTCGCGTTCAGCTTCCGCTTTCTTCGCATTCTCCAGCTCCTGCCTCTCGGCCATCTTGCGCTGGTCTCGTTCGTCGCGCTCGTTCCGCTTCCAGAACGAGAGCATCTCTCGCATACTTCGCTTCGCCCGGGCTTGTACATCCTTCATGCTTTTGTTCGTACGAAGCTGCCATCGCCTAGCTTCCTTGGATGCGAGCTGGGCTGTCTTGCGAAGGTTGGACTGCTTTGTGGATAGCGAATTCTCCTTGATCCGAACAACCTTTGGAAGATCCTTCTTTGCGATGTCCTTCCAGATCTGATTGAACAGGTTCTGATAGGCCAGGGAGTTGTACTGCGTAAGAACAGCGGGGCCTGAGTAGTCCTCAGTTTGGCTGCGACTCTTGAGTGCTTCTAGGCGAGCCTCCTCCCTGGGCGCGATCACGGGCAGCTCATCTCCTCGGTCGATGGCGGCCTGTGCGGCGGCAGCAGCGTTCTTCTCGGCTTGCTTCTGTTCCTTGGTCTTCTTCAAACGCGTGCCCGTCCTTCCGCGCTTTTTGCCAAGCTGTGGAGTATCGTCCATCATCTGGAAAGAGCTCATGGTGCCACCCTCGAGGTTCGGGGCGTGCGGCGTGACCTCTCGTATGTCGTGATTTGCGGTGACTCCCTGGAGTAGCTGTTGGGTTGCCTTGGCCTTCTTCTCTGCCTTTTGCGCTTCCCTTACACTCTTCTCCCGCTCTTCTTCAGTCTGGGCAGTTTGACTCTTTTTGATTGCCTCCTGCAGCTTGATTTGCTCATTCTGGAGCGTCTTTTCTCGCCGTCGCTTCCGCTGCATCTCCTTCTTTCGTTCTTTCTCTTCGGCGATTTCTTGATTCTGAACTTCTTGCCAAGCTGCCTGTTCCATTGTGCTGCTGTACTGCGCTTTCGATGCATCGCGGTGGGCAGCAAAGACATCGGCAAATCTATTAAGCTGGGCGGTTCGTCGACGCTGTAATCGCTGGTTAGTACAATGCACGCACAATATGGCGGTTGAGAACATACCTTGCGCTTCTCCAATTCAACAGCCTCAACCTCCAGTGATCGTTTCTTTCCCCGTTGCAGGTACTCAAGACGCTCTTCGTCGAAGCCAGGGATATCCACGTCGCTCATCTCCGTGGTCTCAATGCGAGCCACTTCGTTTTCCACTTCCTTCTCGTCGGGGATGGGTATATTGCGGGCTGGAGGATAATGCGAGTCGCCGTTGAGAATGACTTGGTCAAACGGCTGACGGGAGACTACGATGGTGTCCGCCATAGGAAGCTCGGGGGGCGCGGGTGATGCGAAAACCTCCTGCTTGACCTGGAGGGCAGTTGTTGCGGCCGGCTTCGCAGGCATCGGGGGTTGTTGAGCTGTGGGTGGAGGATGGGGCGCCGATGCAGGTGGCTCAGGATCAGAGCCAGACATGATGCTCGAAAGCGACATAGGGTCTGCTGTTCTCGCGGGGGCTTGTGTTGGAGTCTGCGATGGTGTTAGTGACGGAGGTCGCAGTGAAGTTGATGAGAAACCTCACCTCAGCCGTCGAAGGCCGTCGTGCGTAGTTCTGTGGCGGCACCTGAACTGCTCCTCGACCCATTGACTGGTATACCGTTGGCGATACGGGGGAATGGGACATGGTGTCCATCGGCCCTGCCGGATGGGCGAGGGCTTGGGGGTGATGCAATGGCGAACGATGAGGAAAGGCGTTCGCGACGGGTGAATGATAGGGCTTGTCGTAGGAGGCTTCCGGGGGGCGCGTTTCAGGAAAGCCGTACGAGTCTCGATTCTGCTATAGTGAAGAGTCAGCGTGATGATGCAGGGGTTGCTGGAAAAAAGTTTGGCGGCATACCTGCGGCGTGTAGTGGCCGTCGAATCGCGGCGTGCTTCGTCCTACGGTCCTGTCCCCATGGTCTGAGGTCGGGTCGTAGTACTTGGAGGCGGTGCTGCTGAAAGCCGACGCGATGGGAGGCAGGCCGGTGGTAGAAGGCGAGGCTGGCGGCGGAGGGCGGGAGTGAGGGTGGTTATAGCTGGGGTGGTGAAGCGGCAAGGGCGCAGGCGTGTTGGGTTGCGAGTTGGGTGCTCGATGGGTGGGCGAGTAACTGAAAGCTGTTTGCGTGGGCGAATGGGCCGCATTGTAAGCTGGCGTTTCCCCTGGCATCCTGTCACGGTCTCGCGACAAGCCGTCGTCTGCTTCATCGGCAGGCCGCTGCAACACCGGGTTCCGGAACATCAGAGGCACAATCGCGGACGGCGTCTAGGGGGCCATGGAGAGACGACGTCGCCGGCAAGAGAGGATGCGCGTCTTCGCGGCCACGGCTGGCGGCGAGGCTGGCGGCGGAGCGAGGGCGGCGCGCGGTGATGCGGCGCGGGAGCGGTGATGAGCGTGGGATGGTGGTGATGGCGACGGGCCTGGGGAAATGGGCGAGGGAGGAGTTGGGGAGAAACTGCGGGCTTCGTGGACTGGATCGTGGCTCTCGCGCCGCTCGCGCTATGTCAGCTTCCCTGGGTCGTCGTGCAAATGAGCAGTAGCCAGGTCTCCCAACACGGCCGTCCGACTTTTTCCACGACGAGATGAAGTTGGTGTGACGGGGGCGCAAGTCAGGACGGGGCAGCGCGCAGATGGGCGAGGGCAGGCTCTGCGAGGGCGACAGGTCCAGCGGGCTCGGCCATGATTCGAGGAGGATGACGGCCGCCCTCTCCGCAAAGCATGAGGCCCCAAGAGCAACGTGATGCCGCCGTGGTCCCGTCCAGACCAGCAGCATCATTGCTCAGGCGGCGCGGCGGGGGCGGGCATTCACGCGCAATTATGCTTCACATTCTACACGGCGGTTCGGTCTGAGGCCTCGACACTCGTCGCCGTCGGGGCTGCCCGTCGGATGCTGCGTGGTCTAACGCGGCCCGGAGGAGGGCATTGTCTGTTCTTCGCCGTCACGCCTGCACCCAGCTCGGATATCGAACCACGGGACAGGCTGCGGAACGTCGCAGCCAGAGCCGTCGGAGAAGGGGGTGCTGCGGGCAGGCGACGATGCCGCAGCGCTCCAGCAGCCGCCCGGCAGCGGAGAGAGGCTTCTCATCAGGTGATAGGAGGCTCAAATGCCATCGTCCCTTCAAGAAGGTTGGAAGCCTGCGGCATATTGAGACCTTACTGCATTGAGATGGGGGCGGGAGTCTGGTTAATCCGCAGCCGGCTTGGCGCCGATATTTCGATCGCTGGTCCGTGCACATCCGCGATCTCACAGAACTTTTTCAGAGCGACCAGCACATTTACCGCCATACACACGACATCGTCGCCATGGCCGCAGTCTACAAGAGCTTGTCCAAGCCGGACAGAGGGGACGAGGAAAAGACGGCCGGCCCCAAAAAGCACAAGCAGCGCGTGCTGATTCTGAGCTCGCGCGGCGTCACCTACCGACACCGACACCTCATGAACGACCTTTACTCGCTGATGCCACACAGCCGCAAGGATGCCAAACTCGACACCAAGACGAAGCTGTACCAGCTGAATGAGCTCGCCGATCTGTACAACTGCAACAATGTTCTATTCTTTGAGGCGAGAAAAGGCAAGGATCTCTATGGGTATGCTTTTTTTTAATCACGTCTGGGCGGCAAAAATCTGGTCTCTTTGACAGTATTATGCGGTTCCAGTCTAACAGTATCTGACAAAATGCAGGTGGATTTCAAAAGCGCCAAACGGGCCAACTGTGAGTATTCTACGTGTCACGTGACCTTTCCCTATCTCGATCTTCTATCCGTTGAATCTATGATTTTGTCGCAAACTTTACTCTTGATGTCCTTGGACTTTTTGAACCTCTGTCTACACTTTATTTCTACCTGTGGAAGCGTCCAGGTCTCTCTACTCAACCAAACCGAAACTAATAGGGTTACTAGGTGAAAATGCACATTCAAAACATCCACACCATGGAGGGTAAGACTCATCCTGCATCAAATCTATCACTGCACACTCACACACCCAGAACTCCACTTTACCGGCAACTGCCTCAAAGGCTCCCGCCCCATCCTCTCATTCGACGCCGCATTCGACAAAACCCCCCATCTCCGCGTCCTGAAAGAACTCTTCCTGCACACCTTCGGCGTGCCCAAGACCTCCCGCAAGATCAAGCCCTTCGTCGACCACGTCATGGGCTTCACCATCACCGACGGCAAGATCTGGATCCGCGTCTACCAAATCAACGAAACCGCGCCCGGCAAGCCAAAGCCCACCGCCGACGGCGAGATGGAGGTGGACCCGGCGCCAGCCCCCAAAAAAGGCAAGAACGTCGAAACCAACATCAGCCTTGTCGAGATCGGCCCGCGGGTCGTCATGACCCCGATCGTCATCCTAGAGGGCAGCTTCGGCGGCCCCGTCATCTACGAGAACAAGGAGTTCGTCTCGCCCAACCAGATCAGATCGGACCTGCGGCAGTCGAAAGCCGGCAAGTACAATCGGCGGAGCGAGCAAGGGCTGGAGAGGAAGGTCAAGCGCGGCGATCTGGGCCTCAATACTTACGGCGGCCGGAAGAAGGAGAAGGACGCGCTGGACAACAAGGTTGTGTTTGCTTAGATATACCACTAACACGTGGACCCCCGTGGCGTTTCTTGGCGATATGGCAATTTCCTGGGATTGTATTTGGGACATCGTGGTCTTCGACGGGGACACCAAAAGCGGAACTGGCCGCATTGGGGGGGGCTTCTCAGTGTCTCTTCGGTTGTAGAGTCGCATGGTAGGTAGACTCGAATTAACACTTCTTAATTCCCATACACTTCCACAGTCGAGCGTGTGCTTGTTCAAGTGATATGCCTTCAGCAGCCGAAATATATCAAACGCAATTGATCGAATCTCTAATTCCATAGCTATTCTACATTGCTCATCGCTGCAGCGCGCTCACATCAAGCGCCCACGCTCCGGGTATCATAACTATATTCATCAATCATGCTCGCTCCCCCTTCCACAAACAGGACCAAAGGGTCCAAACCACACGCTTCGCATCTCGCCTCCTCCGCGCCAAAACCCCATCTACAACTCAATCGCATCCTCCGCACTCGTCCCCGCCTTCCCGCCAAACGCTGACCCAGAGCCCGAGCCAGAGCCCGAATTCGACGGGCGGGCGTACCCCCCTTCCTCCTCCTCTTCCTCACTCGCCCAATCCATCTCCTCCGCGCCCTCTTCCTCAAACCCACCGCTGTACTCGTCGCTGTACTGCCCACTGCCATAGCTCTCCATCTCCTCCCCAGCCTCATCCTCCGAGTCGACAAAGAAGTCCGGCGTCGGCGCCGCCTCCGGTTCCGACTCCACCATCTTCCCCTTCCCCTTATCCTTCCTCCCGATCCCCGAGGCGCGCAGCGCGGCGACGCCCTTCCCGTACAGCTCGCGCGGCACAAAGCGGCTCACGCGGCCATAGAACGCCGGTTTTGGCGCCTCGTTAGGTTTCTTGGTGGTGGATTTCGCGACGCCGTTGAGGACAGCCTTTTTCTGCTGCTGCTGCTGCTTCTTGGCGTCGGGTGGCGAGATTGTCTTCTTCCCGCTGGAGGAGCGGGAGCGGCTGAGATGGGCCAGCATCTCGCGGTAGAAGTGCTCGGTCTCGTCGAATTCGGCGTAGATGTTGGCGACTCTCGCGGCCATGGGGTCGGCGAGCGCGGCTTGCAGCACGTCTTCGGGGATGGAGCGGCGACGACGACCGGCGGTGGCCGCAAGGAAGTTGTTGATCGGCGAGGCGTTCCTGGCCGGGCGGTTGAGGCGCGCCATGACCGCGGCGACGCGGGCCTGGCGCTCCTCGTCTGTCTTGGGTGGTTGGGAGGAGCGGAGACGGGCGCGTGCGGCGTCATCGAAGAGGGCGGGAGGGCTGTGCTTTGGGATCCGGGATGGTTGCGGCCGCTTCGGCTTGCTGGAGGACTGGTCGCCTGGTGAGGTGTCCGTGTCTGCCTCCGTGGCCCTGCTGCGCTTGCCGGTAGATGGCTTGGTGGGGGACAGTGGTTCAGAATACCCAAGAGTCTTCCTGAGGAAGTATTCCGACTGAGTTGCGTCACTAGCCCTAGTCTTGCGAAGTTCGGCATCTACATCGTAGGGTTTGCGCGAGCGACTAGAAGTGGAACCAGTAGACGTCCATGACGCCTCCGGAGCTGCTCCGGATTGGGACTGTGTATGACCATGAGCGCTCTCACGCGTGGGACAATTGGGGCATAAGCAGTTGGGACATACAGAGTGTCTGTTGGCATTGGAGCCATTGGCGTTTGAGACACCGTTTGGTGTTCCAGCTTGACCTGCGCTGCCTTGTGAGGCAGGCCTGTCGCGCCTTGAGCGCCGCGACTTCGGAGGACCCATTGCACCATTCAAGGAGGAATCGATGTTAGAAACATCATTTAGAGGAGTCGCCAGCGAAGAAGCTTTGAACTTTGCGCGACGCTCGGCTCCGCGACGGATCAGCTTCTTCTTGTACGCGTTCTCCCACCAAAGTCGACCATACTTGACCGCAAGCTTCGATGCACGGAACTTTGCAGCTTCCTGGAGCGCTTGTTCTTCCTCGAGCTTCTTCATCTCTTCAGCAACAATGCCCTGCATGAAGTGTTCGCAGAACTGCTTCATGACGCCATTAGCCTCGTCCATGAATAGTTCCTCCGCGAAAACATCCAAGGCTCGATCTTTCTCGGCTTGGATTGCTCCTCTTCCGGGATCGAGTGGCGTGGGGGCTTCTGGTGGCGCCGCTTGCTGCACGAAACTCCTATCAGACTGCTCTGGTTCAGGCTGGGGTGCGCCGAACGCAGGCGGTGTTGCTAGAGGTTGTGTGGAGATCTGCGATGGGGCTGCTTGCGGTGCAAAAGTCGTAGCCGGCTGCTCTGAATCGCGTTGCTGTGGAGATAACACGGGTGGTGCTACTGGAACTGGTGTAGAGAACCACGACGGTGCTGCTTGCGGTATAAAAGCCGTAGCCGGCTGCGCTGATTCGCGTTGCTGTGAAGAAAGTATGGGGGGCGCTGCAAGAGGTGCTGGAGGCTCTGTAGGGGCCCATGATGGCGCTGCTGGTAGTGCAAAACTCGTAGCCGGTGCAAAACTCGTAGCCGGCTGCTCTGATTCGCGTCGTTGTGAAAAAAGCGTGGGCGGCGCTGCTGGAGCTGGTGTAGAGGCCGACGATGACGCTGTTTGCGGTACAAAACTCGTAGCGGGCTGCGCTGATTCATTTCGTTGTGAAAAGAGCGTGGGCGGCGCTGCTGGAGCTCTTGTAGGGACCAACGACGGCGCTGAATCAGGCTGCTGTGTTGGAGACAGCGAGAGTATCCCACCCAGACGTTGTTTTGGAGCTGTGCTGGGGGACTCCAAGGGTTTTGAGACGGTTCCGAAAGATACAGCGGCTTGCGGTGCTCCGAAGATAGACGATGTTGCCTGCGGTGCAGAACTCGTGCTGGACTGCGCTGATTCAGGCTGCTGTGTAGGAGACAGCGAGAGCATCCCGCCCAGACGTTGTTTTGGAGCTGTGCCGGGGGACTCCAAGGGTTTTGAGACGGTTCCGAAAGATACAGCGGCTTGCGGTGCACCGAACACAGACGGTGTTGCCTGCGGTGCACCGAACACAGACGGTGCTGCTTGCGGTGCAAAACTCGTGCCGGCTTGCTCTGATCCAGGCTGCTGTGTAGGAGACAGGGAGAGCCTCCCGCCCAGACGCTGTTTTGGTGCGGTGCTGGGGGACTCCAGGGGCTTTTGGACGGTCCCAAAAGATACAGCGGCTTGCGGTGCACCGAAAATAGACGGAGAATCAGAGCGCGTTCTGAGAGCCTCTGCTCCTGCTATAAATCTATCATATTTATTCTTCTCTGCGGAGCTTCGTCGTTGTACGATAGGCTCAGACTCGGCTCCGTCAGACTCTTCGTCTGAGGCAACGAACAGCGGCTTGTCTTCGGGCAAAACTTCTTCATCTATATTCTCTGTTAGTACATGTTCCGAATGAATTATTAAATTGGATCTCTGCGCTTCAAGGACCGACAAACCCTGTATGATAGCTGACGCCTTCCTCAACTCCCTCCTCCTACCAGCTTGCCTCCCCTGCATCTGACTTGGAAGCCCGTCTGGAGTTTCCAGTGGCCGGGTTCCGATAGAAGATGGGTCGACAAACTCTGAAGTACCATCAGCAGTCTTACAGATCTTGAATCCGTATTTCAGGCAGAGCGCCCGAGTCTGTCTCAAGTCCTCGAATCCCAGGATCTTCCCCATCTCTTCGAGCGTCCAATCTTCCAGCCGCTTCTTTCCGCCCTGCTTAAACCCTTTGACGAAAGACTTTAGGACCATATCCCGAATTGGCATGGCGCAGATCTCTGCGGTAGCTACCATTAGGAACGAGTACGAGTCGGAGTTGAGCCCTGACCAGAAGTCTGCCCAGTCATCGCGTGCGAAAGAGGGCGTCCTGGAGGGTTGTAGCGGGCCAATCTTCTTGGTGCCTTTCAGTCCGGCATTGTAGATTTCGACGGCTTTTCTGATTCTCTTGTCATTGACGATGTGGGGAGGCCACCTCGAGATCACATCCTCGATGTTGGGTACCGGACTCTTCAGGCATAAGATGACCTGGTAGGCGCGGAACTCAGCTTCGTGTGGAGACTGATATTTTTTGTCCCGATTGTCGCTATAGTAGGCATCTAGTGACAGCAGCGTCTTGTCCATTTGTTCGTAGTCCTGAGCCCAAGAGTAGTCTGGAACGTCTATGTCCGGGGCTGACATCTCGTGCATCGACAAAATATGAAATCGAACAATCTGTTCAAAGCATTCGATAGCGATCTTGACATCTTCGTCCCTCGTGACTTGCTGGATAGAAAAGTCATTTCGGATGGCGCGAGTCCTGTCCCAGATAAAGGTCTGTACATCTCTCAACTTGAAGTCATGGAGAAGCCCGGCAAATAGGTAGTCGAGTGTCTGCTTGAGGACCGTAGGCGGGCGAAGGTCGGACGGTAGCTGTTCTTCGTTGCCAGCAGCCGATCGCCTGAACTTCTTGACCATGCGGTACTCGTCGAATATTCGCGCAGGCCGGGTAAAGGTCAAGCTCATCGGTTCGTTCTCGTGAGCCCAGACATCGTTCTGGTAGATCCGCTGAACTCGCTCGTATTCCGGGCACATATCCTGACACTCTCCAACAAGTGTGATAGCATCTTCAAGTCTCCTAGGTTTCTCCGGATCTTGCATTTTCCCCGTGGCAATATAGTAGCGGCGCTGCTTTTCGCGGTTTTGTTTGAGCTGTAGCGCGAGTAAGATCATTAGCAGCAAGCCCCTCGATCGAAGAGGTGAGGCAGACGGTAGCTCACCTTCTCCCATCGCTGTTCAATGCCGCGCCTCTGTTTCAAAGCTTTGTCAATGAAAGACTTTTCCTCGTCCGAAGCTGCTCCACTATGAAGCCTTTGCTCCAATGATTGAGCGATGAAAGAGCGCTGTTCAACCAAAGTCATCTCACTTCCATGATCCATCTCTTCTTCCGTGTAGGCAGCTAGTCTTGTATCCTCGTCGGTGTCGCTCGTTCGCCCGCCCTCATCAACCTCCACAGTCGATGACCTCGACGTCGTCTGGTTGCGGCGCCCGCTCCACTGGGTATCGCGATTCCTGTTGCCGCGCTGTTGTTTTGAGCTCGATGCCGGTCCAGTAGGTGCATTCAGACCACCACGGTCTCTTCCGTTCCCTGTGGATCGTGGCGCTCGAAATGGATCCGCCGGCGGCATTGCGTTCGCTCCACCTCGTCTCGGAGCCCGGAAATTGTTTGCAGGACCGCCATCACTGCGCGACGCGTTCGAGTTTCCTCCTCGCCGTCCTCCTCCTTGGCCTCCTCCTTGGCCTGCTCCTTGTCCTCCTCCTTGTCCTCCTCCTTGTCCGCCTCGTCTCATCCTGGCGAGCTGCGGTGCTTGGTGTCGCTCATACGCTGAAGGCGGGGGATCGCGTCTGTGGTAGGGCAGCTCGCGGGAGCGAGCGGTATGTTTTGTGAACGTGTGCTGATGCAGCAGAAGTGGTTGTGGAAAGTTTCTTTGAGAATGGTGGATGGAGGATGGTGTCGCAATGAAGTTCAACAGACACGATCTTTAGACAGGGATCGGCGCCTGGCCTCGACTTGGCAGCGCACGGTCCCCGCGCCGCTATTGTTCTATTCACGACTCTCTATTGTTCGATTCACCGTCCTCTATTGTTCTGTTCACACCACCCTATTGTTCTGTTCACGAGTCTCTATTGTTCTATTCATGAGCCTCTATGGTGCTTTTCAAGATGCCGCCCACGGGTGAAACTTTACACAAGCGTCACCCACGTGATCCCCACGACATAGAGCAGTTCACTGATGCAAGGTGCCGATGAATACTAGACAATCTGCGAGAAACGATGAACGCCAGTAAACTGGCATGATAGGGGCCGAATAGGACCTCGAAAAGAATATCTAATCAAAATTCCCACTGGCACATGACATTCATTCTTTAAGCCCCTGGATACGCTTTAACCTGAGCATCTTGGACAACGAGTAAACTCGCTAGGCGACCTCAGACGGTGATATTTCATGTCACAAATCATCCCGCCTTCATCCAACAAACAGTCAGAATACCGAAATACACTCTTGTTCCATTATACTAGCCACTCAATAGCAGTATCCATCACTCATCACCGTAAACCTCTCCCTTTATTTCTCCCCCTCCCATCCATCCTTCCAGTCTCCAGTTTCTTCGCGTCTCTGTGTATTTTCCCCTTCCCACTCTGCCCCACACCCCCCAACCAAGAATTACCGAGACTAGGCAATACAATTATCATTAAACTCAATCCGAAAATCTACACATACAGGCCTACCCTGCCCTTTTTCCGCCTTGAAGACGCTCTAATAAGCGCACTTTTTGTTTATACACAAGGTAAACCCGTACGTATGTATGTATGCTGACCCTCATCGATGATAAGAAGGAACTGTTGCCATGATAGAATGAATAAGCGCAGGAGCCGTGTGCGCAGGGGGAATACCGTATAAACAGGAGAGGAAGCGCTTTTGGTGGTAGGATATGTATGCGATGAAGGACGCAAATGAGGTCGCTAACGGGGAACCGCCCAGAAGCAAGTTTGTCGTGAGGGTCGTAATACTGTTACAATAGGGAGTTTTGGACGTTAGGTGAGAATATTGGGGCGTGATTCGTAGAGATATGATCCAAATGGAAGCGAGAAGACGAGATGAAGCTCCGAGCGTTTCGATGTGCGGGTGTTGAAGCGGTCGTTGATGAATGTGAGGTGAGGGTTCCAGAGTATGATCGCAAAGAGACGAGAGCCGCCGAGAAGCATCGTGAGCAATGGTACCAGCACCACCCAAGATGATCTGAGGAGGAAGGGAAATACTTTTGTCGACCAGGGAGGAAGAATTCGTGGTGAAGAAATATATATATAGTTGGTTCAGTCGATGGCGAGGCAGGGAAACAAGAGCGAGGACCCAAATTGCCCGATCATTCCATTCTAATTGCGTTGATGCCAAAAGGGCCAGCCGTACAGCTATTGGTATTGATTGTGCCCATTCATTGGATAAGACTGGAGGCCAGCTCCCGAATTCTCGCGATAATTTCCCTCTTGAAACGGGCTCGATACGCTGAGCGGCAACGGGGTGTTTGCCGTCTGAAACTCGTTCGCTCCTGCCTGGCTATAGCTCCTAGTCATCGGTGGTGCCATCGACATTGGGCTCGCTGCTGTGACAGGGCCCTGATAGGAGGTAGTACTTGTCATCACGTCCGGCGCTTGAAATGAGAAGTTACTCCTGCCAGGAAAGATTGACTCAGTAACTTGATAATCGCCATTTAAGGAGTTATGCCGGGGTGGAAACGATGTGGACACGCTATATGTCGGCTGCAAATTTGGGTTGGTCTGCCAGCCGGTGAAGGGTGCAGGCGACTGCGGGATCTCGTATTGCTGATTACGGGGCATTTCGTAATTGATGCCCAATTCGTCGTATGGGCTTACGGAGGGTTTAGCATTGTAATCATACGAGTGGCGAGCTCGCATATGCGACGCCTCGAGGTCTGGAAGGCCAGTCGTTGTGGCACCATGAAATGATTGGTCCCGGAAAGACTGATGATGACCATTTCCATGTGGTAGCGTTCTTGTTGGCAATGTTTCTAGGGTGTGTCCACTCTGACTTATCATAGTGGGCATTGCGCCGAGGAAGCGTCTTGGTGACTCTGCAGGCTGGTGGGGAGATCGAATCCCAAGGCTCGAGTTATCGCAGAGGGTCAAATTTCTGGCGGGTGAGACGAGGTTAGAAGGACTGCTCCCAGTGCTAGGGCTTGCCATTGAAGTGGCACGACTGTCCCTTGCTGACACTTGGAACGATTTGTAGGTGCGCGCCTTCTTCCTGACATTCTTCTTGCTCACAGAAGGTATGTCGGGGGCTGTGACCTCAAAATCTGCGTCTGCAAAACGGTAAACAGTTTGCCAAGAAAACCTAATAGGAGGATAGTAACTTACCAATGCATCCAAAGTGATAATCCTCCTCGTATCTGGCAATTAGAAATATGCAGGAGAGAACGTCCTTTCTTCGTTGTTCACGCTCAAGCTCATTAGCATCACACTTGTTGGAGCAAAAGTACAGCGAGACACGTCTAGACTCAGCCTCAAGTTTATCCACCCAACCGCTACCACGGTCTCTGAGACGCAATAACGCAACCGCAACCGCAGTCCGGCCTACACCAGTTAGCTTTGTCAACACAGAAGTCTAGTGGGAGCATAGAATACCGGCCTTGTTGTTATGGTGCGGCTCAATGTACTCAGACTCTTCAATCGGCCACCATTTGGGAATCCGTGGACCATCCTTAGTCCTCTTGCGGCCTCCTTTAGGCGTCTTCCTACTGTACGGGAAGTTTGACTGCTTCTTTGGCTCTGCCACCTTGATCCACTCGGTTTCAAGCGCCTTCAGACTAATCTGCTGAAGTTGGTCGAGCAGCCTCTGGAGGGCCCACTTGACGCATTCGGAGTCGCTGATCTGGAAGGTGAAGTCGCCTGTGTGAGGCAAGGCTCGTTGTCTTGGAGCAGCTGGGGTGGCCGGAGCAGACATGTCGATGCTAGACTCAGCGGAGAGGCTGTGGGCAGAGTGCCGCCGTTTGCGGGGCGTTACATCGAGATTGCCGTTGTCGCGGTGAGGCCGAGGTATCGAGGAACGGTAAAGAGCTCTCTTCGTTGAAGGCTCGTCGTCGACACTGCCGGAAGCAGGAGCAGTTTCGGGCAGCGGGCTTGGAGGTGCAGCCTGGGGGGCTTGTTGGCGAGCGGCGGCGGCACGCTGAATACGCTGCCAGCCGTCACTGCGGAACAAAACACTCTTCTGGCGCTCGATGTTGCTCGAGGAATAGTACGACGCAGGACGCTTGGCGTCGTGCAGGATGGTCAGGGCCCAGGCGCAGCTGGAGTCTGTCAGGGCGGTGCGGATTGCCGGGTCGAGGGCGATCTGGTCATCGGCCGTGTTAGTGGGCGCAAGCGCCAACTTTATTCATCCACGCTCTCGAAAACACACGACGTCGTCCCGGACCAGCAAGTCACGCCGCGAACGTGGGGCGACGGCGGGAGCGGGAGCTAGCAAAGCGGGGCTGCACGTACCGATGGCGTTGGAGGCTGCTGCGCCGTTGCCGTTGTCTTGCCCACGGCCTGAGACGGCCCATCCTTCTGCTCGCTCGGGGGGGTGCTTGACTTGCCGCGGGGCCCTGGGCCAGGGATACTGCAGTTCTCGTCGTCAACGAGGACCATGGTAGAGCTTCTGCGGTGCCGGCCGGCGAGCGTGGCCGTGAGACCGCGCAGCGAAGCGAGAGCTCCAGCGTCGAGATGCCCCAGCGTCGAGATGCTCCAAGACACACCGACACCGACGGCGTTGTCAAGAGACGGAGCTGTGGTCAATCGTCAGTGTCTCCATTATCATGCCGCGAAGCTGCTGCTGGGGGCAGACGGGTGAGGGGAGAGCGAGGGCTTGCCGCCGCGCGTCTTCAGCAGCCGTTTTCAGCGTCCACGGCTCGAGGCAGATCCCTACTAGACCCCATCGCTCCCAAGCTGGCGGGACTTACTCCAACTGTCCGTTTCTCTCGTGGCCTCAGGCGGTTGCAGAGTGCCCGTGGGCGGCCTGCGAGCGGCGTAGAACGCAACAGCGGGTCTGGTGGCAGAGAAAAATACAGCGAGTGTCAGCGAGACGACCACACGTAGCCCCCTCTTCCCGAGCAGCAGCGGCCGAGCAGGTGATCGGGACCGCAACGAGGGCCACCGCCCTGCTCTGTGGCGATTGGTTGTGGGGAGAAAGAGCAGGCAAGCGAAGTGGCGCGACGAGGGTATTGCAGAGCCCCGGCTGGTGGACGCGGAGGAATGGCTCGCACGTCGACGCGCAGGGCGACCTGCCTTAAGAAGCTGGAGCCTAAGTCGACGTTATGCTTCCTGGAAGACGAGGCTGGCCGCCGTGCCACTCGCCCGCGTGCATCAACGGTACCGTGGAAATGCTGGACGATAGCTGCTGCGAGCGGCGCGAGAACGGCTTCTCGATCTCTCGTCACGGACGGGTGTACAGCATTTCTTCACGTCCGGCAAACATAGCGCTAAACTGAGTCAATCCTGGTATACCTCTTTTCTGGGCTAGTACTTAACCATCTTGAGGATTGATTGGCTAGAACGTTGCTATTCCTCCCTAAAGGCGTCCGGAGTTGCTCCCTTGTACGGTAAGTCTGTGGCTTGATATTAGAGAGTGACCACCGGACGTAAAGAGACGCTGTATGAGAAGCAAGCCGCCACGGCCAGGATGTTGCAAAACTCCCCCTGCACGGCTCGCACCCATCTTGCCGCCGCAGCGCCATGGTTGGCTGCCGGAAGCCGGTAGCTGTTCCGCGCGTCTCGTCGGCGTACCTGGCGCAACGACTGGCGGGGATCGTAGATGCCATGCAGCAGCACCTGGGGCATCCAGGACTTCCCATTTGCACCACCATTGCGTGCAACGCTGCACGGGTAGCAAACAGAGGTACATGTGTGCCGAGTGCCTCGAGAGAACCGGGTTCATCGTCAGTCCCGAACCTGCTGCCCAGCGTCGATCGCTTCACCATGCCGTCTCCCGCCTCTCGTCATGCCGTGGCCGGACAACCCAAGGAGAGTGCGGCTGCTCGCGGCTGCTCGGGTCTGCAGTCGTCGGGTTCCTCGATGCTCCCAGCCTCTCTGGGGCATCTCTGGCATATGCCCCCGTGTTTTCAGGAACTGGCCCACCGCTGTGTTCCCACGCGTTCCTGGATCCACCGGTCCGTCCCTGGCAGGCCATCTCCCTTCACCGTGACAGCCCTGCCACGCATCACCGTTTGCTAGAGCCGCGTCGTGACAGATCACATGTGACCGTTGACCGTGTGGGTCTGGGACACTGACAGGAAAGTGGAGCTGCCGCCACCGAGACAGAAAAAGAAAGGATAGGAAAGCCACACTGTACACTTACCGCCGGATCCCCTTGAAATTGGCATGCTGAGGGGTATTAAGTTTTAGGGCGGTGAGACTGCCAAACGTGCGGGCTCGTAAGATCTGCGTGAATACAAGATGATTAAATCTTTGAAGGTATATACAAATATGTTAACTGTATGAGCTGCTTTTTCCACCGCCCACGGGGCTAACCGTCGCGTAGCCTGCACCCAGGCTGTAGGCGCGTCTCCAAAAGAAATCCAAATCCCTAGCTGCTATCCTATCTATAGTCAGCTCTCGGGACGCATATGAGATCATTTTAGTCACGGCATGTAACAACCGTGTCAGCATCCGGTCGCCCTCTTACGGTTAAAACGCCGGCGCATGATGACGCTCACCCTATCTTGTTATTGCGTCACATCGAGGACATTGTTCAGCAGATTCGCCTCCTTGACAAGTTCGTAGAATAGGCCCTTGCGACGAACTAGCTCTGCCGGAGTGTCGAACTCAGCCACCGTACCGTGATCAAGCACGACGATCCGATTCGAGTCTAGAATTGTGTTAATGCGGTGAGCAATCGTGATGATCGTGCGATCCCTGAAAATACTGCTTCGGAGGGTTGTCTGCAGCAGTGCATCCGTTTCAACATCAACGGCAGCCTGCGAAATGTCAGAAATAGCAACGGATAAGTCTCTTGGGTAACGGACCGTCGCTTCGTCCAACACCAGAATGTTGCTAGGAGCCAGGAGGGCCCGCGCCAGGGATATCAGTTGTCTTTGCCCTGAGCTCAAGTTTGAACCTGTTGTTTTGTTCAGCAATGCTCTTTCAATTCCGAGAGTGTCAAGGTCTAACCTCCTTCGTTGATGCGAGCTTCGAGTCTGCCTGGCATGCTGGCAACATGATCTCGTAATCTCGCATGGTCTGGGATATGGTTAGCTGCAGCTCCCGATTGGAAATTTCCGATAAGCCCCACCTAGGACGCTCCATAGCTCTGTGTCATCGTGAACGTGACCTGGGTCCAGATTGTCTCGGACCGTACCCTCGAATAGCGCGGCATCCTGGGGAATAATCGCCAGTCGTCTGCGAAGGTCCAACAAGCCAATCGTACTCGTGTTCAAATCGTCGATACTCACGCAACCTTCCGTGGGCTCGATAATGCGGAAAAGAGCCATGGTGAGGGAGCTCTTCCCCGCACCTGTGCGACCCACAACACCAATCTTCTCGTGCGCCTTAATCTTAAGGTTAATGTTCTTTAGCACGAGATCCAAGCCTTCGCGATATCTCGTGCTGTAATTTTCAAAAGACACGGCGCCCTGAGAGGGCCAGCTTATGGGAGGTCGCTTCTTTGAAATTATCTCGGGGGCTTCGCTTGGCAGCGCTGCGTACTCCAGGACCCGCTCCACAGAGACGATGTTGGTTTCGACTTCAACGGTCTGACGCACAATCCAATTCAGTGACTGCGTGATCTGCAGTGCATACGACATGGCCAGACCAACCATACCAGCTGACAGGCCGCTATGGCTTGACACTGAAATGATAGCAAACCCTGCAGATGCCAGAATGATGACAGAGCCAATGAACTCCAAGCGCACGGCAAGCCACCTGTTGGCATTGATGGACGGGAAGTAAGCCCTGAGATTGGCATCCACGCGCCATTCATTCTCCTGGGCGAATCTAGGCTGCTGATGATAGGCGCGAATGGTGCTTATTCCGCTAAGCGACTCCTGGAAGTGGGCGTAGATGGGGCTTCTGCTAATGCTGTCTAGGCGCTTAAGCTCTCTACTAGTCCGGAGATAGTACCGCTGGATGTACAAGTAGAGGGCGCCAAGCGGGATGATCAAGGCGATGAAGATAGGCGTCGAGATGGAGACGACGACAAGGGTGAATGCGGCTGCGTGAGGTTAGTGTGATCAGATGGTGGGGGGTGTGCTACCACGAACCTCTGGCCGTGTTCACGAAGAGCATATTGAACGTTCGCCTAAATTACTCACGTCAGCCGCGCTTGTGCATGCCAAGATGAAACGTCTCGTCACTTACGCAAGAACTTCATCGACGCGATAGATATCACTAGGGGTCACGTTAGCGAGAGTTCTCGCTCGTCGCGGGCCCCGGCAGCGGGAGAGATCAAAACACAGCGGGCCGCCCGACGACGTGGGCGAATTCTATTTGTGTCTGCCTGCAGCAGGCATATTGTGAGCAGGGACTTACCTTGAAAAGCGGTTTAAGATCCTGCCGGCAGGTGTCGTCTCAAAGAAACTCATTGGCGAGCGGAAGATAGCATAAGCCATCCGCTCATGGAGCTTGCGAGAAGCCTAGATGCGAACGTCCGTTAGCCATGCACCAGTGCCAGGTGATCCATACAAGGGTAGGTTCCGGGATTACTCACCTCAATAGAGCAGAAAATCCAGAGGATGAGAGTTTGCACCACGACCAGCGTGGCTGACCCGAAGCCAAAAGCGAAATATACTCCGATGTATCGCCCCACGTGTGGGTTCCCATGTGCCTCGCCGTTGGCTTCAGACCACTGCTTGAGCCACACGCTCCCACCTGCGCGACCATTAGCCTCCGCTCCACGGCAAAAAAGTGACAGGTCTCATGTAAGGAAAGCTATTCCCGTTCGTCACTCACCGATCTGCGCCGTCTGAGCCCCTATAAGCATCACCGCGTAAATTGACACCGCAGCAAGATTACTCGTCTTAGCATATTCGCCATACACGTTCCATTTGACCTTGCCTTGCTCGGAGAACTCTTTTGTTTGCTTGCTCTTGAGGCCGGCGCCCTCCTCGTCGGTCACCTTACCGCGAGGGCCGTGGAAGGTAGCCGTGCTCGCGCGCCGGAGCGTCATGTTGCTTGCTTTGCGAGACGCACCGTTGGCAGGCCTCAATGGAGCCAGCTGGGGCAGTCCTCCTTGAACTGCCTCTGCTTCACCATCATCTTCGTCCTCTGACGTTGGGCTGGTGCCGTATACAGTAGTTTCCTCGTCGCTTGTGACACTCTCGGATGTCTTGCTGTCGGCCTCACTCTGATCTTCGTTCTGTGACGACCGTATCAGCTGAGCGATTTCACCCTTCATGGCCATGAGCTGATCGTAGGTGCCCTTCTCGAGAATCTTGCCTTCTCTCAGAAGCACAATCATATCTGATTCCATGAGGACCGGGATCGAGTTTGTCGCTAGAACTCGCGTCTTTCCAGCCAAAAGACCTTTCGGACCGAGAACATTATCAATGAGATGTCTTCCGACATGCTGATCCACTGCCGACAAGCAGTCGTCGAGTAAGTAGACGTCAGCTCGGGCGTACACAGCACGAGCAAGCGTAAGTCTTGCCTTCTGGCCACCAGAGAGTGAAATGCCTCGTTCGCCGACTTCGGTTTGGTCCCCGTCAGGGAGCGACGCAAAGTCGTCCAGGAGAGCGCATGCTTTGACAGTCTTGTCGTAGAACTGTGGGTCCCAACGATGACCAAAGACAATGTTTTCCTTGACAGATGCATTCATTACCCACGCTGATTGCGGTACATACGCAGTTTTTCCACGCATTACCACTTCACCCTTGATCTTCCAAAGATCCCCGAGCAATGCTTGCAGCATTGACGACTTTCCGGCACCTACCCGCCCAACAATACACGACAGCTCTCCCTTGTGTGCGGAAAAGTTAATGTCGTGCAGTGCTCTTCTTTCTTCGGCTTTGTTCCAGGTGAAACTCGCATCGCGCACGCGGACAGATTCGTCTCCGGTCTCTTCGACAGAATCTTCCCGCAACACAGCATTCTCCTGAAGTTCTTCCGCGAGCAGGAAGCTCGTTATGCGGCCAACCGCTACACTAGCTTCGACAATGGAGGTAATAACCATAGGAAGGATCGCCAGCGGGAACGTGAGCAAGTTGAAGAGCGTGAGTGCCGGGAAGACAATGTCTGTGGTCAAGGGGGTATTTTGTGTAAGCACGAAGACCCCAAAAGTTGAACACGACACGAGAAATGGTGTAGTGGACCAAGTGAAGTTGGCGAAAGCTTGAGTCGCCCCAATCTTTCGGAGAGTCTTGAGTTCCAGATCGTTCCGAATGTAGTTCAGCTTCTTGAAAAATGCAGTTGTCCAGGCATATAGCTTGATAGACCGCATATTGTTCAATATCTCGGTCATTAGCCGTGTACGGGAATCCTTGTTCGTCATCTGTTGCTTTTGAAGTGTCTTCATGATCCTGGCGATGAATCCGTTCACAGGAATCATAACGAGCATAGCGCCAACACCGGCAAACATGCTAAAACCAACCAACTGGTATAGAGAAAGCATACATAGTGTGATTTGAAAAGGTGCGGACCAGAGCTGCTGCCCATACTGGGCGAGATCCTGGAGTCTTTGGGTATCCACAGCCATGTAGTTAACAATGTCACCCGTAGATTTTGCAGCGCGGCCTTCATTTGACAGTCGCATTGACTTGGAGTAGATTGCAGCGGTCAAAGAAGACTTTATTCGCATCCCTGTTTCGAAGGACCGTTGAAAGTACTGGTGTACAAAGGCGGTTTGAGAGACTGAAACCGCGAACATTGCCAACGCAATCGCAGCTCCGCGAATGACCGGCTGGGGCTCGTCGCCACGATATGAGTCCACAAATACAATCAACAGCCTGAGTAGCTGGGGCTGAACAAAAGCCAGGGTGTCGCTCACTGTCTTGATGCACGCGCCTCGGAAATAGGGGGCTCCAAATCCGCGGAAAAGGGCCATCCACAGCGATGGATGCTTCTTCTCGAGCTCGTGATTCCACGCATGATTGAAGGATTCTGTCGTCGCTTTTGTGGTGTCGCGCTTCCGAAGATTCCAAAGGTCGTCCTGGGTGAGGAACGATTTGTACCCATACTTCATCATAGGTGTCATCCAGCCAAATGTCAAGACCGAGAAGACGTCCGCATACTCAAAGGGGCACTCATCATCGTCACCCAAGGCATCATATGCGCTGAGCTTTTTGGGCACAAGCCACTCCAGGATGAATTCGAGTCCGGCCAACGCAACGCTCACGCAGAACACAACAAAGTATGCCAGATGTTCTTTATACATCTGCTGGGAGACCAGTGATCGGACTTTGACCCCGAAGGCTATCAGGAGAAAGAGCCAGTAGAACAATACCACTCCATTGGCGTTTCGCGACCTCCAGTGTTCGATGTATTGTATGTAGAATATGACGCCTAGCGAGAGAATCGTAAGTATGGTTGTCCAGAATCGGAAGTCGCCCGCCCATATCCCGGTGAAGTATTCAATTTGTAGGGCAGCCTGTAACGCAGAGGTAATAATGAGAGCTCCAATGGTAATCTGGCAGGGTATCATTAGTAGATGGACTAGTAGTGCTTCTTTCATGGCAATGATAATTCAACCAGACGATGGCAATGATAAGATTAACGTACAAGCTTAGCATAGAAATGCCAATTCTTTGAGACAGGTTGGGCGGAGCACTTCTTGAAGAGGTACCATATTGCCGCTGCACCCGCAACAATCCCCCAAACAGCCACCACCGATATCCATACATCCAGAAAGCATGGCGTGAAGTCGTAGCGGTACGGGCTCAAGGGGCCCCATCCCTCGGCGTTACCGCATAATGGTTGCTGACGATCTTTTGTTGCGGCAAGATATCCGTGGGAGAAGGGCTTGAACGGAGTCAGCGGAGCCTGCAGACCGCCGGTGCCGTGCATTGATCGAGCGATTCGCGATGTACCAACTCCTCTAGCAGAGAAGTGGGAGTTCCGGGCGATGTTGGTGTCGGGAATGGGGACGTGGAGGCAACGACGAGAAGTCGTGGAGGAGCTTTGACAAAAATCGAAGAGATGCTGAGTAAGGACGCAGATTTAGCGTCGTCATAGAACGGTTTTCTGCGCATTGGCGGTCAACACCACTCTCCCGATCACGAGATGCCCCGACTGGCAATCCGACGAGCCGATTGTCGAGAAGTTCTGCCTAGAATCCGAATCAGCAGGCTCTCGATTGGCCCGCGCCACTATCCTCATCCCTCCATCATGCAGTCGACGCGGGGCGAGAAAGGTTCAGGCCCTCAGCCGATCCGAGCGGCTGTTCCCTGCTGCCGAGCAAGCCTTGCTTCAACCAACCGTGGACTCTGCTTTCCAAGGCGCCTTCACGATGCGCCCTAACATCCTCATCTTTTGTGTCAGTTGCGAAGACAGACTTTGCACGCTACATACGCTGTCTATCTGTCCTTCAAACGGGCTTACAGAGCGAGCATACTGTTGACTCGTGAAAGAACTCGGATCAAAACGCGGTGTGCAATGATCGACACAGAGCAGTCTCCAACTGCAAGAACAATCGGAAACACCAAAGGCATCGCCGGTTGCTTACCCAATATTTGCGCTACAAATTTTTGGTCCATACTAGTAGGAGCCTAGGACAAACCGTAGAACGGGGGATATCATGCATCTGTTCAGCGGCGAAGAAAGTCCTTTATCCGGAGCCATTCTGGTCATACTCACAGAAATCGAGACATACATGCCACCTTTGCAGCGATCCTGGGGTGACGAGCAGAGGTGAGGATACCATACCACCGGCTACATGATCTATAATTGACTTCCCGCCGGAATGGGCTTTGGCAATCCTGTTGTACACGTGTTTCGTCCGGCCACCATCATTCTTCCCAGCTGAGCTCCAGAAGTGTACAATCGAGGTTTGGGAGCAGCCACAGTCACACCGCACTGCAGTCGCAAACGCCTTCGACCTCACGGATCCTCAATGGCGCTAAGGTTCCAGTCCGGCAATGATAACGGATGTCAACTCTACCAGTTAAAGCATCACGATACGGACGACTTCACCGCGCATGGTCCGGTACCCCCAGCAGAATATGGCCGCAATGCCCTGATCGCTACTTGTTGCGACCCATCGAATCAAGATACTGCTAATAGAATTCAGCTAGATCCAGATTCAGATTCCCAAGATTCGACGAGCTAGCATGCGCCCTCAGCCAGCCCAAAATTCTCCAGCGCGACCAGGCGAGCCCGCACGGCTGGGGAGAGATCGAGCCTGGACTTAGCTCGAAAATGCTCGAAAATGCTCCGATATGCTCTCGCGTGGCCAATAGCCTAGGCCGTAGCATTCGGAGCTTAAAAATAGCGCTCCATATCAAGCTGGGACAGCGCTCGAAGCCGAAGTCTGGTCGCCTGGGCACTCCACTAACCATGCACCCCTCCTCCACATACCCGTCGACGAGCTGCACAGGGGTGCCGAACTCAGCTAACGTGCGTGCCTTGAACCCAATCGAAGCAGATTGCTGGCCGTTTTCGGACCAAGCTGGCCACCCCAACGACCGCAGCTGGTCCTTGGCGGCAATCGTCCCAGCAAATCTATGTACACCGAGTACTGACGCCCATCTCTGGCATGCGGCTGTGGACGGCAGATGCCTTCGCTGCATCCTCGCGCGCATAAATATCTTCCCGCTATAGCATTCATTCGCGGATGAGCGCGAGCTGGGTCAAGACGCAGCCAGCCTCCCTCGAACGCTCCGTGACGCTATGTGCCGCTGTTGTACAATGTCTGGCTTGCAGTGTATCACTCTTTCCCGGAGAGTATTTGTGCTTGGCCCTGGTCGAAGTATAAGTAGACTCGAGATCTCATCGTATATCATCATACTCCTTACTTGTGCAATCACCGCCTCAAACCTTCGAATCCCCCTGTATCTCCACCTCCACTCAACTACCTTCACCCTTTACACAACCAACCAAACCAACACCGAACAATCCACCTCACCATGTCCATCTCCAGCCCCTCCTCCAGCAGCAGCTCCTCTTCTCTTGTCGCCCCCTCCACCTCCCAAACCTACATCCGCAGCGGCATCGGCGGTGCCGGCAACTGGAAAAGAGCCGCCAGCATCCCCTCCGCCCTCCCAGTCCTGCAAATCAGCACACCCCGCCACGGCTCCTTCTCCTCCGGCGTCGGCGGCGCGGGCAACATCCACTCCACCAGCGCACGCCGCGCCCTCTCCGCCGACGAAGAGCGAGCTCGCTCGCAGGCCATCAAGCGCAACGCGCGCTCCGCGTGGCACACCGGCATTGGCGGCGCGGGCAACAGGTACATTCACAAAAAGCCCGCCCCGCCCGTCATGCTAGAGCCTTCGCTGTCCAGCTTCAGCAACGCGCCGCTCCCCATCAACGGGCTTGAGGTGCTGCGTCGTCGGCTGTCCAGCGTCCTTGTGTCGTTGCCGCTCTCCAGGTCACGAAGGTCTCCGCTAGACGACGGCTCGGACGGCAAGTCGCTCGTCTCGGTCGTGTGCTAGGATGCTGCCTGGTTGCGATACGAGGCGCTGGGTCAGGAGGTCGAGGACGGCCGTGGTACGGGGTCAGGGGCGTGTCTCGTCGATGTGGGGGTCCGATCTGTATGACTGTGGCGGCGGTCCTGGTGGGACTTGAGTGTATTGGCGGGTGGATGCCTTGTGGTAGTTTGTGCGAGCTTTTGGTCTTCGTTTTGGTACCTCGTCGCGCTTTTGGACTTGGGTTCAGGTGGCTTGAGGTGGATGTAATTGGAAAGGAATCGGGAGTCTGGGTGCTGGCGTTCTATTCACATGATATCCCTGGTCTATTGGTAGTTACTCCATTTGATGAATAGACACTTGTCTTCATTGAAGCATACCTTTGATCATCTATGATATCGGGATCGTGATGTGACGGATAGGAAGATAACGCCGATCAGAGTGAATCATCTATCTTCTTGCTCTTTCTCTTCTTACAGTCTACGGATACCCGGGCGCTTAGAACGTCTTGATGCTGCTCTCCTGAACTAGGTGACCTCGGGTGCTATGCGGTGCTATGGAATGGGTCTGTTGACATTTGCCTTCCACTGCACGAGACGTGACATGTAAATCGACTCGCAGCTTGCACGTGTAGGCAACGAGGGCTCGCCACAGTCATGGGCCCTCCAACGGACTCTTCAAAATTTAAACAAGAAGTAAATTTCTCAAAATGACTGTCTAACGACCTACCTGGAGGGCCCCAATGAGAAGTGAAGTCCACGGACCAAGATGCTCGTAGTGGACTCTCAGTACAGACTTAAGGGTATCCATTGACTTGGAACGCTTCCGTGTTACTGTCCTAAGCCAACACTGACAGTTGATCTCGCTTGCATGTTCATGTCGAGTATCGAAGCGGTGTCCTGAGAAGTGTCAATGTCGCTATCCGTGCTCGACATGGACCAGACGACTGTCAGGTTTCGTTGAACAAATAACAGCAGTCCCCGAATCTGTGACTCTTGCCAGATCTTCATATGCTTTAGATATACACTCTCTCTGGACTTGTGTACACTTGCCTAGCACCGTTTGAGGTGGTCTGGTGCGTTATCAAACACTGTAAAACGACGATCTTGACGAAGCTGATAGCTGTTCGAGCCACCTCAGACGGAGTCAGAATAGACTGCCACTTTTTGTTCAACGGACCCTGACTGTTCGATGATTCCACGACCTCTCTGTGCTCTTCAACCCCGCTTTTGCTCACGCTCGAGGAGTTCTCGGCAGGAAGCTACGAGGTCGGCGATCCGTGATCTCATTCTTGGAGCCGCTTGCTGACGCATGGCACCATTCCTCCCGCGCTCTTTTCACTCAATCCCAATCATCCCCACTGTCCTCCTCCGCCACCTTCCCCCTCCTAACGGCGGTCCCCTTCTTCACTCCTTGAACCTTCTCCCTCACCAACACGCCCGCCCGTATCAGCCTTGCCTCCAGATCCCTCGTAGTGAAAGTATCCGGCGTCCGGCCCAATCCTTCGAATCCAATAACACGGTCAACACCCACGCCATCCACAAAGGCAATGACGCACGGCAGGACCTGGATCTTCAACTTCGTAATAAGGAAAGGCGCATTATCAACATTTATGCGCACAATGCGAGTTTCGTAGTGCGTAGGTGCGAGAGACTGCAATCGACATTAGCCCAGCTCATCCCATACACCCCCAATCCAGCCTCTCAGTCCCCACCTCTCCTCATTCCTACTAACCTCAAGGTGCCCATCCATAACCGCACACCTGCCAAAATCGGGCTTGAAGAAATGCACCACGCAATACTTGGTGCTGGTCGTGATGTCCATGAGCGTCTTCTCGTCTTTTATCTCGGTGTAGGTTCCGTGCTCGGACGAGCGCAGCTGCTTCGCGCGATTGAACTCTTCGTGGAGTTGCTGCAGACGCCGCTCGCGGAAGGCGTCAACGGCTTCGTCGGCTTCGAGGGACGCGATCAGCGCGTCTTCGTCGCTGTCTGGGTCTGCCGCGGCGGTGTCGACGAGGTGGGCTACGGTGGGATCGAGAGACATGGCTGTGGGACCGGAGAGAGCTGTGCAGAGAGCTGAATGGTGGTTGGATTGGGTGCCTGCCTGTTTTGCGGCTGGTACTTTTTAGGAGAGTGGTGTTTTGGGGGATGATTTGCGAGGGGCAGTGATGGGCTAGCGGAGTTTGGCGTTGAGCTCGATCCAGGTGCGGAAGAATACCGTGTTTAGCTGATAAACGCAGGATTCAAAGCTGGTGGACGGAATCAAGCATATGATTGCTTGTATTCGGTATCGCATTAGGCATGTAATTCACGCCATGGAGTCTTGTAGGATTCGCCCTGCCGCCGGGGCTGACGAGTCTTTGAGAAGATGCGTGGATGACAAGGGGCGTTCGCCTCAAGGAAATTCAGCCCCCCTCTCCACCGCGATCTATTCCAGGAGTGCTCGAGACCATCCCTCCCGCCCTCACCTCCGTCCTTTGACCGCTTCTTCTTTCCGACACTTCAACGACGTGCTTTTCGTCTCCTCTCTCCTGCGCCTGCCACTCTGCACCAGGCCGTCCGCTCTTTGCCCGCGCCGCCTGCCTCCGCGCCGTCCGTGAACAAGCACGACCCCTTACCTCCGTAATCTTCATTCCTCCATCCCGCCATCATGTCCGACGATAAGAAGAGGGACGACTACGACGAGAAGACCAGCTTCGTCGACCGCTCCGCCTCTCCAATGCATCCCTCAACGCCGCGTCGCCAGCCGTCGCACCACTACTCGGTCGCAGAGAACCCCATCCTCCCCGTTCTCTCGTACTGCGCCTCGTCCATTTTGATGACCGTCACGAACAAATATGTCTTGTCGGGCGTGGACTTCAACCTCAACTTCTTCCTGCTATGTGTTCAGGTAGGCTATGATATCCGGTGAAGAGGATTCGCGGCATTTACTGACGGGATTTACAGTCTGTCGTCTGTGTCATTGCAATCCAGACTTGCAAGACAGCCAAATTGATCACGTACCGGGACTTCAACACAGACGAGGCCAAGAAATGTACCTTCTTCTACCTAGATTGTGCGCGTTGCGACTGACATTTGCGCGCAGGGTTCCCCATCTCCCTCCTCCTTATTGGCATGATCTACACGAGCACGAAAGCATTGAAATTCCTTTCCATTCCCGTTTATACTATCTTCAAGAATCTTACGATTATTCTGATTGCCTACGGAGAGGTCCTCTGGTTCGGTGGAACCGTCACCTCCATGGCTCTCTTCTCCTTTGGTTTGATGGTGGCCAGTTCCATCATTGCGGCTTGGGCAGATATTCAGCATGCGCTGAGCAGTTTTGGAGATGCAACGACTGAGGCCACAAGCGCCATCTCCACGCTCAATGCCGGATATCTCTGGATGATGTTCAACTGCTTCTGCACTGCCACCTACGTTTTGGGCATGAGGAAGCGGATAAAGCTGACCAACTTCAAAGACTTTGACAGTAAGTCCCCTCGCCAATTTCTTCTCATACGTATCCTGACCCCCAATTCCAGCCATGTACTACAACAACCTCCTCACCATCCCAATCCTCCTGATCGCCTCCCTCTTTGTCGAAAACTGGTCCAGTGAGAACATCGCCGCGAACTTCCCCGCCGACAAGAGGAACAGCCTCATCGGGGCCATGATCTTCTCCGGCCTCTCCTCCGTCTTCATCTCATACACCTCCGCCTGGTGCGTCCGCGTCACATCGTCCACAACATACTCTATGGTCGGCGCCCTGAACAAGCTCCCCATCGCCGTCAGCGGCCTCGTCTTCTTCGACGCCCCCGCTACCTTCGGCAGCATCTCTGCCATCTTCGTCGGCTTCGTCAGCGGCATTGTCTATGCCCTCGCCAAGGTCCGCCAAAACGCCAAGCCAAAGGACTCGCTCCCATTAGTGAACGCACCTATGAGCGCCAGCAGCCAAAGCATGCGGGACAGCTTCAAGTCATGAGCACGCAACTACTCCCCTTCCTACGTTCTTGCACTGGAGAAGTCGAACTCCCCAGGTCCTTCCCAGCAAACATATATATGCTCGGACGTTTACTGGGCAGGAAGGACCCTCGATAGCAAACATCCTAGGCGTTTATCCCGGACCCCTTTTACAATAATCCTTCATCTCATGAAGCCCTCTCAATGTCCCCCCCTTTTTTTCTTGTTGTATTTGTTACGCACATCGTAGCCCGCCGAGCTACCGATTCCTCGACGTCTTAGAAATGGTTGGTGTGGGTTTTGATAACATCCTGGTTCTGCTTCTTCGTTTCTTTTGTCTTCTGTCGTGGACGTTGCTTGGGAACATTGGGGCTTTTTGGAGGGAATGGTGTGTGGATTAGTGCGAAACTTTCTTGCTGCCAAAAAATGCTGGGATTGAAGCAGGTGCTCGTCCGAGTGTGTTTAGGGGGCTGTATTAGGGTAGCGTGGGTGTTGAGTAGATTTATTTTAATGGAGTTGATGTGTGTTGCATTTATCTACCTTTATTTTGTTTACCCGCTCAGGGGTGTCTCCTACGTCCAACTAATCTCCCAGTCGCACGATTGAGGCTCGTTCGAATCCTCATCTGCTATTGTTTACAGCTACCCGTCCGATTCCCACCCTTCTAGAATGTACATCCACACCCAAGAGAGGTAGAATGGCGCCAGGAATCTCCGAGTGCCACGTCTCTACCTCTTAAAACGCACAGCAGCACGCGATAAAACTAAAGGTAAAACGGCTACGGACACACTAACCATCTTAAACAGATATGCAACACCAACTACAACTACAAAAAGAAAATCAAAGCTCTATTATCTACCCCCCACTCCCCACCAGCGCGTCCACCTCTCCATCGTTAAAATCAACCTCGTCCTCGATATACGACTTCCGCTTCCGGAACTGCACCGCTTTCCTACCCCCCACCGCCGCCTTCTCATCAACGCCGCCGGCGCGCAGCTGCGTGATGATCTCAGCACCGCTATCGCTCTCCGATGACGACGCCGACGACCGCTGCGTGCCGCTCATATCAGAGGGTATCGAGCTGAGGGAGGATTGGCTATCGCCACTCCCCCCCCTCGCGCTCTTCACCGCCGCGATGGACGACGGCGCGGCGTCGGATACCGAGGCCGTGCGGGAGCGTTTTCGGCGCGCGGGCGGGGAGGGAGAGGACGAGGACGCAGAGCTGCGCCTTCGGGTTGCGGGCGCTTCCGTCATCGAGGCCGTGCGGATGCGTTTTCGGGTGATGTATAATAGGATAGAGTCTCGGCGAGCTTTTGTGGTGGTAGGGGGCGAGAGGGTGGAGGGGTTGGTTGGCTGGTTGCTAGGGTCTGGGATGGTTGGGAGAGAGAGGCGGGGGCGTTTTATGATGGGGAGGGAGGCGAGGGGGAGGGAGGCGGTGCGGGAGCGTTTGCGGGGGGGTAGGAGTGGGGGGGAAGGGGAGCGTGTGGGATGGGTTGGGCTGGGGGAATCAGGGTTGGAGAGGATAGGGGAAAGGAGAGGGTGAAGAGATGGCGATATAGACGCAACAGTCTCGCTGGCCTGCTCGACCGAAGCAGCCACTACCTCATTGGCCTGGATTTCGACGGCGACTTCTGGTGATTGCACAGATGGCGAGGGTGGAGAAGTGCCCTTGGGGCTTGCTTCGCCCATATCGGAAATGGAAGTGACTTCAGCATCTACTTTCTGGCCTTCGTCTTCAGGCTCTGGAGTTGCCGGCTTTGGCGTGGATGGTATCGCACCGACTTCTTCGGGGGCGGGAAGCGTCAGAGTGTCTTCGAGAGTGGCTTCAGTTTCCACTTTCTCGTGCAAGATCTCGTTCTGTAGAGCTTCTAGGGTTGCTGTGGTTAGAACGGCGCCGGCTTCCTCTGCAGCGGGAATACCGCCTATAGCTTCAGCCTCTAAATGCTCCTCCTTGGCCTCGCTCTCCGGAACGGTGGAAGTCAGGGAAGAAAGAATCGCACTGACTTCCTCTAGAGTTGGAGTCGCGAGCGCTGTATCTGCCACTTCTGGCTCTAGAGTCGGCACTGGCGAGCCCCGATTGGCGACGATGCTATCTGTGGTAGCCGGAGGATCTCCTGACTCTGTCGCGATCTGATACTTGAGAACTGTTTCTTCGGTTTCTGGCGGCGGCGTGATAGCAGGTATGTCCTCAGTGTTCCGAGGCGGTGCTGGAGGCATATGTTGCACCTCTCCTTCGTAGTCAGCCGTCTGAACTGACTCCACTAGAAGTGATTCAACAGACTCGAGAATATGTTCTTCCGCCGAGGCCACCACCTCTTGCTTCTGGGTCGGTTTCTGGAGCATGTTTTCGGGGCGCATTTCCTTAAGGTTCTTCAACATCTGCTCCACCTTTTTCTGCTGCTTCTTCTGTTGTCTTTCCCGTTCGTTGCTCTCCTGCCCTTTCAGCGCCAGTAATAGCACCCTGATCTCCCTCTCCGCAAAGGCCAAATTCGGCACCACGACCTTAACGTCCCCCCTCAACGGTCCGATATTCATCTCCTCTTCTTTCTTGAACCTCTCATGCCTCCCAGCCCCCCGCTTGGCCAACTGCCCACACCTCATCTCAACCCTCTCAAATTCTTCCTTATACCACTTCAACTTGACCTTCGCATGATCAACCACCCTTCTCGCCAGTTCCTCACACCTGCTCTCAGGAAGCTTCTCATTCTCACACCTCTCACACTTCTTCTCCACCTCAACCCTCTGATCCCGCTCGCCAACCGCGATGAGCTGCCACCCGCCCTGGAGATTCGACGGGTCATCCAGCGTCCAATACAGCATCAGCCACTTATGATCGCAAAGCGAGATACTCGTCTTCTCCCAATCACGGCTGCGATGGTACTCGCATCTGCCCCTACGATCGAACCTCCCCTTCTGATCGACAGGACGCAGAAGACACTCTCGACACGCCCGCGTCGGGACCATATGCCCAAACACTTTCGCCCTCAAGCCCGGGTCCTCAACAAACACCACCTTCCTTTCCCGCCACGGCGGAATTTTCTCTCTACCCCTCGCTGCAGCTCTCGAAAGCTGGGGGCGGAGCGGATCATACTCCTCCTCCTTCTCATCATGCTCTCCAATCTCTCCATCTTCTCGCTCTTTCTCCCTTCCGAGCTGCTCCTCAAGATCCGCAGGCAGCGCCCCAATCTCCTGGATTATGGCTTTCAGATCTACGCTCTTGGGGCCCACGATCGTGATGTCGCCGACCCTACCGCGCTGCTTGACCATGTCATCTTCTTTCTGCTGCGCAGCGGCGGCTTCGGCGGCGAGGACGGCGCGGCCCTCGGGCTTGCCGGAGATGGTGTCGTCGAGGACGTATTTGGCGATTAGGTCTCTGATGTAAACCATGGTGGGCAACGATGATGTGACAGTATCACACCAAGTCAAGCTTAATAAAAAATGAAAATGGGTCTGGTGGAGTTAGATTATGGGATATGCGTTGAACGGCACCGCGAGGACGATAGGGTGTAGATGCTCGCGTGACGCCGACACGTGTGTATGCGTTGTAAGTGTGCGTGGAAGTATGGAGTGAAGTTTTAGGGGTTTAGTTGTAGATTTGCGTATATTTTGGTGGTTGCGCTTCTCTAACTTCTTAAATTCGCGAATGTTCGGGTGTGTAGGGTATACAGAAGTTGGTGGCCGTGTCGGCGAGAACTGTCTGGAGCGGCTATTGTTGGCCTTTGTGACAATAGGACAAGAGCATTCAAAGACTTAGGTTTGAGAAGCCAACAAAGCAGGCGAGACATGATGTGTGCTTTGAGAACGTCCTTATTGTGGTCTTGGGGTGACCAACAATAGGATAAAGGAAGTTCGATGTTACTTATTGTTAGAATGAGGTGGAGACAAAGAAAGAGAAACTGCGAGATTCATACGACATCAAACCCATAGAGAACAGCTACAGTGTTTACATAAGGGAGGAAAATATCCTGTTCAAATCTGATAAACGGTCATGGCGCTTCTGGGTACCCTCGAGGCAGTCGTATGTCTAAAGAGAAATTGGTTTGTAGTGATTTAGTACGCCTTTCTACTAACAGCTTTATTAGCAATGCGGTAGATGACAAGTAGCTCGGCATACCCACAACCTCAAACCCCAATACGGGATGCATGATGCAAAGACAAGTTGTCATCTGGCCAGACTATCATTTTGATTCATTCCACATTACCATCATCGAGCCATCTACAAATGACTTCGTTCCTGCCCCCTCAGAAAACCAATTGAAAAGGCTTCCTCCCATGCAATGCAACTTTGAACGCCCATCCTTCTGTGCGAAACGCCTTCGCACCGCTCCCGCTGAACGTAGGAAAACAAAGAAGGAAGAGAAAAGCGGATAGTCCGGAGCGGAGTAGAGGCATTCCCAACGCAAATCGAGAGAGCAAATTGTCCCTTATAGTATGCCTTTTAGAGCCTCCTTTTGATGATGTGTGAGTGAGGTTGGGAACTTGATCCGTACTCCTATAACAAAGTCGCCACGCTCGGTTGGTTTCTTGCTCTTTGGCATACCGAGATTGGGGAAGCGATCTTCGTATGTAGGGGAGGTAGGGCCTGCGCTACCGACGTTGAGTTGCTTTCCGTCGATAGTCTGGACGGTGCGTTTCCAGCCAGTCAAGGCTTCCTTGAGGTCGATGTCGATGATGGTCTTGATGTCGTCACCCTCGCGGGTGAAGAGGGGATGTGCTTTCTATTTTCAAAGTTAGTGCTGTCCTTTGAGGAGATTTTGGATAAAGGGAGTCGTTGTGCATACCTCTTGGACGATAAAGTGTAGATCTTGCGTCCCACCCTCCACCTGATCTCCGACATCCGAGAACTTGATCTTGCTGCCAGCCTTCAAGCCCTTCTTGATTGGGACCTCCAAGATCCGATCCTGTGTGCTCTGCTTTCCCGTCGCCTGGTCGTATGTTTTACGCTTAATCTTCATCTTCTTCGTCGTGCCGTTAAACAGCTCCTCTAGGCTCACTGGCAACGGCTTCTCTACTACCGTCACCTCGGGCGTTGGCGCCCTTCTACCACCACTGTCGAACCTCGAACCCTTGGTCCCTCTCGCCGCCCTCGAGGACCCGCTCATGCCTGGCATTCCACCTGGCATCCCACCCATCCCTCCAAAACCGCCGAATCCGCCAAAGTCATCATCATCTTGCATGGTAGCCCCAGCTCCGCCACCACGTAGGAACTCCGAGAATATGCTCTCTGGATTCGAGAAGTGAAAGCCACCGGGTCCACCACCGCCGCCACCAGTCGAGAAGTGGAAAGTCCGAGTTCCACCACCGCCGCCTGGCATGCCTCCCGCACCCGGAAAGCCTTGGAACCCTGAACCGTCGAAGGCTCCGGACCCACCGGCAGAGGGATCAGGTGGAGGTGCGCCGCCGCGAAGGAGGAATTCGAGGCCGAATTGGTCGTACGTCTTTCTCTTTTCGGGGTCGGAGAGGATTTCGTACGCTTGGGAGACCTCTATAGTACACAAATTATGTTAGCAGATATACGACAACAGTGGTTTGATTGGCCGAAAAATGGATTCCAGAATAGGAACGTCATAGGTTAGAAGATATCACTTGCCTTTGAACTTCTCGGACGCGGCCGGATTGTCCTTGTTCTTGTCGGGGTGCCATTTCAGCGCGGCTTTGCGGTACGCTTTCTTGATTTCATCCTGTCCAGCCGACGAGGATATTCCTGATTGAAATCATCAGTATTTGCAAAATTCAAAATAGTGGAAATAAATGGTGGCATGAGGGGTGGAGGGGCAACCTTACCTAGCTGATCGTAGAGCTTGGTCTCTTTGACCATGATGTGTGATGGTGTGCACAATTGCTAGACGAGCTGCCGAGTACGTGGATAGCACTATGTAAAGCAGAGAGGCGTCTGTAGTAGTACTCGCGGGCGTCGTGGAAGAGTGAGAGTTGGCGGTCGGGCTGCGGGACTTTCAGGTCAACCGTAAATCGAGTCTCTCCACGTTCTTGGCACCAACCCCGGCGGCAGACGTCACTGGTCGAAGCTTCGAGAAGCTTCTATTCGCTGCAAAACAATTCAACGGTAACAAACAAGTACTCTGGAGTGTTCATATGTTGTCGGTATTCAAGAGCACGTATGTAGGAAAGCATGATAGTTCGATGAGGAATTTGTTTGTGTTGGATTCGTACGTTTTTTGACTAGTTCAAAGGCTTGCGGGCTGGCCATTGCTCTCGTCTGTCGTACATCCAAATAGTCCACGCTTTTCTCCGTTTGAAACCCATAGGCACACGCCGGACTCCTTGCTGTCCGCAAACGCCAGGCCCATGCCTGTACTGATATGGTACAATGACAGAGCTGATCCCACAGGAAGCCTATCCAGACATGCATCCTCCCGTCATCCCTCAGCTGAAAATCCCCTGAAGAACTGACCCTCGACATGAAACCAAGCTTTTCACAAGCCATACCTCTCACAGCACTGCTCGTGAACTAATCACTCTCGGAGTCCTCGACCTTCTCCTTTTTGACCTTCTTCTCTTTCTTCTCCTTTTTCTCCTTCTTCTCCTTCTTTTCCTTCTTCTTGCGTTTCCGCTCAGCTTTCGACTCCTCGTCACCGTCCTCTTCCTTGCGCTTCCGCTTCTTCTTTTCGCCGTCCTCGGCACCGGCAGAAGTCTCAATCTCGCCAGTAGGCTCAACTGGAGGAGCAGCCAAGACATCCATCTTGTCAGTGGTCTCAGCTAATGGGGTTGATGCTGCTGGGGGAGCAGGGGCACCGAAGTCCTTGTATTCTTTGTTCCATTTGGCAGGGGTGGCTTCATTTGCTCGTCCATATTTCTGTAACGATCAGTGGCTATCCTGCGAATGAAGCTGTCAAACTCACGTCGAGGGTACCATCAGCCTTCATCTTCTTCTTTTCCAACGCAACTGGGCCCATGCCCCATCGCTTCGGGTATAGATCGCGCTCCATGATGCATCTCTTGACTTTGGCAACAATACCATGGTCACAAGACGACATCTCCACGGTAGACATCTGTGCAATACCCAAGGCGATAGCCTCGCCCTTGGTAGTCATAAGAACAACCTCCTCATGGGCATCAATACCGGCCTCTATGGATGTGCATTAGTGTATTGTAGCTTAAGCATAGCATGAAACTTACCGTATCGGAGAAGTCCAGGAATCATGAGCTTGGCACCGTAGCAGATAGCGTTCACGGAGCTGTCCTTGACAACGATTCGCTTGTAGGTAGTCAGAAGGGTTTCCAATGGTGAAATGACCCTTCGAAGGTACGACTCGTCGCGGTTGTTGTCGTAGCAGTACTGTGCGTCGAGAACATCGTGCAGCGTGACCAGGCCCTTCTCTTCATCCATAGCTCCACTTCGCACTCGCCTCAGCTCCTGCATGTGAGCGCCCACTCCGAGTAGCAGACCGAGATGAACGCAGAGAGTTCGAATGTAGGTGCCAGCTTCACAGCTGACCCAGAAGACAGCGAGATGTCTGTCGTTGTCGAACTCGTAGAGCTTGCTCTCGTGGATAGTTCGGATTCGGAGCTGTCGCTTCACAGCCGAGATAAGAGGTGGTCGCTGGAAGAGAGCTCCAGTGAGGGTCTCCAGAGCTCGCGCAAACTGCGCCTCTCCACCGGGTAGTTCGTCATGGAGACGGATGACGCAAACGTATTCCTTTCCAGCACCCTGTTGAGACTTGACGAGACGCGTGGCACGATCGATGCAGACGATGAGACATCCGGTGACTTTGGGATCGAGGGTTCCGCTGTGGCCAGTCTTCTCAACTCTAACGAACCGGTTAGCTCAGGGATTTTGACGTTATACTGCATTGTAATATACCTGAGCATCCGCTTCACCCAGGCGACGACTTCGTGACTGGATGGGTTCGAGGGCTTGTCGAGGTTGATAACTCCAGAGCTAATGTAGGACTTCAAGTCGCGTTTGTGTGGAGCACATCCCATAGGAATGGGTGTGTAGTGGGCAGTTCTAACAAGCACTGAATAGCCTGTCAGCTTCTGCATAACTTGTGTCTAGGAAGGATTGTCCTCGTACGATCACTCCAGTTCTTCAAGAGGAGCGGCCAGTCGCTGGTGTCAAGCGCGGGAGCCGAAGCCTCAGGTTTGATGGTATAGTCGACATCCGTGGCAACCTTCTGCAACGCCATTTTTGCTGTCGAAGGGAAGTTGCGCGACAATTCGGGGATGGGTGCTTTGACGTGCCGGAAGCTTGACGGGTGAACCTCAAAAATTGAAGTTTTTCTGGCGCCAAGACTTATTGTGGTGGCCCGAGCTCCCAAGCTCTCTCCACTGTTCCCCTCACGTTCCATTCCATCCCAAGGTCTATCCAAACTCAGATTGAATTACCATCTATGAGAGACGCTAATGTATGATCGATGCCATAGCAATGTTTACTTGCGAGTATATTTTGTTTGGACTTTGGCTATACTTCTCACGGTGGGAAATCCTGCTCGAATACACTTTCTCTAAACTAGCAAGTACACTTGACGGTAAAGCGTTACGATTTATTGTTTTCAGCCTTTATCGTCGTGCGGTCTGGTCTCCTATAATGTGTTATAGCCAATCATTGTTCATTGCGGCCACTGCTCTCTCTGCTCCATCCTTTACAATGACGCGATCCAATGTATGCCTGGTAACCCTATTCTCCTTTGGTTGGATAGCTTCGAGCTCTATCCATGATCTCCGGACACTCAGAAACAGTCCGTTCAAATCAAGGTCGCTACCGAGATTATAGGGCTTCAGCAATAGAGTCTTCCTACGAGTTCTTTACTGACATTGGGCAATATCTGCACATCTTCTCCTCAAGCTCTCTATTACTATAGAGAGCTCATACGTTCAGCCTTTGACGCATTACGGATCCACTATTAACACATACAAGCATCAAGGATCTTAAGTCGCGCTACTTCTTCCTCTCACAGCTCGCATCGGAAAAGGGTATTTAGGTCCATTAGCACACCCACACGCATCTCCCTAGCCAGATTAAGGGGACTCCTTAATCTACAAATGCACAAGCTCGACAGCGGAGTGTTGCTGCGTTGCAAAGCATCAGGAAGTATTACATGGAATGCAAGACAACAAACACTTCCCTTCCATAGCTACTTCAGAGCTGTGGGCGCTAGGTTCCTCACAGTTTTACCTCAACGCTCTACTATCAACCAAGAATCTTGTTTTTCTCTCGGTCGCAATAAGAGCTGATGTCCTCTGCTCTTCTCATTCTGTCCTCCCTGCACTTGTTCTTTCCGAAGAAATACTGCAGTCTTCCTACCGAGCCTGACAAAAGGCGTAGCCTTTATGTGGGCACGGGCGATTTAGACAGGCGACTTACATGATGGCAAACTTGTCCTAGTATGTCAGCAAGGTGGAGAAATTATGAATCATTCAGCTCGGCGAATCATTCCGCCCAGTAAATTTTGGCCAAGCCTCTCCGAGGCACGAGTGTTTTTATGTCCACATGCACACGTCCAGACGTAGTCATAGGCCTCTCTCCGGCCCGGTATCGTACGACATACGACTGACGAATCAATACCCTTTGTCCGCGGTCGTATGCTGCCATAGTACGAGGCCGTGAGCGTGGAGTGCGGAACTCTCTGCAGCGATTCGAAAAGGTATATCGCCTTAAACGCTGGCTATTTGAAATGCGCGGCCAGGTGCTGCCGGCGCCGCTTTCATGGACGAAGATGAATCATGAGGGTGTGCTCGTGCCGTATCATTTCATCATCTCGGAGTCCAGGATGGAAAGGGGGAAGTCGAGTTCGCGCTGGATTGCTACGATGCGGTGGCTGAGGGCGAAGAAAGTGCCTTAGGACATGAAGGTATAGTGCTTTCTGCTAGCAGCCTTTGTACAGCTGGCGGGAGAGAGGGAGCAGAGGGCCGATTGACAGGGGTTTCTTGTGCTGAAGAGGTGTTGAGAGTGGGTGTGAAGGTGGGAGATTTGGAATAGGGATGGAGAAGAGGGCGGATTTTGAAGACATGGGGACCGTTCATTGAGGAGGCGAAAGTGGAGGAGGTATTGACTGTGCAGATTTCTAGAGGGCTTTTGTTAGTAGATCATCAATATAGCTCTTAGATTATTGTTTCATACGTCCAGGGAGTTTTAAAGCCTGTTACAGAAATATCTAATCCAAGTGTCTTGACGTTAGGGCTTGGAAATGTCCACTGTTACCACTGTGGTACATCTGTAGAGAACTGGATGTACATGCAAAGAAATACTTTGGGCTTCTGATAGCCCTCGTATATCAGTAACTCTTCCAAACTACCAGGACACACCTTGAAGGGTGCGTAAATACCATCTCAACGGAGAACCCCGCAGACAACGGCTCACCTCTTCACTCACCAAATTAAGATTCCATCATCCCGCCATCTCAAACAGCGGACTCATGCTTGATATGAAACAAAACCCACAATCCTGCGGTCCACAGAATCTCGCCATCCGACACCGTTCAAGACACCCACGTGCTAAGCGCTCCAACCACTCAAAACCCCCGGAGGAAGCTGGTGCGAGACAAATGCACAGGAGTGGATCTTTACAAGCTCGAACCCTACGCATGTACTGTATGTACACACGAACAACAAAAACACATCACCTCATCGTTCTATCCTGCTACTTCCCATTTCGCCCGGATCCCCTAAAATACTAACCCCTCACGATCCCATCATCAACCAACCCGAACCCCAACCCCAACACCAACATCTTCCAATGCCCCCCTCCATCCCCATTCTCGAGTTCCATACCCCAGCAAACGATCTCCACCCGAATCCCCCGAAAGGTTCCAAACTCAGATCTTCAAGCGACCGGAAAACCCCCCGCCCGGCCCCCCCTGGCCATCCCTAACCACCCGCTAAGATCCTTACCCAAAGCCTCCCAGCGCCCACATCCCTACACAGCACATCACAATTTTCCATTCCATCCCGCCAAGGTCCGGTCCGGGGGCACACGCGGGAAGCGGGGGCTGTGCGTGATATGGAATCAAGAATCGACCTTGTGCGCTTGCCAGCACGCGAAACCAGAACCCCGGTCCGCGCGGGCGGGCATGGCACCGCCGTGCCCTAGCCTAGCTGCTGATGTGCGGCTGGGATTTCGACTGCGTGTTGGACCTTCACGCATTCGCGAAACGTGACGATAAGCTGCCGATGTTACGATTTAGAAAGCGTGGTCGTGGTTCTGGCTTCCGTTCGTTGCCGGTCGAATGGGGCATTCAGATGTCTGAGAGGATTCGGTACGTGGGGCCAACGCCAAGCGGTGTGGTTGCTTAGGTGAGGTGAGGTGAGACGAGGGGATACGGCGGTGGAGGGCTGATTTCTCGTATTGGTCCTTATCCAACGAGCGGCTACCTAAAGTGCGCGTGGCGGCGCGGTTAGATCGGCATTGGACGGGATAGGCAAAACGGATAAGTTTGCGAGGGGGAAACGCATAGTCCAGAGAGAGTTGGAGGGCTTTTAATTAGGCCTATGCTATTGGAAGAAACAAATTTTCTACATCTTGGGTATAAGTGGGCAGAAACCAAATTCGGTTTATCCTCCATAAGCCGATGAGCCCGTACGCCATGCACGCCGTAAACCAGATAGTTATCCTGATATGCTGACCGCAGCCTGGTACTGTTATACACCTGTGGCTTATTACGCCTGTTTCCATGCCCATGCCCCAATTCTATAACCCGGTGGGATGAGTTCCTGGAAATGTGTGGTATCCTTGCTGAATGCAATTCAATGCTTCACTTAGTATCGTGAACCGGCGGTTGACTCCTCTTTCAACCCTGTAACATCCTCCGCATAACTCTCGACATCGGCCCCTTGTGACCGGACTTCTTCAGCTCCTCCTGCTCGTCGATTGCTTTGTAGTATCCCTCCATCTGCCACCGCTGCGCCTTCATAAACCCCATGATCTTCTCACTCTTACTAAATATCAAATCCCACCACTTTTCATGCATTGAAGCGACACCTTCGTCGAAATCGTGGTCGTTGATTGATCGGATGTTCCAGGTCGTCGGGATCTCTCGCCATGGCATGGCGCCGTCCCAGCGGTGGGCGTAGTTGAGCAAGTTCTGCTCCATGTACTTCGAGTCGAAGCGGCCCTCGATGTCGAGGAGGGCTTTGTAGTAGTTGAAGATGGTCTCCGAGGGCTTCAGGATGAAGAAGCCCGCACAGAATTTGCCATACTTTTTTAGCCCGTGGTCCCAGTCCGGGGGGTAGCCATGGTCTTCGTTGAACGTCTCGCCGAAGGATGCGAGGAGGTAGTTCTCTGGCAGATCCGGCTCGTCGTCCTTTGCGGTAACATTCGTGAGCGTCGGCATGATCTGGGCACCTGGCTCGTCGAAGATGCCATCAAGCGGCCGCTGCAGGACCATGTCGCTGTCCAACATTAGAATCCGCGAGTACTCGGTCAGCTGCCACACGCGCAGCTTGGACATGATGTCGCTCCAGCGGGATTCGGAGGGGTGCAGCCAGCCGTCGTTGTTGCCGTGGACAAACTCGATGTGCTTGACAATAGCACCGTCTTTCTTCAGGCGCCAGATGCGTGATTCGGAGACGTCGGGGGTCACAACCACCACCACATCGATGTTGTTAGTGGTGCGTGTCTTCTCGTTGTGCAGCAGCTGCCATACTAGGAGGCGGGTTGCAATGAAATAGTTGTCTTCATCGAGGTTCTCGCTGTTTTCGCCGACGACGGTGCTGGAGAGCCAGGTCACGTAGGCCAGGCGTTCTGGGCCCTCTGGGATATCTGGTGGGGCGGCGTGGTCGTGCTCTTGCTCATCCCCATGGTCGTTGATACCAGGGACATGATGGGGTTTGGGCGAAGGGGGATGCGGATGGTGATCTGGGCGCAGGTGGCTGTCGACGAATCCAGCAGCCCTGTCATGGTTGAGGCCGAATATGGCGATGAGGACGATGAAGGCCACGGCAATAGAAATCAGGACGCGGGCGTCTCGTAGGCGGGAGGCCATGGCGATGTTTTATGCAGCACGAAACATGGACGGAAGGAAAGAGCAGGACACAAAACGAGCGTGAGGGTGAATGTGAGGTTGCAAATTTGGCAAGGCTTCGGGGCGGATTTGAGGAATAAAGAGTTTCTATGAGGCCGGAGGGCAGCTACGTACTTTTAGGCCAGCAGCGGCAGGCTGTGGCTGGCAGCGGGAACTAAGGTTCACCGCACGGGGCTTGGTATGGGCAATTTCATTGGAAGAGAATGAGCAATCGGAATGGGCTGACAATCGGCGGGAATGCACCTCTGAGGCGAGTGAGCACCTCATCCCTTTGCTGATCAGCAAAGACCCAGGGGCGGTCTGCGAGAGCGGTACGGCGCGGGACAGTACGAAGAGGCAGACAAGCAGATGCTGGAAACGGCAGCGCCTCTGCAAGGTGGTACAGACAGCAGGACAAAGGGGGGGTCACTGGGGATCTCTCGTCAGGCTCTCACCACAGCGTGTCGGGGGCAGACAGGCGTGGAGAGAGGCGCCCACAGCGGCCCGAAAAGCCACGACACAGTATCTCGGTGGTGTTTGATTTGGCATCGCCGCCAAGCCGTCCAGGAGCTGCGCATCCGTGGAGATGGTTCTGGTGCCGGGGGCGTCCGGCAAGGAGCACCTGGAGCTGTGGTGGAACTCACTGATATCGGGGCGTCACCACCACACCGAGATCCCTGGCCCACAGCTCCTCGTGCATGCAGTCACTCTGAATAAGCGTTTCAGCGGGCAGCACCAGCACTCTGCGCTGTGCGCGTGGGGCCGTCCCAGCGCGGCAAAAGTATTTTTACCTCCAACGCGTGCGGCTGTGCCCAGGTGCCCGCGAAGAAAAGACACAGTTGCGGCGTCGAGTTGCCTGCGTCCAGCGCCCAGCGTGCCAGGCCGTCTTGGGACTGTTGCTAGCCGGAATGCCACGCCGAGCCCGCAGGTCAGGGTGCCATTGGCCGTCGCGCCTCTGGTGTCGCTGCATGCGGCATCGCGCGGGGATGGCCGCTCCGCCTCGACTCCTTGCTGGGCAACGCCGTCAGCCCGTGTTTGGCAGTGGAGATTTGCCTGCACCTCGACGCGGCGCTATATTTACTCCTGCCTCTCACCCACGCCGCCTCCTTGCGACTTTGTACATCTACACCCTCGCCGCCCGCACCTCTGAAAGCCACGAGAGGACCGCCTGCCACCGAAGAGGCGCCTCCTTGCTTTACCAAGCTGTTTGCCGCTTTCCTTCACACCCTCCTTTCACACCACCGCGCCGCCGCATGATGCCCGCATAGTTTGGCCAACTTACCCCGACACTCGCTTTTCCCGGGCTATCTTCAAACAACACTTTCACCATGGGTGAGTGCCCGTGTTTAAGGCGCATCTGCACGAGTGTTCGTCACTGACACGGCGCCGCAGAAGAAGAGAAACGCGCATCCGCCGAGTTCCTCATGGACGAGGTCTCCCCACGGCCCTCCACATCATCGCTCCCCCAATTCGAGAAGACTGCGACCCCTACCCCGCCTTCGACGAAGGAGCAAATTGTGACCTGCGCCTGGATTGCCCTCAATACCGTCGCTACCATCTGTCTGATCTTCCTGAGCAAAAAGTAAGCGCAGCCATGGGGACCTCGTATACCGGACTTCGTGTACCAGACCTCGTGCTGACACCACCACAGAGTTTTCAGCGATGCACAACTCAAGGCCTGCCAGCTCATGGTGGTGATGTGGCATTTCGCCGCGACCGGCCTCGTTCTCTACATCTCCACTCGCGCGCCGTTCCGCGTCTTCAAAGCCGTGCGACTCTCGCCGTGGCAGATGGCCCCCGTCTGCGCCTTCTTCGCCGGATATGTCATCCTCGGAAACCTCAGTTTGACCTACAATTCCATTGGCTTCTACCAGCTCGCCAAAGTCATGACCACCCCTTGCGTCGTGCTGCTCAACTTCGTTCTCTTCCGCAAAACCATAACCCGCTACATGCTGGCTGCCATTGTCGCCATCTGCATTGGTGTTGCCCTCACCATCCGCGCATCCGCCCAAACCCAACTCTTCGGTGTGATAATCGCCGTCATGGCTTTCACCTCCACCGCCCTCTACCAAATCTGGATCGGCAAGAAGATTGAAGATTTCGAGGTCTCCGGACCCCAACTCCTGCTGAACCAGGCCCCACTTTCCGTGATCCTCCTGGTTCCATTTGTTCCCTTCTTCGACAAGATGCCCGATGTCCACGCCATTCCCACTGATATCATTCTCGCGCTCTGTGCCTCTGGCATCATGGCCAGTCTCCTTAACTTGTCCCAATTTCTCATCATTGGCCGGACATCTGCCTTGACCGTAAGCTCTCCCTCCCAAATCCCACTCTCTTCGAATCTCGCTAACAACCCCCCAGTTCAACGTCGTAGGCCACCTCAAAACCATCCTTATTCTCTCCTTCGGCTGGTACAGCGACGGCACTATCCTCTCCGACAAGGAAATCGCTGGCATCGTGCTGGCACTTGGCGGCGGTTGGGTCTACTCCCATCTATCCATGAACCGGAAGAAGTAGGAAAAGTAGTAGTCTTCACACAACAAACAAATTTCCTTGGTTTGAATAGGCTTGGCATAGCACTTGCATAGCATATGTACAGATACAGATACGGCGTGCGTTCGGAGTATTAGAAGTGGTGGTTTGACGTCTTTCACGAAGGAATATATCCCGCGTTATAGCGGAGCGGATTGAGCATTGTCTTTTACGCGGTTTCTGGGCGATACCTACGTACGCTACACTACACTATCATGTCCAATGGATGTGGGAATAGATGATAAAAACACTTTGGAAAAACTTCATAAGAGAGTCCCTTTATTGATGTGATTGTGAAACGATCGGAATCGAGCTGCATATGTACCCCTTGTAGAAAGAGTTCCACAACAGTCGATATCAGCGCACCCGAGGAAGATGCCAATATCTAGGTTCGGGCAGTATCCAGCTTGTCTACCTTTTCCCCAAAGCGATAAAAAGCATTTCCAGCGAAGTATGTTAACAATCTGCAAAAGAACATTGCTTAAGCTGCTGCAAGTGCTTTGATAGATTAAGAGAGATTGTAATAGGTAAAGCTTTATTTTTACGGCTTGCTGAACTGCTGTTTTCCGCGCGCCTGACGCTGAGGTCCTCGAATGATATGTATAGTAGTTCCGACTCAAAAGGTGAGTTACTCTGTTAAAATTCATTTACTTCTAAGTCTCGTAACAGAGCTCCGAACCCTAAGCTGTGAAGTCATCAGAAGACGTTCATACGGACTTCACGCTTCACCATCTACAAAGCCCTCAGTATAGCTAAGCAGTCCTACAGCGCCCTAAACCTGACCACTTGCCACCTTCGTCTTTGTCAGACACGAGAACACGAGAAGAGGCGGACGCCTGTAACAGCATAGTCTTACAAGATCAATCTCAAACACACCACTCAATCTTCCTATCTGCCGACAGTCGCGATTCCGACCCTCTAAAAATAGCACTCTCATATATCCTATTCTCCATGCGTACGAAACACTGCAACTCCGAACCCCATTCCCAGCCTCCCGATCTCAGAACCAACATCTCCGACCAGCAACAGACCCCAACATGCACGATACTAACCATCCCTCCTCGCACCATACCACCTACCTCAGCCCTCCCCCTCAGCCTTTGCACCCTGTGAACCCACGCGCTCGTAGATCTCTCTCACAGCCAACCTCAGCAATCCGCTAGAAGCCCGCTAGAAGCCTTACACCTTCCACAGCCCCAACTCGCCATCCAACCACCGCGCTCCACCTCCGCCTCCTGCTCCGCCCGGTCCACAGCCTTGCGATCCCCCTTGTAGGCTGGAGGCCGTAAGACGGAGACGCTACTAACGCCCACTCGGGCAAGGACCGCGCTCGCCTGGACCGGGAACAGCATCCTCATGACGCCAGGGCGTGTGGGAGTGTGTGATGGCATTCGCTCAGGTTTCTGGGGGTTGGAGGGGAGGGGTGCGAGAGGTGGAGAGAGGCAGAGGCAGAGGCAGCGCAGGACGGGACGACGAGGCAGATTACGGGGCTTGAGCCCTGGCCCTTTGCTCTCACTCTCGCACAGCCAGATAACATAAATAAGCAACCCGCTTCCCGCTGCTGAGGAAGACTTAACTCGAATCCTCATGGGCCTAAAAACCTATATACACACACACACAACTCCTTTCCTACAGAACCTTCAACTCTTAGCTACCGGTCTATGAACCACGAGTCTTTAAACCTCAACCCTGCAGACGTTGGAGAACATCCATATCTTTTCTCGACCGCGCTAGTCTCGACTTCTATTCTACTACACCTCTAGACAAACATCGAGATCGAGAGAGAGAGAGAGAGAGAGAGAGAGAGAGAGAGAGAGAGAGCTGTTTCCACGTACCCGCCCAATCTAGATACTACACACAACACACTGCGCCCTACATCATCACAATGGGCTGCGGCGAATCCAAATACGATACAACCTACCCGCCCCCGCGCCGCGCCGGGAGGCGACGAGGCCACGGTGGATACGCTGGTGGAGGCTACGTGGCTACTAGCGGCGGCGGTGGCGGATTCTTTGGAGGTGATGGGGGAGGAGGAGGAGGGGGGTTTTCGGGGGGTGATGGTGGAGGAGGCGGCGGCGGAGGCGGAGGCGGAGGAGGAGGTGGAGGAGGAGGCGGAGGGTGTTAAGAGATGAGGATGGAGTGGGGAAAGGGCGTTTATGGGATTGGTTTGGAGTTTGGCGGGGGAGTTTTTAGGTTGGATGGGTGGGGAACGGGGATGGGAGGGGGGATGAATGTACGCTACTTGTTATGATATCCATGACTGTATTATTTTGTTTGCTTGATGAATATGCGAGACTCCGGCTTTCACGTGTGAGGTGTTTAATGTGTAAAATTGCGCATACTAGAAAGGTGTGAAGTTGGGTTTACAGTAAGATACATGTGCACATATAGTATGGTTTAGACACTGCTAATTATGCTTTTAATAGGTGTTTACAAACGTCTAGAGCACACAAGATAAGCATAGCACAAAAAAAAGAACATCTGGGGAGCAAAACACCACCCTCTTTCGAGGGTGTAGCCACCCCGGATGGGGTTTCTCTAAGTCCGCCCGCCCGCGGTAGTTTTCAATCCGTCATCTTAACCGGCGTTCGCAGACGCCTCACGCACCAACTGCATACATCCTCTTCACCAGGCGTCCAAGCCTCTCTACGAACCAGGCCGCCCGAAGTCGGTTCCCTCAGGCGAACCCAAAGGAATGCTCCAACTTTTTAACACCGAAAGGTCGAGTCGAGAATCGAACCCGAGACCAACTACAAGACCCAGGTGAGGTTTGTCGACGGTAGTTATGTGCTGAAACTACCTCGGGAGGTAAATGCCTGGACTCCGGCCGCGGGCTTACACTCGATGAGGCCGACCTTACCAATTGAGCTGCTGGGCAAATTAGTGATTAGGCTTAGAAAATTTCGACATATGTAGACTAGCTGAGGAGAGGGTCACAAGCTCACATGTGAGAGCGCTTTGCTTTACGTCACCGAGGGCATCTCACCTGTGCGGTTCTTTGCGCATTGCTACGGGTTCACTTCACCGGATGCTTCTCACTTCCCTGAGGCATTTCGCTGCCCGCAAGGGCGCTTCACCGAATGGGTTTGCCCAAAGCCCGTCACCACGCGACGGCTAATCTCCCGGCCAACAAGAAGGGAAGACATAAACAACCCGCCTTTTTCAACGTCGAGAAAGATGCGACGACGCGACCACATCACCTCAGGGCAATATGAGGCGTTGTCAAGGAAATGAGCTGGTATTTCATTGCGGGCAGACAGGAGATGCGATAAAGGAGGTAGTATCACTTAGGTGTGAGAAGAAAAATATATAGTAGTGATAGAAGACGCTCGCTACATTAACCTCCCTCCCAAAAAAGAACACATGTGAGGAATTGAGTCACCTAAGCGCGGGGTCGTGGATGATTGTAATTCACGCGTGCTATTCCTACATCGCGTTTCTCTACATACCATAGCCTGAGAGGACTGGTTCTTCCATCTACCTGATGCTGACGGGGGTGCGCTGTCAGGTGACCAAAGACCCGGAAAGAGTGGAAGTCCTACTTATCTCCAGGAAGCCTTCATCTCTTCCTGAGTGGCAGTCACCCATTTAAGCGCAATCGAAGCTGGGTTGAAATGAGCTCTAGCTTGATTCATGAAGTCGTCGTCCCCTCCCTCGACACTCGTAATCGTCACTTCAACCTGAGCAGCTGGATGTCGAGCTACCCAAAGGTCTAGCGCCAGAATGCTAGTGTGGTAATTGTTGATGTACATTTCTGGATCAACAACGCGATCGATGGCGTCAAACCGGAGTATGATCTCGACGACACTGCCATCGTATAGTCGGCTTTCGATGCGCCTTAAGGGGGTTGCTTCAGGACTCCCTGTATAAGCAGTCGGAGAGTTCAACGCCCGACCGAGTTCGCTTCTAGAGGTGACCTCCTTCTCTTTCAGCGTGCGGACCGCGCTGAGAAGGGAAACGAGGGTATGTAGAGCTCGAGGGTTGGGGATAAGGAGCTGTGTTAGCCTTGGCTTCGACACAAGTCGGTTGATGCTGGCTGAAGCCTCGTCGTAGACTTCGTGACAGGTGCGGAGAATGGCGGATTCGTATGTCCAGTCATTCCAAGTGACGGTGGAGTGAGATGTCCGAAACGCCCGGTGTGCAACACGTGGGATGTGGTCGTATACCATGAGTCGGAGCTCTTTTGGCAGGCCTATGAAATTGAAGCTTTGCACTTGGCGTTCTGGTTGTGGGCATCTTTGTTGGTGACCGGTACTGTGGAAAGTGGGCTCTGGTGACTGAACGATGCTGTCGCCCGTGTACCGAGTTTCACAATGCGTTTTGAGTTGGGCCTTATGTTGGCCCATGATGCTGATATTGCTTTGATGGTACCTGAGTAACTAGTTGCCCAGATAGGTATAACCTGGAAATATGTTAGCTACTTGATTGGACAGACGGAGACATCCGAGGATGTCGATGATACTCACTTGATGGCGAGATAGGTAAGGGCTGGCTGTTGCTTTCGTTATGTGGCAAGGAGAGGGTTAGTCGTTGGATGTTTGTGCGAGATGGAGCCTTTTAACAGAGATCTCGGTACCGATGGTTCCTGCATTCACCGCTCAAGCTTATGCTATCACGAGTCTACCGTGGGAATGGCGTGCTCGAGGTCCAAGTATGACAGGGACTAGCATCCGCGGTCAGAGCACCAGACTCAATTGGGGCATCTCGTGGAAACAGGACAAATCATGTCATTACCCCAGACGATCTATGAAACGCACACTCGCAATTCAATTGACCAAAAACCAAAGTCATTTCTCTCCGTCGGGCAGCCGAAACAATATCCCGCCGCTAACCTTACCGTTCCATCCGTAATCCGTGTATCAAGCGCAGTCCCCATATCGTAGCCAAGGAGGACGTCGCATCAGAGCCGTGTCAGTATGCCGTAAACCATCAGGATTGTCTTGTCGCTGCGGCGTGTTTACAAGGTCTTGTCAGCCTGAGCACGCAGGTTGGCTGAGGTAGAGCCAGTCTGGGTGAAGTAGCGGGAGAAGATTGGCTGAAGGAAGGAGCGGAAGATGATTTGAGCACCGCTGTGCGGAGTTAGTCGGTAATTCGGGAAGCTTTCTAGCCAGGGAAGCCTACCTAGTCTGGGGAAGAGCCATCCAGAGCACAAGGACGAACTTGAAGGTGTAGTAGAAGGCTGGGGTGTATCAATATCGCAATTTTGTTAATTTGAAGAGCGAGAAGACCTACGGAACCAGTAGACGGCGTTGACAGCACTTTCAAACACACTATATTATGTTAGCGAAATGTAAGTGTAAAACAACGGAAATTGCTTACGTCAAGAATGCGTATGTCACCCAGTACTTGAGCCTTGGTCAGTACGTGTTAAAGGTTATAGCGAGACGGGGGCTCGACATACCGTCAACCACTGGAACAGGTTAGCGACATCCAAGGTTACAGAACAGCTAGATAGCCTCTCTTCAACGTCTGAGGGGTCTGCTTACCTGAGTATCATCAACCTTGGAGGCACTGAACAGCGCATTCAGAGAGTAGTATCCGGGGATGACGAAGCCGGCAATGTTGACCAGGAATTCACCAGCGATGTTGAAGAAGATCAAGAAGAAGTACAGGGCGCCGAGACCGAGGATCACGTAGACCTTCGGAACGGACGTCTGCTTCTCGAAGTTGTTCAGGATCTCATACTGGGACAGCTGTTGCAATCAGGCGAGTGAGCAAGACGGCGGAGGTTGGATCGTACGCTCGGGAGGCAGAAAAAGGGAGCCGGCGTACCTGCTTGTCCAGCTGCGACAGGTGCTGCTGGGTGCGATCTTGGACAGACATGATGAAGGCTGCTTGTGGTGATGACTGTGGGTGGAATGATGTGGGCTGTAGTGGTGGTAGTTGTGGTAGCTGTTGAGAGTGGCTTGGTTGAAATGTGGAGGAGTTGTGTGGGGGGGAATGGACACATGGATAAGCTCGTTGGCCGGCTACGTAATCGAGCCTTTAGGTGCTCCAGCTTGTGTGCGCCTGCCCTGAAACATGTGGCCAGCAGCAGCCGCGAGTTTCGCCTCCGATCAGACATCATGCAATCATATACACCATGTCTAACACACCCGCACATGCTCAATAAAGTACGAAGAAAGTGGACATAGTCACGTGATCGCTATTGAGCTGTGGGAGCTCCATAAGTTTGCACAAATCCTTCGCAAGCTGCGCGATAAGGAGTGGAGCACACCCAAAAGGCCACATATCAGAGCTGCCGACCTTGAGGAATGAACAAACGCTGTCAGCAATACATACGTAGTAAACTAGGCATCCTGATCAACTACGCCACTTAGGTACTACAGTGATGCTAGTGTATGTGAATAAATGGCCGTGAGTGAAATACCCTTGGAACACAGAAATTACACGGATCTTCACTATGGATACTTCAGAACATGAATATAGGACTAAGAAGATGTTTGTTCAACTTCCGCAAGCTCTTCCACCTTTAGGCGCTGAGTGTTAGAGATAACGCACAAAAAATGCTAAAATGGTCACGTGCCGTGGATTGTTCTTGGCTAGGGCCAGGTCGTCGCTTCCCCGACAACCCTCACAACAAACAAACCTCCTCAACACCACCTTTTGACCCCACGGCCACACCGACCGCCGCATCTCTTATTAACTTAGCAGAGGGGTTTGCTCGCACTCTGCCATTACCCGGACACTCGACCCCGAACCGCCCGGCTTTTCCGGCAATAACAATTCGACGCCGTCGCCCCAGGTACACATAATCATCCTTCCACGGTTCAACTGCCTTAGCGTTATTCGACAACACAGACGAGCCGCACTCATAAATTGAACTCGTAACCTCTTCACAAAACTACGTGGGCAGTTGTCAGCACATTCACCACTTGCGGCGCATCTTGTTTGTTTACTCTCGCCTCGGGCCAAACACTGCTCCAGCGCTGACCTCGACTCGACATATCAGGACGCCCACACAACGCTGGCCGCGGACAATAAGTATGAGCAACACAGGCCACCGGTCGAGGTCGACAACCTCCGCTTCCGTGCGAAGCTCACACCGGCCACTCTCCCGAGCATCGACAACCAGTCTTCAATCCTTCGATCAACACGATGCGACTCATGACAACACACAATATCGCCCTGCGAGTAGCGTTCCACCCAACGTATATGGAAACCAGCAAATGAACCCAAATTGGCGGCCCCTCGAGCCACTATTACAAGTGGCACAGCATGTTAGCCAGCAAAACGCCATGACTGTCGAGCAGCAGATGCAAATGGCCGCAATGCCTGCGGCCGATGGGACGTCTTCACAAGGAATCGCGAACGGTGGTCCTCAGTCTGGACAAACATATGATCAGAGCCTTCTCGCGCTTCAAGTAGCTTTGGGACAAGCGCCACCGTCAGCACCAAGCGTATCCGAAGTAGACGAGAAGAAAAAGAAGGGCTCCGCATACACCGCCACTAATGACAAAGAGCTCCGCGAAATGCTGGTCCGTAATGATGGACGCGCCTTGAAGGAAGTTGCAGCTGAAGTCATTGCAACGGAGAGGACTCCAAAGGCCGAAAAGTCGAAACAGTTGTTTGCGATGCTATGGTATATTGTAGAAACACTAGAAAGATCTTGACATCATAGCTTACGATTCCTGCAGGCTGAAATCTACATGCCGGTCTGCAAAGAATTCCGTTCCACGCAACCGCGTTTACTCTCACTATGCGGAGCGGTGTGGAACGGAGCGAGTTATCCCCTTAAACCCAGCTTCCTTCGGCAAGCTTGTCCGTGTCATATTCCCTGGTATCCAAACCAGACGACTTGGAGTAAGAGGAGAGTCTAAATATCACTATGTAGATCTCGCTCTCGTCGACGACAGCCAGGACCTCGGTGAAGCAGAGCGACCACAAGAGATGCAACGAGCTGCGAGCCAGCCCATTCGCCAAGGCTCTACGAGTAATCGTATAGACTTCAAGTAAGTTGACCACGATGTTGTCGTATCTGCAAGGACTAACAATTTTTTTAGTACCATGCCACGGCTGCCCGCAGATACTGCCGTTTTTCCGCCCCAAGAGAACGTTTTTGACCTCCCCACTCCCGAGATTCCCAGTGCTGCATCATCGAAAGGCCGGTTGTTCGCAGACACTACTGCACCTCGGTTTAAAACTACTGGTCCGACGTCTGATATGTACTCGTACGATCTGAAGTTCCCCTCTCCAGACCAAACCTCTCCAGAAGAGAATGTACACATTGAACTGCCCGATATTCGCGACTACCTACCAGCCAAGACCGACCCGGATGCTGCGCAGGCACTGACGGCGCTGTACCGAACCCACTGCACATCACTGATTGACTCTATCCGTTATTGCAAGGAGAAACAATTCTATCGTCTGTTCGCTTCTTTCCATGGCACTTTGACTGTCCCGGTTCAGAAGCTATTCGCACATCCCGACATCGCGCCATGGGTCAAAGAATGCGACTGGATGATGTACCAAAAGATGATTCGCAACGTCTCCCAACTTACATTGCAGGTAGCGCCGCCGGCAGTGTTACATGTCTTGGACAAGATTTCAAAAACGCTCCACGCTCATATCAGCAAAGTTTTCCAAGGATTACCATTACATGTTCTTGAAGCCCGGCTAGAACCCGCAACCCTTTTCGCGCATCTGTTGCGCCGAATGCTGCGAGTGAACTCTGCAGCACATGCCGCTGCTGTTATGCTCCTCGCCGACCAAAACCGCGATGCTATGTGGGAGGATTGGACGAACTTTGTCAATGTCAAGCAGATAATAGAAAGCCAGCTCCCTGACTGCGGATACGAGGAAGTTTACAGTATCTTGACAAAAGAAATCAGGGGCCTATTACTACCTCTAAACAAGCGTATATGGCTCAACGACGGATCATACTACCCAGAACCTATCAACGACCCGAACGTCACGAATGTTTCCAACGACACCGTTATCGATCGGCTAGCGGCCTTCCTTAGTGGTCTCCCTTCTAGATTCCCTCATGCGAACACGCGCACACTTCTTTACTGCATCAATGCTCTAAGTACTGCAGTAATTCGGGAAATTACAGTGGAAAACGGGACGAGCTATGGTTCATGGTGGATTACAAAAGTGTTCATCGACGAAATGTGCCAATGGCTTGCTTCCCTAGGAGGCTTCCTTGACCACAAGCCGCCGACGATCCATCGGCTGAGCTATTCCCCAGGAGTGATGGACGGACCCCTCGATTCGACCATGATGAATGGAGGTAGCGGGAGCAACAATGATAGCCGGTACAGCAGCATTGGGGCTGATTTCAACAACACCCAAAGCTTCGTCAGCATGGGTGACGACACAATCCACACGACGGCGACTCCTGCCTCCACTGATAGTAAGTGCTACCCATCCCGATCTTATTCGGACTTTGACTGGTTGACTGACCCGAAGTTTGGTAGTGAACGCCCAAAGGTATCAAGAACATTACAATCGAACCGATTTCGGGCTAGACCTGAATCTCGACACCTCCCAGCCCGAGCCAGACCACGACGACAGTGGCATCGGCATGTCCGGACTGCTGGACGACGGTATGGACCTGAAATACTCCATGGCGCAAGGGCCCAACAGTTCCCACTTCACCAGCGTTTCTACCGACATCAGGTAGCAGAGCCGCTCCACGCGCCCGGCCTTGAACATGGAAGCCTCTCTTTCGCCCTGCGACTAACGACAACCCTGTCTTGCAACGCCCAGCAAAACGACGAGCTGTACTCTGAACGCCTCAGATGCCTCTACAATCACGCGACCACGAATGCCTCCGACGATATGACCTCAAAAGGAATGGGGTCCAACTATAGAAGAAGGGGGAAATACCCGTCGTCTTTGCGTCAGCCTTTTCTTGATACCTTGGACTCTTGTTTTACATCTTTCTAATCCTGGCACGTTGGCAAAGCCGTTGAGATCCGATTATGTGGTGGAAGTATCCATTTCTGCTTCCATTTGGATTTCACGGAATATCGCTGTGCTATTTTCCCTTTCTCTTCTTTCTTTCTTCTCCTTCTTCGATTTGGGTTTGCGGCTTTCTTTTCAGGATACCGGGACTGGGTGGGCAGCGCATCCTGTGGCGTTCTTTTTTTTTGGGGGGGGGGGGGCGGGCGATTGATACGAATACCTGTGCATATAGCTCTGGGGTGGTATTCTGTCCGGGTGTTAGATGTGGACGGTGCTCCTGGCTACTATTGCGTTAGTTAGTTCATTCACGGTAGTCTCAAGTGCGAACAACATCATTTTGGTATCACAAATCAGGATTGGAAAGACGTGGAATATGGCATCATAGTGAATTAGGTCGTTATTGTGCTGGCTATGCTGCACCGCTAACAACAGTGGAAGCCACCCCTGGCTTTTCTCTAACCGTGGTATCCTAGTAGGTCAAGCTACCGCATCTGGCACGATGGGAAGTACCGTGGGCCCGAGTAGCCGTGGAATAGCACGCTCTCGATGTCGATGTTGCCGTTGTGCTGCGGGCTCCAGAGCTTCAGCAGCACGAACTTTCCGGAGCTAGACGTCGGGATAATCAGCATCTATCAAACAGGCAGGCACGGGAGGGGTGGAGCTTACACTGGCGGGTCAAACTTGACCGTGATTTTGTTCTTGTGCTTCGCAATGAAGAATCTCGCATGCGGCGGGATCAGCCCGTCGGCTTCGGGCGAGGCATCCTTGGGCTCGATACGGCTGGGTGTGCTGCGTCGTGGATACCCAGAGCTACCGAAGCGGCCGTCGCGGGGTTCCCAGAGAGCTGCACGGGCGACGTCGTCTTCGTCGTCAGTGTCCACGCGCCACTGGCTGTCGCGATGTAAGCGGTCTCTCAGTACGGCGGCACTGGGCTGCTCGTCTTCACTAGTGTCGCCGTCGCTTTCGGTCGTCACGGTGAAAGGGGGTGGGGTGGGAGCGGAGACGCCCGCAGAGCTGTGGGTGGAGTCGGCCACCGGCCAGTCGCAGTTGTCGGCCATGTTGATGGTAGCGTTTGATGGAGAGTCGTGGCGGGAAGGTGGTCGGGGACCTTCCTGCATGAGTTCGTCATGGAGCCGACGACGGGAGCGCTGCCATCGAATTCGCTGGTTCTGCGCCTCTATATATTCGCGTTCGTGGTCGAGAGCTTCGGCACGACCGAGACGAGAAGCCGCCCATACCGCAGGGTCTGTGAGACTCTCCGCGAGGGATATCTCTTCTTCGTCTTGGGAGCTTGTAGAAGAGTTGGATGAATGGTGGCCGGACTGGTTGTTGTAATCGATCTGGTAGCCAGCAGTGCCGCTGAGGAGGTCATTGGAAGACATGGAGACAAAGATCATACCCTCTTGGACGCTATCATTGAGATTAGTACATTCATGGTCAAAACCTGGCTGAATACATACGGGGCCGTGAAACCACGTTCCGGAGCCTTAATGACCACCTTCTCCAAGCAGAAGGTCGTCTCGCCTTGATGCTTGAGCAGCAGGTTGCATCGAGAGCTCTTAGTGCAGTAAACACTCCTATCATTTTTCAACACATTCTCGGGCCGGTACAGCGCTGATGACGATTCTTCGGTATATTGCCCACCATCGCAGCTCACTATCTCCATCCGTAAACGCCCAGGCACAACCTGGCCGAAATGGCCGTACTTGGGATTCTCGAATGACAGGCCATCACTCTCGTGATCCAACTTCCTCCTCTTTGGGCGACGTAGAAGTCCATCGAGCTCGCCCGGCGGAGACCTTCGGCTGCCACTCCCAAGGCGACCGAGAGACAATAGCGGCGGCGTGAGGAGGTCGACCAGATCGGAATTGACTTCGGCAAGGCGCTCGGTAGCCTCGTCGAGGGCGGCCATGTCGCTGATCTGCTCTCGCTGCATTCGGGTGCGACGGATGCTTTGAAAGCGCTCTCCGGGCACGGCACGGGTCCTGGGTCTTGGTGTGGCGGACGGAAGTGGCAGACGAGCAGCATGGGATCTCTCGCGGGCAGCCCTGTCTTGAGATTCTGTGTTCCGAGCCCGCCCCCGTCGTGCATGAGAGCGTCGTGAAGGCATTGCTACTTCGACCGTGACATTCTGGCGCTCGCGCTCGCTGGCGGCCGTCTCCCGCTCAGCGAGGTCGCGCTCCCGGTCGCGTTGTAGGGCCTGGCGGAGGTGTTGGAGGTGTCCAGGGAGCGTGGAGCTATCTATGGATGCTTGGGCAGCGGATGGAGAATCCGAGGCCGGCGGGAAATCGAAGTTGCCAGACATGGCGCGTGAAAAGGCAAAGAATTGGTTGTGGAGGGAGGCCGAGTTGTCGGGGTCGTCGTCGGTCGTCAAGGCTTCTGACAAAGGAGGAGTTGAGGTTCGCCGATTTGTGGACTGGGATGCTCCCATGTATCGAGGGCGAGTCGGCGTCGAGCAGCAGTGGACATGTATCGTGGGAGTGTATGCGTAGGCAGTCGTAGAGTCGTGATATGATGATGGTGTCGCAGGCCGTCGTCTCTCAGGCCGATGCACCTCCACCCCACGTTTGCCAAGACCTGGAAGAGTTGAGCCTCACCTAAGGTTCACTGCCATCTGCCTAGCTACTTTCTAATAAATCGATCCAGCCGTCTGCAACTCCTCCGCCTCACCCACCACGCAGCCATGGACGGCACCGTTCCTGCCCCGACGGCCTCTAATGGTACTACCTTCCCAGCACCAGACGCCGCAGGACAGACAGTAGCTTCCATCGCCCAGGCACAAACAATCAGCGCCGATGAGATCGCCCTTTACGACAGACAGATCCGATTATGGGGTGTTCAAGCCCAGGAGAAGATACGAACTGCAAACATCCTCATCGTATCCATAAAAGCTCTTGCGAACGAAGCTGCGAAGAATCTTGTCCTGGCCGGCGTTGGCTCTCTCACAATCGTCGACAGCGAGCTGGTCACCGGAGATGACCTCTGCTCTCAGTTCTTCATTTCCGAGGCCGACGTGGGAAAGAACAGGGCGGAGGCGGCTGCTCCCCAAATCCAAAAGCTCAATCCTCGTGTGAACGTCAAGGTTATCACTCAGAACATCTTGCTCCAAGGACCTGATTTCTACAACCCCTATGACATCGTGATCGCGACCGATCTCGACTTCACCACCCTGATGACGATCAATGCTGCCACACGGCTCTCCAACACCCCTTTTTACGCCGCTGGTGCACATGGCTTCTATGGATACATCTTCGCCGACCTGATTAGCCACGACTACAACATCCAGAGAGACAAGCCAAATATGCCGACCCTGATCAGACCAGAGTCCGCCACACGCTCTATCCTCTCGGTGTCGACAAAAAAGGAGTCAGGGAAGATCATTGAGATGGTCAAGAAGCGGGAACTATATTCACCACTGCTCCTAGCAAACTCCTCTCCTCTATCCCCTGAATATCTACGAAACCGCCGGCGGCTGAAGCTCGTCAGTCCCCTCCTCACATGCCTGCGCGCTCTGTGGGACTGGCAGAAGGAGTCCGGCGCGACTCTGCCATCGCATCAGCATGTTGATCTGCATCGTTTCACGACCTTGGCAACGGAGAAGCACAGAGAATTCCAGCTACCAGCAGACACTTTGAAATCTGAGTTTCTGCGAAGCTTCCTGCAAAATCTGGGGAGCGAATTGGCACCCGTCACGGCATTTCTAGGCGGTCAACTTGCGCAGGACGTCATCAACGTGCTCGGCAAGCGCGAGCAACCTATCCAGAATTTGCTTCTCTTCAACGGCGAAGAAAGCAGTGCGCCAGTCTATGCCCTGCATCCGATATTCGATGTCCCGATTTTGCCGCAAGTGCCCGTTGCCAATGGCTCCGGTCAAATCACTATCGATTGAGCGTACCGCGTCTGCATGTGGAGCGACAAAAAGATAGGCCTGATTCGGGATATTTAGAATTGGCCGAGGTTTGATATTTAGCAAGGGGCGTTTTGGAAATGGACGGATAAATACCCAACATACATATGCACATCCCTCATGGATTGAAGAGCATGGGTGCTCATAAGTGGCATGCCGGTAAAGGCACATAAGAACTTTCTCAAACATCTACTGTCTAAATCTAATTTATATGAGTTGTATCGCTTAAGTGACCATTTGAGTTCTAACCGCCGTCTCAAGTGGCTCGGCAACTTTACTGATCGTTCAGCGCGATAAAATCTTGGTTCATTTGGAGCTGGGAAAGTGTACCAAGGTACCTCAAACAGCGGCAGAAAAGTGTACGTATCTATAGATTCAAAAACTTGTTCGAGAAGCTAAAGGTGCCCTCGGCATAATCTCGGGGTGAACGTGCGCATCATTATGCAAGTGGTTCGTCTGTTCTCCCAGACATAAGTCTCCCAACGTCTTCACTCCCTTGGAATAACGCGGTCTACTAATTATCATATCAGTGAGACCGTCCTGGCCTTGTAGCTGGTGAAATGGCGGCCGTTCCCGCACTGAAAACATCCGATATCATATTCCCAGCTCTATCCACAAATTTCTCAGAGACGTTGTCATCCTTGAAACGCTCAGCCCTCTCTATCTCCAACCGTCTGAACTCAATCACTCAAGACGCCGATTTTGTGTGTGCGGTCGCCGACGCGTACAAATTACCGTTGGTAGCCAACGAGAGATGCGGTAGCTGGTATATCCCTCCTAGTCGCAAAGCCGAAAGTGCGTATTTCAAGAGCACCGACGGCCATACCGGAGAGTGGGCTTTCAGTCTGAGAAGGCTGAATACTCAAGTCTTGGATATTATTGGAAGAAACGACGGGTAGGCCTTTCATCACTGTCATACAAGCCAGATAGAAGACTGAATCTGGTAGATGCATAGTGGTAGACTCAACAAGGAGAGGCAAAAGTAGGTTTATCTCAAGTTCCACTCTGTCACTCAATCATCATGGAAAATATTTGACGTATTTCAGGCATGCCAGATGCCCTACTTAAGACCGTGCCAATATGGTGTTGCGTGCTGAACAGGGTTCTATTCCCTGAATTGACTGCGCATGCACTATACACACCGCGCCAGTCCATATCAGAGTCTGAGCATTCTCAAATCGAAGCTCGTCTGGATGGCTTTGTTCAGCAGCTCCAGGTATTCTGGCCCGAACAACAAAGTAGAGTATTTTGAGGCGACTAACAGTGATTGCTAGAATCTGAATCTCGAGATTGCGGCCCTTCGATCTAAGATCTCAAAGCCTCTTCGTCCCCTTTGGGTAACGCGTGAGTCCTCGCTTCCACCGACACCTCCCTCATTCCCTGATTTCCACCCTATTGTTCTCTGCACAGCCTCTCGGCGAGTCAGGGGAGGTGAGGTCTCAGAAGGAGGATATATCCAAGGTGCTGGTGATGATAGTGAAGGATGGTCGTGCGGGCTCACACCTCCGTTATTCTGGAACAACCAGAGCAGATTGCTTGCTACGAATGAAGAAGACCTACCCGACGTTATCGAGGAATTTTTGAAGAGTACGAACGGCTCTACGCCCTCGGACGTCATCTTGATCAAGCCAACCTCTTCGCTCTATGTTGGTTCACTTCAAGCCGCGACTCCTGACGATTTCGATACGGTCATAAGCTGTGGATTAGACACCTCTCCAGCTACTCAGTCCGGCAAGAAACCCAAGCACCTTGACCTAAAGTGCCGTTTAGGTAAATTAGGTAGCCGAGACCTTCGAGACGAACTCCCAAAGCTCGAGGGATTCTTCATGAACATGACAGACGATCCCGGCAGAATCCTCGTCAGCTGTGCCACAGGAAAAGACCTATCTCTCGGTGTGGCTCTGACTATACTCTGCCTCTTTTCAGACGACAACGGTATATTTTATCCCCTTATTCAACTCCATCAATGCCATACTAATCTGTTCTCACAGGAGCCATCTCGCCCAAACCACTCACCCGCACTATCGACAAATCCTTCATCCGCCAACGCTTCAGCTGGATAACAACCTCGTACCCGACTGCCAACCCTGCCCGCGCAACCCTCCAATCCATAAACTCTTTTCTAATCCGTCCCTTCTCTTCGAATTCCTCAGGCCCACCAGACCTCTCCACTCTTCAAATATCTCCCACTCCGAAGCCAACTCCAGAACCAACATCAACATTCCACCTCTTTCTGTCCCTCTCTGGCCCCTGGTCCACCTCCCGCACACTCACTTCAGCCCTCCCAACCAGCCCCTCCGGAACCTTCACAGGCACGGCCACATTCACACCGCGCCCACCGTCCTCTCCGTCATTCTCCCACGAATACCTCTACGAAGAATCAGGCACCTTCACTCTCCCTACGGGCCTTAAGTTCCCGGCGACTAAGAAATATGCTTACCGCTACGCTCCCACCACTGACACCATGAGCGTGTTTTTCGTCGAAGAAGCCACAAAAGTCCCCGATCCGCCCGTCACTGGTCTTTTCTTGGATTTGCAGATGAAGACGACGCAGGGTCCGGGAGAGGAAGCCGGCCATGAAAGGCTTGCCAAACTGGAAGCGGAGGAGCTGCGATTTGAAGGGCGGGAAAGTCATCTATGTGGAAAAGATCTGTATAGTGCGAGGTATCGATTTGGGCTTGCAGAGAAGGGATGGTGGGAGGTGAGGTACGACGTCAAGGGGCCACAGAAGGATTATGTGAGTGCGACTAGGTATGAACGGTGATATAGAGGGTGCGGAATGTGACATCCTGAATCTCGTCCTTTCACAATAGCCTGGAGCCCTTCAAGACTGCTACCACCCTCGCAAGATCTCGACGAGGTACACACGATTTGAAGATGATCGAAATTTGACATCCCATCACAGAACCCTAACAGTGTGTGCCTGAATCCGAAGGCGTAGAACTTGACATCCAAAGCCCCTACTTTCACAATGGCCAGGAGAACCCCAGATGCACTACCAACCTTGCATAATGCTAGCAAGGTACGCGTGATATGAGAAGCTAATAATATGGACATGCCGACGGTTCTTTTAGACGCTAAAAGCCTCAGAAGTCACCCTTCCAGGGTCTTCTGATTGGCTGGATCAACCTCACCCTCCGTTACCCCGTCGCGACAACGAGGTCTATCTTCCCAACAAAGGCCCAGGACCCTTTACCCTCCTCCAACTATTCCTTGAACGGACTGGGTACCAACTTGGCCATAGCTCTTGCGGTCATTTCGGCCATTCTTCTCCTTGTTTCCAGCCTCCTCGTGTGGATCATGTACCAAATACGCAAGCAAAATGTCAACACTTCCAACAAAAGCAACTACACAAATCGACCGCAATACAACCCTTTCGGCAAATTTTCCAGGACGAGGAGAAGCGACGAAGTGGACTCTACCGTCGAGCTTATTAAGGCTTTTAACGACTCTGGTCCTTTTTCTACCGAAATGGTGCGGACTTCTGGCGCTTCTTTGACTGAGAAAGGGAAACGCTCCCGCTAGTTCTTCTAACGCAAGCCCACGACGCTCTGTGGGCCGTGATGGTGAATATGTTACTACTATGCCAGCTCCGCGTGCGCACATCTATCCACGCTGGGAGGAGCATTTCTAGCAGTAGTCACTACGCTTGGTGGAGTTTCTGGGCTAGCTTAGCGGCTTTGTAGCGTCTGAACTTCTTAACAGCATCCCGCAGCACCATGTCTATGAAAGTCAAAAATTTGCACAAGCGGGAGGCTTAGGAGCGTCATGTGAGTAGTTTGTATATGAAATTGTAACTGGCTAATTGAAGTATACAGATTGCTGACCAACCTCCGCCGAAGAAGAGACATTGCGAGGCTCGCCAAGCTGCTGCTGCTTCAGAGCCGAGTGCACATACGGTCAGGTCAGCACTTCAGCTCGGTCGCAGCAGCAACTGAACGAGAGACTTCCGACTATGACAAGGGGACGAATTGGGGGGTCTGTACGTGCGCGTGAGAGGTGATAGGAATATAAGTTCCACCTTTTCTAACTACTGTGCGTGATTCTGTGGATGCTGTGCCAGTGTCTCCATTCTGCTACCTATGTGTATGCATTTTGCAACATAGCTGACGCCGTCTGAAGTCCTTCAAGCAGGCGAAAAGATTCAGTACCGATGTCCTGAATGACGACGTGTTAATCAGAAACTGCACCTTCGTGAGCCTGATCTTCGTACACCTCACGTACTCGTCGTAACTTGAATGATGTTCGTGTGCATTTTGCTAACTGCCTGGCATCGTCTGAAGTCCTTTAAGCAAGTGAAAAAATTCAGGAGCGATGTCATGAATGACGACGTATGAACTAAACACTGCATATGCTTGACCCGGAATTTCGTGCACATCTTTATGTCCGTTGCAACTCGAAAGATCTTCGTGGCCATTTTGCCACTTGGCTGGCACCGTCCGAAGTCCATAAAACAGGCGAAAGGATTTGGCAGCGATGTTGTAGATCGCAACATGCGTATCAGACGCTGTAAAATAGCGAGGCCTTTCCAATGCCGGGACGCCGCCGCCTGAAGTCCTCTGGTCAGTCGAGAAAAATCGGACAGCAATATCACCAATCGCGACGCGTTAATTATACGCTGCATCTCCTTGAGCCTGAGCTTCGTGCACATATCGGGGATGTTGTAAGTTGGACGATGCTTGCGTGCACTTTGCGCGGTGGGTGACGGCGTCTGAGCCTCCGAGGGGTCGAAAACAATCAGCAGCAATGTCACAGATCGAGACCCGTGAATCAGACTCTACAGGTCTTCGAGTGGCACGTGATGATTTGGATCCTGTTCGTGTGCGTTTTCCCACGTGCTTGACGCCGTCGGAAGTCCTCCAAGCAGCCAAATCGAATTAGACAGTGATGTAAAGAACTGTAACCCCTAAATCGGACCCTGTAAGATAGCACTATGTTTACAGCATCGTGACGCTGTTAAAAGTCCTCCCAGGGGTCGATTGGAATGAGAACGCGAACTGAAGCCCCCCAGGAGTGTCGAAATCAGGCAGCGTTCAGGCGTCCAGATCAGGATAAGATATAACATCTGTCTTTAGCGAGACTTGGTGTTTCATGAATGGCATGAACTCGCCCATCTTCAGCAGACGTTGCTCTATCCATAACTTTATTGGCAGCTCCGCGACCATGAACGCCATTTTCAGCGCGAAGATGGTGCTGTATGGCCCTAATAGCCCTGCGTCGAAAGTAAAGTCTGCACTTTTGCAGACTTCGTTGACGTAGTATCTGTTCTCGATTGAGAGACTTTCGTCGGGCTGTAGGGCATGAGTCATGGAGTTAAGTAAAATGAGACATCCGTAGTAAGATGATGTGCAGAATATGTTGGAGGCGCCATGGTAGACATAAGTGGTGGGGAATAGTGGGTCGTAAGGGTCGGAGGTCACTTCCGTTGGCGGTGGAAGGAGTTCTCGGAAACGGAGGAACCAAGCGCGAAGAGCAGTGGAGAGATCTGAAGTGGTGTTGAGAAACGAAACTACTGCGTTGATGTCTTTCCGATCCAGGACGCGGAAGTGGGCGGCGATGCCAGGACACGTAGCTAGATATGCGTGAAACTCGTTGGTAATTTGGGTGTAGGGGTTAGGATTGTCGGGATCGGGGTCTGAGAGCACTAATTGCCATTCAGGCTGGCACAGGAACGAGTCTGTCCCCCTCATAAAAGCTTCCATAGTCTGGTATTGTTAGATTAATAACGAATTAGAGCAAGGAGTTGTAGCCTACAACTTGGCCTCGGAAAAAAAGAAGCATCGAATGGTCAAAGTCGGAGTTGATGTGATTAGGACCGCGGAGTTGTAATAGCTTGCTGGCACCTCCTGCATGCTTCACCCATGCATGTTTCTTTGTGCAAGCAAATAACTAGACACAGAAAAGGATTAGATATAAGCAAGAAAGAAATAGAGTGGTACTAACTTCGTAGATGCTCAGGAACATCGTAGCTTTTAGACATTAGCTGCCGCATATTAATTCTTGAGAAGGTAGGAAATACCGCAGAGGGTCTCAGATGACATTGCCTCCTTCGGGTCCCCGATTGCCTTCGAAAGACTACGTAAAGCATGACCATACGTTTGCCTAGCAGACAACATAATCGATTCTTGTCTCGATAGCATACCGATATAATGGGTCCCCATGCACCGGACCGCGTCGTCCAACGCTTTACTGTTACCTAAGCGCGGGGGTACAAACGATAGCCATCTCCGTAGGAAGTGCGTGTCGGCAAACTCATCCATTGGAGTCGAATCTTCAAGCAAGACTTTCAACGCTTGAGAGTTATCCTGGGTCCAAGGAATGATTGACTGTGGAATGAGGAGCGGGGTCGGCGCCTCGGACGGACTCCTCGAGGCCTGATACTCTGGTGTCGTTCGAGCAGACCAACTGGGGCTACGGCTTTGGCTTTGACTCTTTGGACTTGGGCGCTCGAGCTGGCGGACGTGTCTGAAAGATCCTTCGCCAACTCTCTGGTCGTCTTTTGCTATTGGGATCTCATATACGAATTTCGCGGGCTTGTTGTACCCGGGGCACTCTCTTCTGAACCTCTTACAGCGGCCGCATTCTGGCCTCGCCTCATCGCACTTGGATTGAAATATGAGACTTGAGCAAGAATTATTTGATCGAATGGACGCACCTTCACTCGTTGCTTGACGCACGCGCGACAGCCCTTACTACGGGCTACACCAACCATGACTGCAATACGGCAGCTGACGAGAGAGAATGTAGTGTATTGTTATTGTTATGTCCATGTCAAGGTGTGAGACAGCGTGAAATGAAGGGGCCTATCTTCTTAAAGCTCTGGTCTATTCCCGGAGTCGGGACCGCTGCCTGCATTAGCGGGCGACGCGTAGGTAGGGACTAGTGCTTACATATCATGTGATACGCTCAATATTAGAAATGCTATAAATTAAAAAAGCAGGACTACGGCAAGAGTACTTAGCGAGAGGCGAGTGGTTGCTGAGTTTAATATTCCTTCCGGTCCTTAGTCGAGCACTTGATTGCAGCGATATGATAGACAACGTATGATAGCACCGTGCTACGAGAATGGATTATAGGCTTTCCAATACATCTAAGAAGTTTACATACGCCAAATGTGCACTCCGGCAGCCTATACATATACATACAGTTTACACACACTATGCACACCCTCCTCACGCGCTCACCTCCGGCGCCTTCTCCGCCCTCGCCTGCGCAAAAGCCTGCTTAAATTGATCTTGATTTAGTAGCTCCTCCACCTTTTTCATCATCTTTGGATCTTTCTTGCTTTTATCAACCTTTCCTACTATCTCTGGTCCTCTGTGCTGCGCTTCTAGCTCCTCAAACTGGAACACGTTCGCCTTCATACCAACACCGTAGTACTGATGCTTCGCCAAAAAAGCCAGCCATGCTTGCACGACTTCGGGATGTCCGTCTTGGATCTGAATGAGCCTCCTCATGGTGATCCGCTCGAAATTCTCCTGACTCTTCTTGAAAACGAAGTTGGCTCGTGGTACTGTCCACCGTTCTGTTATGCGTGGTAGGGGGATGGGACCCTTGGCGGGGAGGCCGAGGTAATATGCGGCGCGCATGGCGAAGTCGGCGAAGAACTCGAGATTGCGGATGCTATAGGTGCGGAGTTGAAGGTCACAGACGGGGACGCCGTGTTCGGCGGAGCGGCGGAGGGGGTTCAGATGGATGGCTTGGACGTTGCGAGGCTCGCGAAGGGCGGAGAGTTGTTTGGCGACTTCGGGGTCGAGTCTGTAGTCTATCAGGGATATGGTCTCAATGAGTATTGGAGCTGTAAAGGACATACGGAGGCTTTTCATCCCCGGGAAGCTTGAGACCGCGTTTTCTGAAATTTCGTTAGCTTGATTGCTTTAATCTATGTTCTTGCCATGACATACTTTGCAAGCTCAATTGGCTCTACACCAGCCTCTTTCCACATCTCCAGCACATTGGTATGATCTGGCGCGGACCGCCACTTCTCCCACTTCCTAGTATCAATCAGTCTCCACATCCCGTCCATACGACATCTTGGATACGGACCGCTTCATCGCCGCCTCAGTCTCCGGTTGCTTAAACCTCGGATCTGCCTTCAGCTCCTCCCATCGCGAAAACTCCTTGATTTGCCTAACAGGATCCATCAGCCACATCATCCTCCTACTGCGTATTAATGGAGCCTTACGAGACCGCAATATCCACAGCCGCCTCCATATTTTCAGGGCTTTCGACACCTCGGCGAGGACCACTCCCACCCTCAGAGTCCTCCGCACCGTCGCTCTTGAATCTAACGCATTGTCGTATCGTCCGAGGAGGTGAAATCTGCAAGCCTCCATCAGCACTCGTCCTCTACCATCTCAATCGCCCAATACTATGATCGGAATCGTACACATACCTTCGCCCTCTTCAACGCCCCAAAAGACGACCGTAAATGCGTAGGCGCCGCCATTGTAGTCTCAATGCCGTTGCGCGCACCCTTTCGAGAAATCTTGTCGCAGCGCAAGTCGGGCCGACTCTTTGGCGGGCGGAGCCGATCCACGCCAAGACCTGCTGCACAACACGCATCCCACTTCGAGCTCCACGTCAATATAAAAGCTGCTTTGGTCCCCAGAACATAACCTCTCAGCTCCTCCGGATATTGGCAAAATAGTAATCATGGCCACCATTCCCCCAACCGTCTACCAGCACGCCTGCGAAACGACTCTCCACCTCCGCAACCTCCTCCCCGAAACCCTGCAATACCCGAAAGTAGCTATCGTATGCGGCTCTGGGCTGGGCGGGCTGGCAGATACGATCGAGGCTGAGCCGAAGGTTGAGGTTGCGTATAAAGATGTGCCGAACTTTGCGCAGAGCACGGGTACGTTCTGCCATTACTCCAATAGATGAGATGGAAAGAGCTTCAGCACATTTCAAAAAGGGTACATATTGATGAACTCTGGGACACAGTCCAAGGCCACGCAGGCAAGCTCGTCTTTGGGCAGATCGGGCCCTCCAAAGTCCCTGTAATGCTGCTAGTTGGACGTGCACAGTTAGTTTCACAGTCTCGGGTTGCAAAAATGTCTTTTTATTAACAGAACAGCTTCTACGAGGGCCACACAATGGACCTGGTCACGTTCGCGACGCGGGTGTGCAAAGTCATAGGGGTGGAAACAATCATTGGTGCGTGCCGCGTGTCAGAGAGGAATAGAGCGGCTCTGACGAATAGATGTACATATAGTTACGAATGCAGCCGGTGGCTTGAATCAGGAGTATAGCGTCGGCGATATTGTGTGCCTGAATGATGTATGCGCCCTACTCAACCCTGTCATACCAATCCCTCCTATCGAGCCTAAGTGCTGGCGGTGAGCATGGACAGCTGACGTGGTGTGGTGTAGCATCTGAACATGGCGGGATTGGTGGGCATCCACCCCCTACGTGGCCCGAATATCGACGACTTTGGAGTCAGGTTCCCGCCGCTGTCAGACGCGTATGATTTGGAGCTCAGGAGACGGACGCATCAAGCGTGGAAGAAGGTGGGACTGGATAAGCAGAAAAGGAGGTTGCATGAGGGTGTTTACGCTTTCGTAGCTGGTCCAACGTCAGTACTACAATTCCGGAAAGTATGAGTCCTTGCTGACAAGATGAATAGCTACGAAACGCGAGCTGAGTGCCGCATGCTCCGGACTTTAGGTGCTGATGTCGTTGGCATGTCGACGGTTCCTGAGATCGTAGTTGCTAGGCATTCGGGCATCAGAGTGCTGGCTTTCAGTCTCGTTACAAACAGTGCAGTTCTAGAAGCGGGCCCAAGAGGAGATGACGAGACACTTCAGAGCATGAGTAAGGAGGAACTAGATCAACATCTGAGCCAAGGAAAGGCGAACCATCAAGAAGTGTTGGATGCGGGACGGGATGCTGCGAAGGATATGCAGGTACGCCCATTCGCGGTTCATTGCTACTTATACTTGAGCCGTCAAGCTAACCCAAGGTAGGCCCTGGTGAAGCAGATCTTGTCAGACCTGTACGAGGCGTGAGAGCCTTGTTTGCCTACGACGCTTTTATGATGGTGCTGCCAGAAGCGTGACTTCCTAGACAGGGTCATCAGGCTGCCTGGAGCCTGGTGCATTTGTCTTGCAAATGCACCGGCGTGGCGACTAGTCGTGCTTGGAGGTATATGTAGCCCATAGAGAGCCAACAATGCAAAGTAGAGGCGATCAAACGCATTGCAAAATTCACCCTTTCCCGATGCTCTTCTTGCGCTTCTCCTTGAGTGCCTTGTAGTATGCCTTCTTTCCGCTCGTCTTTGATGCTTGTATGTCGTTGTACTTGCTCTTGAAACGGCCGGTTTTGGCCTCTGTAGCTAATACCTCGTCGGCGAAGGTGTTTTTGCGCTCCTTGTTGAGTAGCCTGCCATTGTAGTACTCGGTTGGACCCTCCTGTAAACTAATTAGACTATGTGTTCCCAACTTGAAGAGTATGAAACATACAATGATGGTGCCAATCTGTGAGTACTCAGGGACCTCCGAAGTTTTCCCACTCTTCTTGTAGAATCTCTTCGGGTCGATGACGTTCCTCATCTTGAGCAGCTTCAGGTCTCTCCGAAGCTCAGGCGTGAGCTCTGTTTTTGGTAGGTTGAACCACTCTGGTCCAGTAGTAGCTTTCTTTTCCTACGACCACGTGTCAGCTAAAGATTTCACAGCGAACTATGCAAGTGATATCGAATCGGAATGCCTCATAGTAACTATGATAAAAAAGTCTCTCATGGAAGCAGGCGACACCCAAGACGGGGCCGTGATCTGCATCAAGGAAAAGAATTGGGATATTGGAATCATTGGCAGCCGCAAACGACATTGCATGGTCTCTATTTCTTGTAGAGGGTGCCTTACCTCGTCTCTCCGCTTCTTGATCGTCAGGGGATCCTCGACCTTGCGGACGGCGTTGGCCTTGGATCTATCGTCATCGTCCACGAGGCGGGACGGGTCCACCCGTGCCACGCCATCGACCGTCTGTATGTATGGCTTGATCATGACGCCAGGATCGAGCTTGGGGAGCCTGTATACAGCGTCTGCGTTGTCGGACGCTTGGTGGGCAAGCTCCTGCGCCTCCCGCATTCTCGTCTCGGCTTGGCGCAGAAGTTCATGTACCTGCTCATCTGACAGTTCCTCGTCGCTGTCTGACGCCATGTCCCAGCGCAGGGCGGGGGATAGGGCCTGATGCGCTGGCACCGGCATGCTAGCGTAGGGCTGTCGGTGGTCGTGGTGGTGTGGAAGCGATGAAGGAAAAAATATGTTCGAGATGGATCGGAACGCTCCGTGGCCTAGCCGCTTCCAGCAAGACTCGGTGTGGCGCCCCTTCCTCGCTATTGGCTTACTCAGCCTAAAACCGTATAGCTATCCTTCCATTGTAGCTAGCTTCCTCCCTCACTCATCAATTAATACAATACTTGACCATCCACACAGCCGCTGCTGAACCACTCTCCCTCACCGGCTTGTGTTGCCCCACACGTGTCAAGCTCGATTTTACGGATCGAGATTCAGAGCACCTCTAAATCTCCTAGCTGAGGGACAACTCATCACTGACTGGCAGGGCACGCGCAAAACAGCGTGCTCGGCGGCCAACCAGCTGCTCCCTTCATGCGCAAGCCCCGTGAGCCGTCCCAATTGTCGTGGGGTGATTCACGACCTGCAGGTAGGCTTTTGTGTCTCCAGCATCGCAGCCTCGAGCATCCCGCGCGGCATCCAATTGTGCGGCGGCTTGTCTATTGCGTCCGTAGCTTGAAGATATATGTAGCGACAGCGGCGTCGGCCTGCTCTCCGCCACCCCTCATTTCTTGCTGTGCTAGTAGTGTGCTACCTGCAGCAAGGCGCACCATCGCACATATACCTCCTGCCGTTCGCACAGCTCGACGATCCGGCTCAGCGATCTGCCTGCCCTGTCTGCAATACGTTGCTCGAGCAAGACTCCCCTTCAGCCCTCCAGACGTTTGCCGCTATCCTCGGGCACCGCCGTCTCTCCAGATTCGGTGCTGAATAGCGCGGCGTCAGCCCTGTCTAGGGGAGTTCTATACGGCGCTGGGATTCGTCGACTTGTTAAACCAGCTCTGCCTCCGATTCGCGCATCTCCCTCCACAATTACAGAGCAGACGCCCGGTATACAAGCCTTGGCTAGCAGGTAAACAACCTCCCTCGAACGCGAATTGTCGTCGTACGGTGATAATGAATGTGCCAGGTGCTCGTGCCCGGTGTTTAATTTTCGCCCCCGCCCGCCAGTCACCGCAGCTCTCTGACGCTGCTACGACATCTACTGCTACCGAACACCTCCCACACACCACCCACCCGCTCCGCGAATCAATTCTTCATCAATCCTGCGCCTGCATCTACGCGCAAGCGCACAGCAGCTGTCTTCCGCCCGCCATCCTCGCTCGGTAGCCGGTTTGCGACAGAGGGTCCGCAACCACCCCAGCGACCATGGACCCGACAGGCCTCCAGCACGGCCAGGCGCAGAAGATGCGCCAGCAGCCTCAGCAAGCTGCGCCGCGCCGCTACGATGGACTCAATGGGAATCCCATGTACGATCCCGCCAACGGTGGCCATTATGGTAAGCTCTCTGCCTCGGCTTCGCGTATCCCTCGACATCGCGAGCTGCCTCTAGCATGAGAGCATCAGGCTAACTCTGGTCGCGACTACTAGGAGCAAGCGCATCTGTACGTCTGAATTGCGAGCGTCCGCTCTTCTCTCCCCCGGGCTCCGAAGCTGATATTTGGTCTAGATAGCTGCCCAAGGACATGCACCAGATCCGCAGCTGTTCACAGGATCATGGCAGAACGTACAAGGCCTCCATCTCATCAATGACAACAAAGTGCTGACGGTGGCTAGGTCAATCAGGGGCTGAACGGGAACTACCGAGACATTCTAAATACCTACTGGCAGCAGCAGGTCACGAAGCTCGAGATCGACGAGCATGACTACAAGTTGCACCAGCTTCCTCTGGCGCGGATAAAGAAGGTGATGAAGGCCGATCCAGAAGTCAAGATGATATCGGCGGAAGCTCCGATCTTGTTCGCCAAAGGGTGCGACATCTTCATCACAGAACTCACAATGCGTGCCTGGATCCACGCCGAGGAAAACAAGCGTCGGACACTCCAGCGGTCCGACATTGCATCTGCATTGTCCAAATCAGACATGTTCGACTTCCTGATTGACATCGTTCCGCGCGAGGAGGCGCATCCCCACAAGCGGACTGCTGGACAGAGCAGCGCAGCAGTGGCATCGTCTGCTAGCCAGCCTCTCCCTCCCGGTGCTGTCCAACAGCAAGGAGTCCATCCCCCGCATCAAATGGGCCCTCCAGACTACGGCATGGGTCAACACATGCCGCAGCAAGAGGAGTACAGGCCGCCGGGGATGTACGCCCCACCTGTGCAGGGCGATCCAAACGCGTATGGGCAGCCCCAAGCTCAAATGTTTGATCCCGCCTCGGCGTATCAAGCGTACTCAATGCAGCCCGCGCCGGTGAGTCCACACAGGAAATAGCTACGATCGTCACTGATTCGAATACAGCAGATGTACCCAGGCGTTGGCCAGCGCGGCCCCGACCTTACGGGAGCGGGCGACCCTAATCAGGGCTATCGCCCGCATGACCCTGAGGGTGACGCTGATGCGGAGGGTGAGAGGGAAGATTTTGTGTCTTAGCAACATGCTAACCACAATGACTCTCTTCCACAGGATCTTCGCCACCTCTAGGATCATGGGCAAGGCGGGCAGGGCGGGCAGGGCTTGATTTCTGCTGTCACGAGTGTGCAATCGACTAGATGACAACCCCTGAACATGAGGAGATTTATTGGTAAAGATCAAGACGGGAGGAACGATGGTCTCTTTTTTGGATAGAGCATCACCCACGTAGCGCCCTCGTCTGAGTGCTGTGTCGTTTCGGGCGCGGGAGTTTATTCGTTTCTTCGGGTGGGACTTGGGCATTGATTGAGGCTTGGGACAGGAAGGCATAGGTAGGCAGATATCCGGGTCTTTAGCCCTCTCCGGCCGCGGAGGAGTTGATGGACGGGAGCTCGGCGTATATACACACTAGCAAAGGCCATTCATTTCTCCCTCAGACGAGATGCAAGGATAATTGGGCGTTCCTGCGTGCTGCTGCCAGTCTCCGAAAACGTCCGGCGTAGACAGCTCCGAAGCCTCGACTCACATGCGCGCAGGCTCCGAGGCTTTCTCGTGGTAAACATATATCGTCGTCGAGCTGCGCGTGCTGCTGGTATTGCCATGCGTTCCCTTCAACCGTGGTGTTGAAATAGAACAAGGTAAGACTAAGAGCTCTTTCCTCACGCGCGGACGGCACCCCGCACCTCCCCCACCAGGTGACTTCTCCTGCAGCTCAACAACGCATCCCACGTCTCGGACTTGTGTTCTACTTCACCGACTTCCATCCCCTCCATCTTCTTCAAACACCTTCTCAATTGAGCCTTTGTCCTGATCTTTGACGTGTTCAGTTCTTCTCTTCGTCACTTTCACTCCGCCTCAACACCGTCAATATGAAAGTTGCTGGTATACACGCCCCTAGCAGCACTGCGAATGATTACTGACAATATTGCCAGTGCTCGGTGCGTCTGGAGGAATCGGACAGGTGAGCGACTTCAAGCCAGGGCATTGATCCATTCAGTCCGATGCTAATTCTCCGCCAGCCTCTGTCCCTCCTCTGCAAAGCTTCCCCTCTCATCGACGAGCTCTCCCTATACGATGTGGTCAACACTCCCGGTGTTGCCACTGACCTCTCCCACATCTCCACCCCAGCGGTATGAAGCTTCCAGCCATCAAACACTTGAAGGGCTATGCTGAACATGCAATAGATCGTGAAGGGATACCTGCCCGCAGGCGACGGAATGAAGGACGCGTTCACCGGAGTGGATGTATTCATCATCCCCGCTGGCATTCCCCGGAAGCCTGGCATGACCCGCGATGGTAGGGTCCAGAGTAATTGCTCGCTCAACTCTATCTAATCACTGTTTAGACCTCTTCAAGATCAATGCTGGCATTGTCCGCGATCTGGTCAAGGGTGTGGCCGAGTACGCCCCCAAGGCCTACGTTCTCGTCATCTCCAACCCGGTCAACTCGACTGTCCCCATCGCTGCTGAGGTGCTCAAGGGCGCTGGCGTCTTTGACCCCAAGAAGCTCTTCGGTGTGACCACTCTCGACATCGTTCGCGCCGAGACTTTCGTGGCCTCTCTTAGTGGTGAGAAGGACCCGTCGAAAGCCACTATTCCAGTCATTGGTGGTCACTCTGGCGAGACCATTGTCCCTCTGTTCAGCCAGGCTAGCCCCAAGGTCGACATCCCAGCTGACAAGCTCGATGCTTTGGTCAACCGTAAGTGCCTCCTTTACCTTGGAGGAATCTCATTAATACTGATTGTCATACAGGTGTTCAGTTCGGCGGTGACGAGGTCGTCAAGGCCAAGGACGGTGCAGGCTCAGCCACTCTATCCATGGCCTACGCTGGTTTCCGGTAAGCCCATAGCCTAGGATTTGTATGATCTGAATAGCTGACAATCCAAGCTTCGCCGAGAAGATCATCAAGGCCGCCAAGGGCGAGAAGGGCATCGTAGAGCCTACCTTTGTCTACCTACCGGGCGTCCCTGGTGGTGAGGCTATTCAGAAGGAGACTAGCCTCGAGTTTTTCTCCGTTCCCGTCGAGCTTGGCGTACGTTTCACATGTCCCTGGCTTCTCCGTTCGCTTCATTCCGCTAACACGTTAATTAGACATCCGGTGCTGAGAAGGCCATCAACGTGGTCAGCAGTGCCAACGAGTACGAGAAGAAGCTTCTCCAGGCTGCCTACACTGGCCTCAAGGGCAACATCGAGAAGGGTATTGAATTCATCAAGAACCCACCCACCAAGTAAGTGCAACCCACAGGCTTCTTTGACCTCATGTCATGAACCGATACTCATACAGCATGGGCAGATAGACTCTGAGAGCGCATAACGCGTTTTTGGACAGAATTCGTGATGGCCTCGAATATGATGAATGAGAAAAATGGAGCAGAATTTAGATTATCAGTGGCTGGCCGTTTGATGAACGATGGATGAGAAGTGTTACGTGTATAGAACCGGATCCGGGCAGCACGAATATACCTTTTCGCAAGAATCGATGGCTCTGATATGATTTGTTGGTGATTCTTATGTGAGCTCTTGATTATCTAACCTTCTTCGTGAAGGACAAAGTTTTGAACATCGCTCAATGCTTCGAAGCACCCATGAATGCCCAATACTTACTCCTGGGTAAAATCTACCCAAACGCCAACCCATGCCGCTAAATTCAAACCCGCTTAAAACCCTTTTATGTGCCCACTCCCGTCTACGGCTTCGCCCCCACCGTCCGTATCTGGAACGTCGCGCCCGGCACCTGCGTTGTCTCGGCCTGCACCGTTGCCTGGATGCCCATGCCCGCCAGCGCGCCGCGCAGCACGCCGCTCGGGAAATACAGGAACGGCTGCGCCTTGGCGATGGTCTCGAGGTTCTTCTCGAAGCTCATGCGCGACAGCGGCTTGAAGGTGTTGTCGGTCAGCACGTAGATGCCGCGGTGGTTGGTCTTGAGGTTGTCGATTTGCTTGCGGAAGAGCAGCGTCCAGAGGTCCTTGCAGAGCAGCTTGATGACGTCGAGGGGGTCGGTGGGGCGGGGTTTGTCGCGCGTGAAGCTGTGGTGTTCGTATCAGTAACTGAAATCGGGAATTGGGAATTGGAGCTTTTTTTGGCACTTGACGCGGGATTTGGGATTGTTGGGGGTATGAGGGAGGGATATGTATATGGATGTGTTATATGTACGCACCGTTCTATTACTCCTAGCCCGACCCGGTATCCCAGCCCCTCGAGCCGGAAAAACACCTGCTCCCGCGCCTCTTCTTCGTCGACGAGGCTCTCGGCCACTGTGGCGGTCTTCCCCCCGCCCACGCCGCTCACGCTGCCGGCGTCGGTGGGCTCTTTGGCAGCTTGTTGGGGAGCGCCGGTGGACCCGACGGCGCCGCCGCGCATCCATTCTTCTTCGCGCGCGTTGAGCTCGGCGGCGATGCGGTAGGCCATGGGCACGAGCTCGATGAGGAGGAAGTCGAGGCAGGAGGAGGCGAGGAGGGTGGACGTGGGGTCGGCGTAGGGGAGGTGGTCCGGTGCGCTGTGCGAGGGGCGGTCGAGGGACATGGTGGGCGGTGTGCGGGAGGGGTTGGTGGGTTGGGGACTAAGGGAGGTTCTAGTTTGGAGGGTTCGCGGTGGAGGTTTGGAGTATTTCGGGGGAGGGTGGCAGACGCGGGGGGAGGAAACCGAGGGCAGATTCGTGGGTTGGTATGAGCGGGTGAGGAGTCGCCGTTAAAATTAGTAGAGCGTTGGTAGGGACCGAGATTCTAGAATTGACGTAGTATGAGTGGGCGGAGGTGTTGATACATTTGTAGAAGCACTCCCGAGATGGCTTGGCTTTCCAAAGCCAACGTCCCTCCTTCATTCACTACACTCCATGGTACAAGGGTATACTGAGCCATCTTTCGAGCTTCAAAGAGGCATCTGCTATTTCCCGTTCGGAGTGGTTACTTAATCTTTAGCCTAGGTATAGAGACTAGTATCTTCTGCTTGACCGAAATTTCTGTGTGAATTCTCAGATACGTAGAATATGGAAGATGCAAATCAAAGCATTCAATGCCGATGATTCCTGGAGCTCAACCCCTCTATATCTTTGATACCCTAGGCAGATACTCTATTGGAATAGTAGCAATCATGAGTAGCGTGTTTGGTCTCTAAAGATAGTCAAAGTACATAGATACAGCGTAAAGTTTTCTTAGGTTATTACTTTAAACCAGTCCATTATCATTGCATTCATTATCCTTCAACATATCTTTTCGACTCAACCCCTATATCTACGTAAGCCTTTTGCATCTTAAGATCTAGGAATTAGGATGGGAAAAATCAAGCGACCCGACGTTATTCCACTTCCATCTCATCCCTTCCACTCCCCCAAAAAGAAAACCAGAAGGAAAGTCAAAATAACTTCCAGGAATCAAGATATCACCCTCTTTTCGAGTAGAGGTGTAGAGAACTTCCGAAATGGCTTTCTGGCTAAAGCTCTTTGACAGGATACTTGTCTAGAAAGCTATCGGGGTACCAGTCCTTCACCTGTCCCCCTTCAATATCTACCCGGCCGGGATACCACCACACATTCTTGAGCTTCTTTTTCAGAGCTTTCTTGGAGCCTGTCTACTTTCCGGAGCCTCTTCAGGATTGAAGGTCCAGTTAGGGATTTGCGGACGTTCAGAACTATCTGACCTGGCGAAGACTTGCTGTCGACCTTCGCTATCATGGAATTCTCTTTTCCCATCCAATAAGACTTCTCGTGCTGCAGCTTCCACTTTTTCCCCTCCATCAGATCATCCTCCCAGGTTCGGAATGGGCGAACTCGCGTGAAGAGTTGAAAGCCAGTCTTCTTTTCAAAATACTCCGGTGTCCGATTCTGGCAAGCGTGGCTTTGGTCGCAGAGGCAGCTCGATGTAATACAGGCAAATGTCGCTGTGTCTGCGGAGTCGGTGAGTATTTGAGCCCAAAGGTTGGTCTCCTCGCATCGTATGGGTAGACACTGAAGAACGTTTTCTTCATGGATCCAGCCTATGGCAAAAATTTTAGAATGATCAACGCCAGTTTTACTCAAGATTTTCAGAAGGTCTTTGATGGTATGTAGAACGAATGAACGTTCTGAAGCGTCTAATCTTTCGAACCATCTCTCGAAGCGACCTTCCCGCAATGCGTCAGTGATGCTAAAACGATCCTGCCACACCAATAAGGCACTATGCAATCGGCCAAAACCTCTTGGAGTTTGACTCGCACGGCCGCTCCTGTGCATAGACTAATGTGAAGGCCCCATGATTCCCGGAGTTGGCTAGCAATTTCGGAAGTCATACATGTAACGGTGTCTAGAAGGACCTCCTTGCGAGTCTTTCCAGGCATGTATTCGAACGTTCCGGTGACTTGTGGAATGATGTATTGTCCACCTTGGACACCAACCTGGAGAGCTTTCAAGGTCCATATGGGGTCGTATGTACCGATGGTACGAAGCGAGTCTTGCAAGCGGCAGCGAAGATTCTTCTGAGCATCCGGTGTACTGAGCGGACAGGCCTTGTTCACTTGAAGTGTCGCACCATTCAGAATCCTTGTGTTGGGCCCGCAACCAGGGCTAATATCCAAATATCCGCGTGGGTGAAGGTCGCTTCCAGTGACCATATTATCGTCGGAACTTAAATCAAGCTGGAATGCTGAAAGTTCTTCTTCCAATGCCTTAGTATCTAGGACAGCATCGTTTCGTATTCGTGGTACTTGGAGGCCTTCTTCCTTATGCTGGGCCTTACGGCCCCTTTCCAGCATTTCTTGGTCGTCCAGCACCTTTTCGAAGTCTGAACCTGGACTCCAGTGCCACGCTCCGACTCTACCAGGCACAGGGAGGATAAAGCCGCCCCTGATATAGATAGACTTTATTCCTCCGGCAGAGGGAATCGAGCGGACCAAACGAAAAAGCGATGCTGGTCCCCACATGTCCACAAGCTCCTCGGGGCTCGTGAAAAGATCACATTCACCGCTAGGCTGCCAGTCTGACTGTCCGTAATGGAACACCATCACTCTTTCCCCCAACATCTTTCCGAGACAGGTGAGTTCATGTAGAGACGCTGTGATATGTGGCCCCGAAGGTATATTTATTCCTCCTAATTTGACTGAAGATACGGGTGAAACCAACCATGGGTAGTTCAACTCTCCAATATGTGCTTGAAAATAAGACTGAATGACGGTACATAAGAACTGTACCGACGAGGCCGATCTTTGAATAAGTGGGAAAGTGTGTCGCTCGGATTGGTTTTCTGGCTCGATACCGGCAGGCAGCGAACGAAAGCCCGGTCCAAGTCGGCTCAAAACCGCGTGGACTAATACATCAAGCTCTATTCCCTTTGAGATTCGAGAGCGTCGATGATTGATACCGGCTGCAGCAGCAAAGAATGTACCGACGCCCAAGGCCGTCGCGGGTCCTAACGCTGTGGCAGCCATAGTAACACCAGGGGCATATTCTAGAGCGCGATGGATGAATGAAAAAATGCTACCCTGAGATATTATAGTTTCTCGAAAGCTTTGGAACGCTCTCGATAGTTTCAGAACAAGTTCGATCGGTATATATGAGCTTTCGATGACTAATGGTGTTGCCTCTATCTCTGGGCTTCCTTGAAGAGGCCGCAGGAAAGTCAGGCGGTCGCAACATCTACGGTTTTCTTGAAGCCAGGAGATTGCCGACAAAGCACTTTCGATGGATTTACTTATGCGCTCAGTTAAATCCTGAAGACGTCCCTCATTCTCTAGATGTTCCGAAACAGAAGTGTCATGAGGCACATAGAACACCTCAATGGATTGTTCCCGGACTCGAATGTGAGACCTACACTCTGATATCTGAGCCTGGTGCCACAACTCTGATGTTTCCTTTCCGAATGCTGGTATGTCCTTCTTGAATTCATAGGGCCGAAAGCCGGCTATGCCAAGAGGTGCAGTAACAGTTGTGGAATTAGGCTTTGGTTGGTCGTGGTGCCAGTCATTCGCCTCAGGTTCGATGGTACGGTTTCCTGAGAGTTGATGGACACAATCTGGAGCATGCCGTCGGGGATCCGGCTCTTTGAGCTTCGAGTTTGAGTTCAGATGCTCCTCACGGACTATCCATGGAGAATCGTACTCGTTTTCGATAAGTAATTCGGCAATATAATCCAAATCGTCTCGACCGGTGCGGTTCGTATCGATTACGTCGTATATCCAAAGAAACTCACTATCATCAGGGATCCTTTGGCCATCAGCAAGGTGATCGGAGAGCCATCTTTCGACAGCTTCGCGGTGAATAGAACGCCTGGATGTAAGTTGCTGCAAAGAATCCCCATAAGGTGATCCTCCTCTAACATATGCGTCGTTCTTCAGGAGAGCAAAAAGCTCTTCATCCCAAGCAAGCCGAGGCTTTATTTTCGCCGACATGGTTGGCAAGGCTATCTAGTAATAGGATGCGTCAGCTTAGCCTCGTGGCTTAAAAGCTGGTGTATTCAGGGCGTGCTACCTACCAATCTGCCTGTAATCCAAAGCCTACTATTTTGCGGAAGATATGGAAGACAAGCTGTTAGATTCTTGTAGAAGATTTCGGACCATTAGTGCTGGCTGGTGGTGCACCTGCTCAGCCGCTCCTTGGCCACGAGGCATCAGGTCTCAGCCTGATGACATCGCGATGTGATTCGAGGCAGCATAAACGAGGCGCCTGGCGTTTCTGGAGGCGTATCGTAAGGCAAACCTAATCATCCCACTGTCAATGATCAAATGAGATACTTCACTCGTGTTACACACCCTTATTTCCATAGCAGGAATTTTCACATTGAATCACAACTTGTGTTTTCGATATAGACCAAGTGAGTTTGCTTTCGTCACTTCAAGCGAGTTTCCCCTGCGCGATCTCTCCTTCACTGGTGTTCCACACCCTTCTTTCAATAACGGGAGTCTCACATTGAATCGCAGCTTGTGTTTTCGATATAGGCTAAGCGATTTTGCTGTCCTGACTTCACAGTCTTTGCTTTTCAAGCGAGCTTCCTTTGCGCACCCTCTCCTTCACTTCCTCCCAAACATACTCACCAACACAGACACCCATACCCCCACTCTCTGTTCCACTGCGCGTTCAGAACGAGGGCACAGCATTCCTAAGCAACATCTCAAAGTACGCCTGGTTCCACGCCCCCGCCTCAGGGGACGGCTTAAACGAATCCGCCTTCCCACAGGAAGAATCATACCGCGTGGCCGAGCTATCACTCGTGCCATCCGACTCCCCACCCGGCTTTCCCCAAACAAACGCATCAGCGAGCGAATCACCCGTGCTGCTCGTCGGCCTAACCCCAAAGCCCGCGCCGTTGACATTGCACCAGTCGTTCCACTCCAGCCGTAGCCCCGTCACGCCGTTGCGGCCCGTGTCGACGATGGCTTGGCCCAGACATACCCGCGGCCACGAGCAGCGGCGAGAAGGTGTCGAGTAGATCTTGTGTTCGAGATCTTGGGTTGGTTATAGTAGAGCAATGCTGCGCCATCTAACAGGCGTTCAAGAATAGTTGTGAGCTACAGAGCCGGCGCCATTGTCACCAAGTATGAGGTCTGCAAATTGATCTATTGTTAAGACTAATCCCGTATATATACCAAATCATCGCGGCTAAGCAATTTCATCTCTTCCACTTTCAAAATAATGGGTTTAAGGGGTCGTAGGGATCGACTCGACCCTGTCGATCCTCCGCATCCACATGCTACGATGCCTATTTCATGCATATAGATATCTATCTGTGGTACAGCAACTCCTAAGTACTATCTGCAGCCTCGCTAGGGCTGGTCGGCCGGTGAGGGCGACAGCGGTCCTGAGTGGGGCCACGTAGAAGCGGGCGTAATTAACCAATGGCATTAGTAGACAAAATCTCTTGCTCGTTTTCTCTTTCTAAAAACAATGACTGCAGCCTCTTCAAAATTTCCCTTAGTCTCCTCTCAGCTAGCAATGTAGTAACGTGGCAATGCCTCATATGCGGGATTACCTTCGCGAATGACTTCATGAGAGACTTAATCGATCATGGAAGGCAATGAAGCTTTGTCTGACAAACCTAAAAGCAGTAACACAGAGAGATCCTATTCTTTAGACGATGGTAATACCAACAAGTCAGATCCAACCGTGGTGACCAAGAACGACTGCTGCTCTCAATGCGCTAGCCTTTACCTCGACGCTTCATTCAACCAGGCACTCAGCCACGCTTACAAAGACGGCTGGGGTGATTTTATGACCTTGGCCAGAAATGCGACGCTTCTTCCGCCTGGCCCGGGGGACCAGATCTGGGATTACACAGAGAATGGCGAGGTTGCTCCGCGTGCAAATGATCCCGTTCCCGGGTTTGAAGCGCCTTATCCGGCCGTCAGCGATTCTTATCTTCAAGATTTAAAAGATCTGGCTGCCGAGAGCACCATGAGAGAAGCCTTCATTCAGGACCTAGCAAACGAAAACTTTGTCGATGGAGTATGGGGTAGTGAAGCCGGAGATTCTATTCACACGGTCGATTTCGGAGATCTACATCCCGAAGAAGATAGCACTTGTGGAAGTGACGACGAAGACAAAGGCGGCAGTGAAGAATCCATGAGCCAGGTCGAAGATGACCAAGACAGCGGGGATGACGCTGAAAGTGGAAGTTTCAGCGGGCATGAAGATCCTGAATTTCGGGAAAATCCATCAACAGATCACGATGATAGCCAAGAGGAAGATGCAAGTGAAGATGAAGAAGATGGAAAAGGGGATAAATCAGATCAAGTCATGTCCGAAACAACCAGTGGAGGAAGCGCCAGCGATGACGAAGAATCCAACACAGGCAAAAACCCCGGCGATCACGATATACTACATGCGGACGATCCACCTATCATACAGCGAGGCTTCAAATATTATCACTGGCTGTGTTGGTATGGGATTCCATTTTTGGACGGCCTCACGACATCTACTGGCTCCTGTAAGCTGTGTAGTCCACAACCATGGCTATCAGAACTGCACTCGGACTCCACATACACAGACATGAAGTACGCCTTCCGTGCGGTGCAAAATCATGGTCTCTTCGGCTCCTCTGGGTTTAATGCGGATTGGAGGATGCTGGAAGGCCTTGATGGCGTGTCCGCACTACGATTATTTGATCAAAATCTGAACCGGCATGTTGGAATCGACTTCCTGTCCATTCCTCCACCTGTAGGATCAATGCGAGCCCTGAAGACGGATTCAATAGACTTCAGCATTCTCCAAGATTGGATGAGTTTCTGCAAGGATAAACATACAGGTGGATGCAATATTTCCCAACAGGATGAAGGACGGATCGGTCTCAAAGTTATCGATTGCGAAACCCTCATGCTCGTCGACCTGGGCGACTTGGAATATTTGACGTTAAGCTACCAATGGGGAGTAGGCGAAAAAGCACCAGAGTACTCAATTGCGCTGCCTAATCTTGGTTCGCTGCCTGCTACTATTAGAGACTCAATTACCGCAACTCTCAAGCTAGGCTATCGTTATATCTGGATCGATCGTTACTGGTAAGGCAATCATATGTGCAGAGCTTTGCTAACTCCGCTAACTCATACCAAAGCATAGATCAGTCAAATATCAAGGATGCAATGCGGCAAATTCAAAAGATGGACATCATCTACAGACACTCGGAAGCTACCCTTATAGCCGTTGGCGGCACAGGCCCGTCGTATGGTCTTCCGGGCGTCAGCGAGCGCCAGCGCCAAATGCAATATCGATTCCAATTCGGCGACAAGGAATTCGTCGGACCGATCCACTTCGTCGACGGAGTAGTCAATAAATCGCGATGGGGGACACGCGGATGGACATTCCAAGAGGGCGCGCTATCAAGACGACGATTCATCTTCACTGACCAGCAAGTGTACTTCGAATGCCACGAGATGTGTTGCTACGAGGCAATTGATATACCCTACGAGCACTCGCACTACAGTCGTACGGGAAGTGGCGGAACATGGGGCGTGGTGCTCAATGGAGTCGGGGGAGTATCACGATCACCACGAATCTTCCACGGCACGTCTCAGCTAGACATCTACGACCAGATCAGGATCTTCTCGGCCAGATCCTTCACCAAATCGTCGGATAGGCTTAACGGGATTCTCGGTATGCTGAACGATTTCAAATCTTCGCAACAGATCCGGCACTACTGGGGCGTACCAGTCCCTCCCTACAAAGTATGGCCCGACGAAGTCGTAACGAACCCGCGCTACCCCAGCTCGCAATTCATCAAGGGTCTTCACTTCACGCATTACCCGATCAGTAAGGTGACGGATCGCATTCCCAGTCTCCCTAGCTGGTCCTGGGCAGGATGGGACGGCGAGTTATTGATGGAGACCTTCTTCGTGCGCAACATCCACACGCCCGCCAAAGTGACCGTCTCCCTTGAGCTCAAGAACGGCCAGCTGCTAGGATGGGACAATTTCCAACGCCGCTACGATGAGCTCAACGACTATACTCGCTTCAGCCATGCTATCCACCTATCCGCTCCAGTAGCGAAGGCGTATGCTAAGCGGGACGAAGATGGCAATTTCCAGTGCCTTTTCCGCCTGACTAATGGCTTCTATCTCCGGGCGAAGTCGGTCGATATTTCCGAGTTCAAGGAAGGCGATGTGTACTATTGTATCATCTGGGCAACCAACGATGCACACGCTTTTGCGATTTTGACGATCAAGGTCGAAGACGGATACAAGCGAGTTGGCTCTATCAATGCTTTGGCGGACCATAGAGGCGAGTTCTTCTTGTCAGACGCGAGTAAGACGATTCGGAGTAGCGAGGCGCAGTATGAGCCAGAGTTTGGGAAGCGGTGGTGGAAACAGCTTGTGATGAAGCGGATGAGTCTTCGGATTGTGTAGTCCATCACATGTACTTGACATTAAGTTTTTGAACTTTCACGCTGTCTAGACGAATGGCTGGGCACTAGGCACGGCACTCCTAGGGGTGGTTCGATGGATTTGCAATAGTCCAAATGCTCAACGAGAATGTAACTTTTCTCACCAAAGGGAGCAAGTTGCTTGTAACCCGAAAATATCAAGGCCTTCCAAACCCGTCGAACCTTCACCGGTAGACTCATACCTAGCTTCCCAAGCCTATCCCCAGGTGTTGTACTCTCATACTAACAGTCTGCCAGAAATGCTAACACTAATGATACTTTTAAGTCCTAGGAATCATCATCCACCATCGTCCTCCCGCCATTACAATTTTCCAACCATCATTTCCCAGAAACTATCTCATTAAATGCAAAAGCATGATAAAGAAAAGAAGTACAATCCGAATGCAGTAGCAAACTACCCTAACGTGCCCAGCATCTTCCTCAGAAGATCGGAGCGCGCAACTTGCTAAACAGCTCCTGCAGATAGCTAGTCAGAATATGGCAGCCGGCTCTACTGCAGCCTACACTAGTTCGTTGCAGCCTACGTTAGTGTCACGGCAGGAAAGCTGTGGTCACGGAGATTATCTCCCATAGCCTAAAAAGCGTGAGCAGTGTGCAGAGAACCATTATCTTGCATGCTCGCAAGGACTGCCACAGCTACGCTTACATTGGCCCTACGCCATGCGCCTGCTGTGCGCCGAAATACCTACAAAGACACAAGAATGCCACCAACCGTCGAACGCCATTTATTGCATTGATTCAACACATGAGCTTTGCGAGAAGATGCCACGAACTCTAGGAGACTTGCTTAGTGATCAAGAAAAATAATATGCTTTCATACGTTGTTAGGCCCGGGTCCCTTCCCTTGATCCAACAAAAGATGAGGTTTTAGGAATCCTTCGTCGATCTGTCTGAACGCGCCTGCTGGGTCTTCTGATAGATCCGAGAAAAGCTGCTTGACAGCACCTGTAGCGCTCGCAACTCGGGATGGCTCACTACTACTCCCCGACGCGATAGGCCCAGAATTTGTTCCAGACGTGGGATACGGAGATGGTCCTTGGCCGGCAAGCGGAGATGGCATCCTGTTAGGAGATCGCCGAACTGATGGAGGCAGGTCAAGATCATTATCATCCTCGTCGTTACTGCCGCTATCAGCCGGACTGAGAAGGCCTTGCTCTGCGCCATCTCGTCGAGCACGACTCGAATTCCGTCGAGCCGTGGTGAGCCCGTTTGGTCGGGTTGGCGAAGTAGCGCCATTGACGTTTCCACTACTGTAGACTCCGTTGCGGGTATCCACCGAAGCTAGAGCAAACCCATTGCCGCTCGGGCGTGGGGTGTGGCCGAACCCTTGGCCAGATTTGCGAGCAAAGGTGCCTCCATCTACGACTTCAATGTCAAACTCGTCATCTGAATCGATCTCCTCGACAACGCCCGTGCGGATGCCCATAATCTCCAACATACGCGCAGTCGTGCCGCCAAAGATAATGACGGTCAGCACAACTACAACGAGTACTGTGGCACGTAGGACGTTGCCATTGAGTCCACTTAGACCAGCCGCAAGAGCGACACCGACTGCTCCACGAAGACCGGCCCAGAATATCATAGCTTGATAGGAATAAGGGATTTCTTCGGCGGCTTCTCGCCCCTGCCTTCGTGCGCGAACGCGAATGACAGCGTTGATGAGCTTTGAAAGTGGGAATACGGCACACCATCGTGCTGCGCATATGCCGACGATGGTGACGAGGATGAACAGCGGCTTGTATTCCAGTTCAGAGTCAGTAAAAAGAGAGAGTCCGAGGTAGATGAAGATGAAGTTCTCGGAGAGCTGGGCGGTGACCTGGAACACGAATTTGGTAGTCAATTGCGTCCGCCTCGACATGTTATGGTATGCGTAATGCTTCATGCAAATGCCGCAGAAGAGTAAAGACACGATGCCTGCGAAATCCATGAGTATTTCCCCACACAGCCTGAGAGAGTTCTGTACATACCAGACATGTGAATGGCGTTCGAGAAAAAGTAAGTGGCGTAGGCAATCAAAATAATGAGACAGCTTTCGGTCTTGGGGAATCGTCTCACATGGGTGAATTTTAGCAACAGTGAAGCACCGATGCCAACAAGCAAGCCGATAAATAAGCTGCCAAAGAAGACCCCGAAGAAGATACCGATGGCCTCGAAAAGACTTAGTATGCTCAAGGAATCTGCAGAGCCACCGGCCTTGTACTTTTGCGCCGTCTCGAATAGCACAATGGCAATAGCGTCATTGAGGATGGATTCCCCAAATATAATCGTGTATAGCTTCGGTTCAACTTTGTACGTGTTGAATATAGCCAGGATGGTGACTGGATCCGTGGCGGAGAGAGTTGCGCCGACCGACATGGCTTCAACGAAGGAAATCTTGAAGCCATCGATGTTCCCAAAGATGCGGGTCCACACGAAGAGTATAAGTCCAAGTACAACGGCGGATATGAAGGTTCCGGCAAAGGCAAAGGTAAGAATGGTGCCAATATTGCGAAAGAAGTTGCCCTGGTCCAATTAGCGGTGGTCCGCCTGGGGAGTTTGTCTGGCTGACCTGATGCAACTCATAACCGGAGGAAAGAATAATGGGTGGTAGGAGAAGGTTAAAAAAGAACTGGTAGTCGAAACTAACAGCGCCCAAGACGGAGTCTACAGCGGTTAATCGTAGTACTAATCCAACGACCATACCTGTGGTTGTTAGCTACACGTTGCGACCAGGCGCAATTCTAGCTCATACCAGCAAAGATAGATAGCACCGTCTCATGCACAGCTTGAATCTTGCGGGTCTGCAAGATGTAGCTTGTGAAAAGTGCCACTATCAGGAGCACAATAAGGATGAAGAGCGACCACGATGCGAATATCTCCTTTTGTCCCGCCTCGGGTTCTGTATAATCGGGTTAGATAGGTTCTGGATGCCGAGTATATCGTGGTAGCAGGGCAAACGGACCTTCTGGATCGGCGTCACTAGCATCTCTCTCTATAGGCGCATAGTGGTCAGTCGGGGCTACTTCGAGGTTGCTGAAGGGATGGAAAGACGCACTCATCAACTCGGAGACTGCCCACCCCAGTGTCGAAGCCATGGTAGAGGCTTAGGACCGCGATAACATCTGCAATGCCGGTAAAAGTCGCGGGAGACAGGTGGCTGGGGAGGGGGTGGAACAGAGGGGTTTGCGCTGAGTTATGCTGCGGGCACCCTTGAGGTCGGACGGCAAGGCGACGTGTTGCGAAACCGAGCCAAGACTCGGAACCGTGGCACACTGGAATGGAGGCTCCACAGCGCCGGCGGCGAATGAGGCAGCTGGGCGCGTATGCGAATAGCGATATGGACAGATAGGCGGAGTTGAGGGTGGAGACTGGACTCGCAAAAGGCGTGGTGCATTCGCGATACCCGTTCTCCTCCCAAACGGCGGACAGCGCCTAAACCGCTTCAGTCGCTGGCGCTTCTCTGCCGGGCTTCCCCCAGAGATCGCCCATGACGCAGCCGTGGGTCAGGAACCAGCTGCATCACGAGGCACACGCAGACTTGAACATCACCTGCTCGAGTCTTCTTTCACAATATCTATGCACCTGCACGTGCCTCTCGAGTCCCATCCTCACGTCCGCCAACCTGATCCTCCCCGCTGAAACACCTGGCCATTGGCTCTCCCAAACTGCTCCTCCCCCAGAATACACCGGCTGACGGTACTGCACCCCACAGCCACGCGCCCCGAGCATGGCACCACCTCTCTGCCGCCTTCAACTCGACGTCTGAATCCTATGACTACATCTACTACTCTCCTACTTCTATACCTAGCTTCCTTTTGGGACAACGTTTTCTCCCGAGATACTCCACTCAAGCTCCGCCAATAGCACCACTCCGCGTCACAAGCATTCCACCCAGTCGGACTCCACCAGCTCGAGCCACACGCCACGGCCAGCTATCCAGCTCTGAACCATGGCTTCCTCCTTGCCGAACCGATTCCCCTCTCGTCCCCCCGAACCACCATCAGGCGTCGTCGGACCTGCCCAGCACGTTCATCCTAAGATCGTCTCTTTCCGCAGCGGCTCTGTGGACGGCCGAGGGTCTCTAGATACCATGAACGAGCAGTCGCCACTACTACAACCAAGACAATCCTACGAGGAGGACTCGGGCCTGAAGGTCGTCTCGCCGCTCAGTGATGATGACTGGCAGCACGACGGCGAGGAGGAGACCAAGAGCAGCTGGTACTTGCTGCTGCTGACATTGTCGGGTCTGGGGTATGTCATACTACACTATGGACTATGGTGCTATAGATGGCTCTGCTAGACGTTGGGCAGCCAGCTCCCGGCTCTACGGATCCTCGGTAGAGGATGGTGCAAGGCTCGTCAAGCATCTGTAGCACCTAGTCTACATTTTTGTGATGGGTATTATAGAATATGCTAACGTTTTGTCAGGCTTCAAATTGCATGGTCTGTTGAAATGTCAAATGGCTCGGTTGGTCTCCCAAAATGCTTGCTACAACATCCAAACTAATCTAGTTGAACTCAAATAGCCATACCTACTATCCCTTGGGCTCAGCAAGTCACTCCTAGCACTCGTTTGGATCGCAGGACCTCTATCCGGTACCCTTGTTCAGCCCTACGTGGGGCTGAAAAGCGACAACTGCAGAATTCGATGGGGAAAGAGGAGGCCGTTTATAGTAGGTGGCGCAGTGGCGACTATAGTTTCTCTCATGGTCTTAGCATGGACAAGAGAGCTAGTGGGTGGTTTCTTAAGCATTTTTGGAGCGGACAGAGAGTCTCAGAGCGTCAAGACTTGTATCATTCTTTGGGCTGTATTATTTGTATACATTTTAGACTTCTCTATTAACGTCAGTAAGTACATTTCCCGCTCCGATCACTAGTCTAGACTTGCGGCTCATATATTTCTAGTTCAAGCTGCAACGAGGGCGTTCGCCGTCGATTGTGCGCCCACTCACCAGCAAGAAGCCGCGAATGCCTGGATCATGCGCGCTTCCGGTATAGGGAACATCGTTGGCTATATTTCCGGCTATCTAAACCTACCGAAGATACTCCCCTGGCTCGGAAACAGCCAATTTAAAGTCTTATGCGCCATTGCATCTTTCACTCTCGGCGCCACCGTTGCGATTAGCTGCAGCACCGTCCCTGAGCGTGACCCGAGCCACGAAGATACCCCAGATGGCGGGGATGGCATTATCGCATTTTTCAAGTCCCTGTTCCGCTCCGTCCGCAAACTCCCACCGCAGATTCGGAGAGTCTGCGAGGTCCAGTTCTTCGCCTGGATCGGCTGGTTCCCGTTCCTCTTCTACATCACAACCTACATTGGCGAAATCTACGTCGAGCCCTTCTTCGAAGCAAACCCGAACATGACCCCCGACGAAGTCGACGCGACCTGGGAAAAAGCCACCCGCGTCGGCACATTCGCCCTCCTCATCTTCGCCCTCACCACCTTCACCTCCAGCGTCTTCCTCCCCTTCATCATCCCGCCAACCTTCAAACCACCTCCTCCCCCCTCAACAACACCCCTCACCCCCACAACCCCAGTCGGCAGTCTATCGGCAAGTGGCTACTTCACCCCCAAGAAGCCCGCGTCCGCCCGCGTCTCTCTCTTCATCCGTCTCTGCTCCGCATTAACCTCTGCCATCCAGATCCCCTCGCTGACGCTCCGCCGCGCCTGGCTCCTCTCCCACCTCATGTTCGCCGCCTGCATGTGGCTCACCTTCCTCGTGCGCTCCACCACCGCCGGCACGATCCTCGTCGCCCTCGTCGGCGTCCCCTGGGCCCTCACCTGCTGGGCCCCCTTCGCGCTCATCAGCTCCGAGATCTCGAAGCGCGACGCCATCCGCCGCGGCCTACTGCATACGGGTACGCACGAGGCAGCGCTCGTCGCAGCTGGCGAGGACGAGGCGGGGGCCGAGGGCGCGGACCAGGCGGGCGTCGTGCTCGGGATCCACAACGTCGCGATTGCGGCGCCGCAGGTTATCGCGACGCTTGTGAGCTCGGCGATCTTCAGGGTGCTGCAGAAGCCGCGGGGCGCGCCGGGGGATAATAGCGTGGCGTGGGTGCTGAGGTTTGGCGGGTGCTGTGCTGTGGTTGCGGCGTGGTTGACGCTGAGGGTTAAAGAGGAGAAGGAGATGTTGGAGGATGTGGAGAGGGTGGCACGGGTGGATAGGCGGCTGGATTGAGGCGGGTGGGGCAGTTGTGTAGGATAAGACAAGAGACGTTTCTTTCTTTTTGGGATAACGCGGTGTATGGTATATGTGGAGTCTTTGGGTATTGGGCAATGGGTAGATCCGTGAACGGTGTACGAGCGATTACGGCAACTGCAGGATACAGCGTTGGCTATACGACGGAGCACTGGGAGGGTATTACAAAAACAAGCGGGCTGGCTGTGTTACTGGAACTCGGTGTATTGGGTGTAGCGTGCGTTGCACAGAACACTCCTGAAATGTTGAAATCTTCTCATTACATCTAGATTATATCATCGTCATCACTGTCCGGCCCGAGCACCAGCTCCCCAAAATCATCATCGCTATCACTATCTCCACCTCCCACCTTCGCTGGCTCCGGCGGCGCCATGTTAGCTATAGGGGCTGGCACAGGAGCAGAGACTTTCTCCACGCTAAATGCCTCCCCTGGATCAGCTCTCCGAGAAACGTCCGCTGGAGTCGATAGAGAATCATTGAGAGAAGCTTCGCCCACTGCTGGAGTCTCGAGTCTTGGGCGTTTGGGAGATGGTGGGGCTGGGGCGAGATCAGTGTGGGTGCGTTTCGCTAGGTTCGCTATGGTTGCTGGGTCTTGGGCGAATGGGTTGGCGGAGGTAGATGGAGTGGTTGGGTCGGTAGCCTCTTCCACGGGGATGTCATGCTTTTCGGCACTGTCATCGGCCTCCTTTTCAGCCACGTTTTCTTCATCTTCCTCGTCATCGTCTTCTTCTTCATCCTCCTCGTCATCAGCAGAGCGGCCCTTTCCTGTCCTTATCACGGGCATCCGGGGCCTAACCAAGCTTTCGACATCTAGGCTATCAGCAAAGCTACGCGCAACTAGGGGCATGATGCTTGCGGCTGGTTTTGCGGCGTTCTTCGACGGAGGCGGATTCAAGACACTCGCTATCATTGCTTCTTTGTGCCGAGTCAAGATCGCGGTGCGGTCGATCTTTGCTCGAAGGGAGACTGAAATATATTTCTGTGGCAACTTGAGTAGAAGCACGGGAAGCAAATCGTTAGCCGCTGCTTGCAGACCAGCAAAGGTAGCAGGGGGGGTTTTCGGCTTCGTGGAGGAGGTGAGAAAAGTGTCTGCGTTTGTGGATCCTTGTTGAGTCTTCGCTTTGCCGTTGGTTGGTACTGGGGCAGTCTTGGCTTGGGTGGTTGTGGCGTCCTGGGGGAGGAGATCGTTGCAGCATGAATAGATTATTGCTTTGAGCGGTTCTACGGATGACTTTGGTAGCGTCGGCCCTGACAGGTGTAAGATCTGAGTCAATGCGGTATATAATGCTGTCCGCACTCCGACAATGTCTTTCTCGGCGCTGTAAACCCAGACAAGCTGGTCTAGCATGCTGGTGACTGTTGATAGTAAAGATACTCCGAAACGCTCAAGGAGTGAATGCAGTACTTCAATAGCCGTAATGTGTATCCGAGGTAACACTGCCCATAGGCTTTCGCGTTCTTCTCTTCCTACTTGGTTGTTCAACTTTACATTTTGCTGCCAGTTCTTCGTTCCTTGTGACGCGGGAACCGTGAGAGAGAATATCCTCGTGAGAAGGTCCATCACAGAGTCAAGTCGAAAGTAGATGGTGCTGTGTGTAGGTGTGTTCGCGTACTCTTTGACCAAGTGAAGCAGAGCTATCAATCTCTCGCTACCAGCGTATATCCCAGTCCAGAAGGGAAGGCCCATTGAATTGTTCAGTTCAAGATCTCGGACCTCGTTTTCCAGAGTGTGTCCATTGGCCATCTGAGCAGCTCCAGATGTAGATTGCCAATCTTCGATGACAGCTCGGAAGACTTTGTTAGCGACATGGTGGGCGTTTTCCAGGGTATTGACCAACGACTTCCTCCACTCTTCCTGCGAGGTTCCCTTGGGTGCAGAGTAATGTAGCTGGACCCAAAGCCGGCGTGCCGCCGTAGAAATTTCTGGGGAGATATGGATTCGTAGTCGTGGTGATAGTTCTTCTGCAGTCTGATTCGACGGGGTTGGTGCAATCAAGGGAGCAAGGAGCTTCTGAATCTGAGATAGATATGTGCGAAAGACAGTAGCATGCCGTGGGAGTAACTGGTTGAAACTCTCGAGCACCGTTTGCACTAACGACGACGAAGTACTAGTGGAGACTAGATGAAGACATGACTGAATGAAAGTTGGAAGAGAAGGCGTAGTGATTTCTCGGACCAGCGTAGGGTAGTCCCACGTCAGCGAAAATATTCGAGTCAAAGTTATGATACTAAGTCTCTTAGACGTTGGCGGGTCTGGCTTTGTCAATATTGCCAGAAGACTTCGAACCCATGGCCCGCTCTTTTGGAGAGTCTCCCATCCGCCGACCTCGATGGTGGATTTAATAAGAACCGTCCCTGCCCATCTTCCCTGAACGGAACGGTGCTGGATGAGAGTGGAAAGCTGAGTCTTGAATTTGTGTACAACGACAGATGTCTCAGAGGTGGCTTTTGAACTTGAGTTTGGACTTTCAGATAGAATAGCTTTGCAATGCGGAAGAGAGGCTGATAGTGCAGGAACCTGCAGCGGGAGCTTTTCTGCCAAGGTTGATGAAATCCGGAATGTGATGGCGCGGAGCGTGGCAGTTGGGCCGGCGGTTGCCTGAGGTGCCATAGTATCTTACTCAAGGTGCATTCGAGTCGAAATCCTGGGACTGAAATTGAACAGGGAGCTTGGAGATGGAGCAAAAAAAATGATAGACCCGGACTAACAGTCGGGCCGAACTATATTTGGACAGGGGTCTGGCTCCAGCATCCCTCCGCCAACTTTCTGGGGTTGCGACGGAGGACGTGCCGCTCTCTACCTCCGTTGTAATAATTCGACTCTTGAGTATGTTTCTAGCCTTGATAAGCCTTTGTGGCTAGATCAACCCAACTCGCGTCACCATGGGGGTAGGTTTTCCATGCGCAACATCCTCCCATGCACAACGTCATCCTGGAGCCCTCCAGCTCATACACGTCTAGGTTCAAGAGAACGAGAAGGCATTGCGCTACATAGGCCAATTGGACGAAGCGCGATGCACCGCACGTTGGGCCGATGTCCCTGAACTAGCAAGGAAGATCGAGAAGCATGCGCCACACCGCCGCTGTACGATTTGCCCATTGTTTAATCCTCCAACACGGTGCTGACATCTCCAGGCCTCGCCCTTACTGCAAGATCAGAGGCTCGGATAGGCACATACAGCGCCCAAAGACCCTCCACTTCGGCGTCTACCTCCTCGGCCAACCTCTCCAAAATAATACCTCCATTGCTCACAGCCATCGAAGAAGAAGCGGATTACCCCCAGGACGCCTTCCAGGCCACGATTTGTCTAGGTTGGCTACACTTTGTTTTGGATGAACCAGGGCTGGCAGTGGCGAGGCTTCCAAAAGACTTCTCTGCAGCTATCTTGAAACTGTCCAGTGACAGTCATGCGCTTGGAGGTTGGACACAAGTGTGTATTGTAAAAGGCGCGTATATCAAAGGTAGGGACTCTAGGATCATGAAGCCCCACTTTGCCTTCGAGGAACTCGATTGACAATTGTAGGATTCTCGCAGGAGAAAACCTCTGCCGTACAGGACGCCTTGAAAACCTACAGCTCGGTCTTTCCATTTCTACTGTCCCTGACTTCCTTGAATTCCACCTCTGCGCAGTTCCGGCTGTGGACCGAGCGATTGTTAGGACGAGCTTGCTTGCTAGTGGACCAGTCGAGTCCCGAGATACATGACATAGATTCGGCACAATCATTGAAAACCTTTCGAATATGGCAACGGTTATGGGACAGCTTAGCTGGTTCAGGGGCAAGTGGTTCGGAGGCAGGGAAATCTCGCCGCCTCGTTTGGAAAGCGTATTATGATACGCTATCTACGCTTTTACAGCGGGGTCACTCCTATGGGCCAACGCCCACTAATCTAGAACCCCGCAAGTACGATTCTTCGGAGAAGCTTGATCAGCATCTGAACTCCAGGCTACAACAGCGATCGGAGTTAAAACGAGTAGAAGCTATATATGAGGGACTAATCCTGAAAGAGACACAATTTCCGAAGGCCAGCGAGAATAACTATGAGATTGAGCAGTGGGTTGACGCAGTCATAAGCAATTGGCGAGTGCTTTGTGGACCTGGCTGGCAGGATGAAGAACTAGGTGAAGGTGGCAAAGGCGCTGTTGGGCGAGGTGTCCTCGATGTAAGTCTTCGAAGAGGCCAATTCAGACCATCACTGACCTATGGAAACAAAGATTCTCTATCGCGCAGCTACAAAAACTTTCCACTCTACGCAAATTCTGCGACACCTATTCAATGTACATGCATCTCTGGCTGAGTTCGATCTCTCTTTCAAGGCATACGACTCATATGTTGAGATTGTCACGAGAGGCAAGGATCGCGCCGAAAAGAGTGGAGAAGACGAAGCCAGTATGGATGATGATGACACAATACTACGCACTTCTGCGGAAGCCATTAGGATGCTTTGTCGGTTTGGTTCGCGGGACGAGGCTGAGAAAGCCCTACATATTGGTCAGAATATCGACAGGTGGCTGAAACAACACACACCTTCGATTTCCTTCCTCAGTCCTACTCCAACCGATAAAGATGTGGCCAGAGATTCCGAGGAACCTACCAAATACCAACTCCATCCCAGGACACTAGCGGTTGCGTACCGTGCTATTGGCATATCTCAAGCACATTGGGCCCTCTGGACATACGAAGCTGGTTCCAGAACCAGCCTCCAGAAGCAAGCTATTCACTATCTTCGAAAGTCACTGGAACCCAAGTTTCAAGATCCGCACAATCTCGAAACTCTCTACGCACTCGGTCTAGCCCTTGCTGAGACGCGGGATATTACTGGAGCGCTCAAGATTGTCAAACGAGCCCTGTCTCGTGCCACAAAGCTCGACTCATCCATCAGTATAGATGGCGTGATTTCAGATGGACCACCAAATGCAACCGCTCCGTTCCTACGAGAGCGGAAACTCATTCCTTTGTGGCATCTCCTCTCCCTACTTCTCGCTGCTCGTTCAGACTTCAGCACCGCAGCCAAGACCTGCGAAGCTGCATTCGAACAGTTCGAGAATCCAACAATTCTATTTGGTAAAGGAGATGATTCGAAAGAATATCGGAGTGACCATTTGAATGCAAAGGAAAAGCACACCAGAACGCCCCAAGCGATTGTGGACCAGATGGAAACGTATGAAAAGGTTGGCATTATCGAGATAAAAATGACGCAATTGGCATTACTCGAAGTCCTCGAAAACTCCCACACAGCTGTTGATGAGAGCGATGAGCTGCTTGGGTTGTATGCTCGACTGTTCGGTGACCCTTCAGAGGACCAGACGAAACGACACCTTCACACCGCAACTCCCGCTCCCCCGATGACTTCATCTGCTACTATCAAAGGCAGCATATTCCGGTCGAGATCGACGCGGAAGAACGCAGAAGCAGGGGCCGCCATCGCAAGAGAAACGTCTGAAAACGGCTCAAGGCCATCAACTGTGGCTACGCAGAGGACTGTGGCTACGCAGGCAACCGCAGCACCGACCATTCAAGTCACGGACGAAAATGGCTCAGAGAAGGCCAACGGTCATCGTCACAAACTCCATCTTAAGCATGACCACAAGCATGACCACGACCAAGCGGCGCCGAAGAGGAGTGGAAGCGTCAAGCTGCAGAAGCGGAGCGCTGGGAGTCTGCGAAGGCAGTCACAAGGCGAAGAGGACAGGACAAATGAACAGTACGAGCTTGACGGCGCTCCAAATGGGAAGCCTCATCGCAACAACTCTCTGCGAGAGAAGACAACTCATCGTCCATCGATGTCTAGCTCAATCAGGAAATCGGCTGAGATCCCAGATCGACCCCTACATCCAGTGGCACACAATGCACCAAATACCGTGCAACCTCCACCAGTAGGGCATGCTAAGCAACCGCCTCACCAGGACAATAGGCTACCAGCACCATTTCCTGACCCGAACTATACACCTCCGGATCCACGCTTTTCTATATTACAAGAACGCCGACAAAGGGTTTCGTTGTTGGTCAAGGTCTGGCTGTTCATTTCTGGTCTCTATACGAGGTCCGCAATGTATGAAGATGCTAAAGGAGCTATAAGAGAAGCAGCCAAGCTTGTCCAAAGCCTCGAGTATGAAGTAGCTCAAGAGTCGTCAAGTTCGAAAGCCTTTGCAAACCAGGGCTGGGGTGGAGGTAAGAGTGTAGAGGAGTTGTGGGGAGATACTTGGGCGAGTGTAAGTGAAAATTCACGCGAGCAAGGACTGACTGCCTCTGACACATCTCTAGCAAGGTGAAATGCTTCAAGCACAAGACTCTCCACACGAGGCAAGAGTTGAGTACGAGAAGGCGCTCTCGCATTTCCCAGATCACCCGACCGCAATAGTAGGATTATCGAACATCCTTTTGGACATCTTTAGCCAAGTTACACCCGCCGATCGAACTCCAATTTCGAATTTAGCTTCGCCATTGACATCTCCTTCTGTACCGGTAATATCCACAACGGAGGTCGATACAAAGAAGACGCTTCTCGTATCCACAGCGCCTTCCGCTGAGAATCAAGTCTCTGCTCCCGAGCTTTACAGGCTCGCCGCTCGCGATCGAGCTCATGGCTTGCTCTCAACGCTCACCAAGCTTGGCTCTGGATGGGACTATTCCGAAGCTTGGCTTGCTCTTGCCCGGGCATACGAAGAATGTGGGCAGATCGAAAAAGCAAAAGAGGTATTGTGGTGGTGTGTTGAGCTTGAAGATTCGCATCCAGTGAGAGAGTGGAGTAGCGTTGGTGTGGGCAAGTTTGTTTTATAACCCAAGTTGAGTGCATGAGGTTCCTTTGAGGGAGAGCGGAGATACCCAACATACATATTCGTTTGGATCAATGCATACATGGCTTCAATGGCATTTTTGAGACTGAAGTCGCTTCGTTTGGTTTTTGTCGCATATGTCATTTCTTGCTTATTCAGAGTCCCCAATACCGTCAATCTAAATCCCCCTCCAAATCACGCCAAGCCTAACGCAGAGTTAGGTCGTTGGCCTCTGCCTGTAGGGTGCTTCAATCTCTCCGGCAAAGAACAGCTTCGCCAAATCTTGGCGGTGAAAGACAGGCTCCAGTCATGCATCGCTTTGGCCATGCACGGGCCAACTGGGGTAAAATTGGTGATTGTCATCACTGAATCTATTGTGCGTCTCTGAATAGGGCACAATAGTGAGTCCATCAACAACAAGAAGCTGTCTCTGCGTTGCTTGTCTCACAGGCCAAAGCCACGACAATGATGGGAGCACCTTCACTTCACTATATTATGGAACAATTAGACCCCAAAGCCTCTTTAAAAGGGACCGCTTGACCTGTCTTCTTCTTACAACAATTCCACTCTCCGTCAGCACTACCAACACTAAATACAACTCCAGACTCGAAGATGGATTTTGCTACCCCTGAAGAAGCGGGCGTGCGTCATTGGCTTCAAACCGTCCCAAGCCCATTTCATTCTCCCGACGAATTCGGCAGAAGTCGTTGCGTCAGCCCATCCACTCCGCCTGCTCATCCGACCGACGAAGATCTTTCTGCAAGTTACTCAAACACAACGGATCGAGGCTTGTTCGACCGAACAGTCTCCACCACGCTCTATGCCTCCCCCGCGTCTTCGGCAACCAGCCTGTCCGATTATCGAAGCTGCGTTGCATCCGTCAAATCAACACCATGCAAACCCCATGAGGCCCTTGCATCTAGCGTCAACACTGGTCCCGGCAAAGACGGTTTCTCAGTCCATTTCGATCAGGACGAAGAGTGCGACTCTCCTGCTGCTGGTTCCGAGGCTCAACCCGAGGTTGTTCGCGAAGAGGAATGCTATCCCAACCTCAACAACGCAACAACCAATAATCCGAAGACTCTCAGGGTCATATTGGTGACGTCATGCTTGCATTGCGTCCTCGCGAAGCTCCCCTGCTCTCGCACTTTACCGGCGTGCTCGCGCTGCGTACGGAATGGCAGGTTGTGTCTGCCCCAGCGACGGAGGATGAACACAGAGTTGGTGAGGGGAGATACTATCGGCAATGTCCTTCCCATCCCTTTCTATCTTCCGGACGACGACGCAGAGACTCGTGGCAGGAAGGTGGCGCTATATGATGAGGTGAGTGATACACCCTGCGCAGAGCTCTTTTCATTGTGATCGCTTTGACTGACTGCAATCTTAGTTGATGAGTTTCTGGAAAGCTGAACAAGATAAGAAGAACTGGGTCTTGCCGACCGAAGGCAGACTCGGCGGGTTCCCAGGACGTTGGTGGGTGAAGCGCGAGCCTCGCCACCCTGGTGAGGGCACTGGAACTGTTACTTATCAAGCCGTTCGTACTCGGAGGCCGGGATGAGCAAATAATCGGACGGGAATTGGAAACACAGCATTGGATCGGTTGGGGAGGCATCTAGACATCACATTCATCCAGAAACCGGAGTGGCCAAGCAGTGAACCGGATTCAAACTGACGGTGATTGGATGGACTGGACACGCCGCTGGATGGCTGGAGTTTAGGACTTTATTCTATGCGGAGCAGCGTTCGAGAGTAGGGCCACATATTTAGGATATCTGGAGGGCCGACGGGCGGTTATATGAGCTCTCTAGAAATCTCAAATAGGCCACCTACTTAGTTAATATTGCAGAGCGACATAATCAAACCTTTTTTAATGAACATTGCACTTGACCTTGTCACTGGCATTGGCGACTGCGCTCGGATTACATGAAAGCATTAATCAGAGCTCAGATTCTTTTCTTCTACATTTCATGCCATCAAGCTGATGCTGAATTTGATTCTCTGAAGGGCTGGCCTCGACGCTGACTAGCTCGGGGATATTAGCAAGCGCTTCGATGACTTCAGCCCAGACTTTCCGCCTTAACCCTTCTCCTTCGGTTCCAGATACTAATGGTGCTGGCCTGGATTAAAATAAGTTGGTATATTGTCGAAGAGTGAGGAAGACTATGAACTTACGGCCTGATCTCGTCATGCTGCCAGAATCTCCCATGAGCCTTTTTCCCCAAAGTGACCCCACTAACCAGAGATCTTGCACCCTGCTCTGTGGTTCTCAATAACACAGCATTTATAATGCTTTTCATCATCCGCATCCCTAGTCCATCATACCCTCGACTAAGATCTGACTTCGCAGCGCCAGGGCAGACCGAAGTGACAAGCACCTCAAGCTCACCGTCCTCCAATCGAGCCAACATAGCTAAGCTCTGCATGACATACATCGCGAAGAGCTTGGATGTCTTGTACTGCACACTCGCGTCGTAACCCTTGTCATCGTTGTATGCCGCCATGATTTTCTCCTTCACTCTCCTTTCTTCAGGGATCTGGATCGTCTCATGATTCCCAGACGTCACGATCTCCAACACCGGCAATACTCCACTCTTTCTTCTCGCCTTCTTCAACACCGGAAGCAGCAACAGTCCCAACAACGCCGTCGAAACCACATTAACCTGCAGCGTCTCCTCCAACCCATACCTCGACATCTCATATTTTACCTTATAAACCCCCGCATTCAGCACTGCGACATCCAACCTCTGCAGCTCCGCAGCTCTCGTCGCAAACCTCACCATGCTCCTATAGTCGCACATATCAAGCTGCCATGGCTCTGCCTTTCCTTTGACTCCGGTCCGCTGCTCGATGAGCTCTTTAGCGCGCCCGCCCTTGGTCAGATCCCGCACGCCCAGAATCACGCGGTCTGCTCCCAGCGCGACGAATTTGGTCGCGGCTTCGAATCCCAGGCCTGTGTTGGCGCCTGTGATGAGGATGTTTTTGCCGGCGAAGGAGGTGGTGGGGTTGGTGGGGGCTGTCCAGGCCTGAGTGAGGAAGCGGAGAGTGCGGGAGGCCATGGGGGAAAGTGCTGACGCTTAAGAAAGTATGGTATTGGAGGTCTGAGTTGAGGTTTGATCGATAGGTGGTAGCTGTTCTTTCATATGTGAGAGTATCGAGGTTAGGGTTTATAAATGCCGATACGTCCGATCGAGCATTCTGGGATTGTGGCCTATCAGCGTTAGAGCACGGTTATTTCGGTTATCATAGCTAACATCCTAGTTTAGGTTCTATTTTAGAGTACTTAAGAGGAGCTTCGGATAGAAAGTGGTCCAGAAAGCAGGCTCTAGATAATATCGGTGTCGACTTTTGGAAAATCTGCATGAAGGGCCAACCAGCTGGCATCAGAGACGGCGCCAACTCCAACTCGGACGTAGCCATCCTTGACAGAAAGATCTTTAACTACCAGTAGACCGTATATCTCAAAAGTCGGGGTAACGTAGAGGAAAACAGCAGCTATGACGAGGAAAAATACTGGTTTGGTTGAGTCGATGAAGTCGCGGCCATCGTCGAACAGGGCCCACCCAGATGGGTCATTATCCAACGCGGCAATGTAGCGGCCACTCCAGTGATTTGCCCTTGCCCGGAGAGGCGTGAAGCTTTCTTCGTCATCAAAACTTTTCGCGAAATATCGACTTATCTCTATCCGTTGTGCTCGCACACTCAGCCTGCCCGTGGTCTTGTTAAGTCCTAAAATCTCGCAAGCTGGCGAGAACTGAACACAGTCTTTGCCGGTGACTACTTCGCGGAATCTGAACCAAAGCTCGTAGGGGCATGACGCCCATGACCACGACGGCAGATTGGTGAGCATCTTTCCAAGCATTTTTGGGCTCCAAAGAAGGTGCTCGGGCAAGTCGCTTTCCCATGTGCCGAAGGAGTAGAAGGTACTGGCAGGTTTTAATTTCGCAAATTTCCTTGCCAGGCCTTCCAACGAGACGAGCCGATCCGTCTGGTGCGTGAACTTCCGACTCGAGTGCTCTTGTATGATGCTTCCCCACTGGTTGCTCCAGTCGCGGAGACCAAGGCCTCTTCCGACAATAACAAATCTCGTCTCATCTTCGGCTCGTGATTGACAGACCCAAGCCATTCCATTCTCCATGAAATGAACTATTCTTCGTGATAGGATCCACTCTTGAGTGGCCCAACCTCTGGTTGAAAGGGTGGTATCCATCGGATCTAGTGCCTTCATAAAGGGCTCCTGCCTCCACTCAATGCCGATATGGTAATCTCCAAGCAATTCGTCACCACTGGCAGAGTCCTTTTCAAGAAAGGAGAGCTGAGTTGAAGGCGTGTGGATCCTAGAATAATCTCTTTGGAGGAATAAGCCCAGCGTAGAATCCACAGCGGACGAAGCAGCGAGGGTCAGCACTGCTCTTTCATAGATGGTTCCCATGTCCTGAGATTCAGCAAGCCATTCGTTTTCATCATTTTGGACGATACATAGCGAGTCAATCCAGAGATAACGGAGCCCGGGCGCTTTCGTAACCTTGACAGCGTGGACAAAGGTCTTGGGCATCGAAGAGAGCGGTATGCCACGCATGCGATCGTTCAGGGTGTCTCTTGTAGTTTTCAAAGGGTGATTTTCGGGAATTCCCCAACAATGACTGAGCGCAACCCATTTTCCGTCTGGATATCCGGCTGTATCAACGAGGCGCGGTTCGACGTCGGAGAGCGGAAGTCCTAAGTCAAGAAGTCGATGCGGCAGTTTGTGAAGTTCATCTGCATAAATCGTTTCGCCGGAGATCGTCTTCATGCATTGTGAATGGTTATGCTGACAGCTCTGAAACCAGCTTTTTATAAGATCAAACGCTTCCGGAGACTCAGAGGTTTGCAATGGTTTACGATACGATATATACTGGTTCAGTTTTGGGGACGTATCTTAAACGTTTTAGCAACGGTATAGAGACTGATGAGGAAGCTGACCTCTTGAGTGATGTATTTGTAGCCTTGTATAGACTACTTTACGCTCCTTGTCAGTTAGCTCGGCTACTGGTCACTTCCACAACAGTTGAAGGTGACCGAGCGTGAAGGATGTGGATGTCGTCGCGTTTAGATCGTCTTCCTTCCAAAGCATCAAAAATAGAGGGTCCCGGCTAGAACGAAGTTGGTCAAGGATGCGATGAAACAAGATGCTGCCTTTACCTCGTCTAATGCTTTCCAGTATCTTGGCCAGGGGTTCTCTTGAGTGGTCAAATGGCCGTCCTCGTTCCCGGAACGAATCCAGTATGCACGCAATTCGAAGTATCTCACACAATGGGCATGTCTCTGCTGATGAAACGAGGTCGCAGGTCATACTGTGATGCTGAATGACATTAGATGGAAGGCGGTCCTCTGGCTGTAAATCCTCTGGAGAAATAAATCTCTGTCCGTCGATGTAGGCATCACGATCTGTGGGCCGCGGTGGCCCACGTGGCCAGAACGCGTCAGTCGTCGGCCTCTCTTCTTCCTTCTTATCAAATGCGAGTAAGAAAGCTGACAATTGCTCCGCGGTCGACTGGCATACGTCGCAGAGTACCTTACGATCTGCAATTGCCGAGGAGATGGCGGCCATATGCTCGCGACTTGATGACTCGTCAAACTGAAAGTACTGCTTGTGTACTGCCCTTGAATACTGATTCTCCGCGGCGAGCGTAGCCATTCGACCAAGCCTTGATGATTCCAATGAAGTCTCGAATATTTCAGATAGGATACTAGGAGCGACAACGGCACCGTCATCAGAAGAATTCATGTACGCATTTCGCACTGCTATGATTTCTCTGTTAAGACCGGCTCTGATGTCTTTCGACAGATTGCGGATGACAGAGTCTTGGAAAACTTCAGCCTCGACGGCTTCAGCAAAGCAGTTAGAAACACGTGAAACCTCCATCTGAGGATGTTAAGTCATAGTCGGAGTAATTGGGAGCAAGGCTCTAGCCGTCCAGGCATTAGATGTGTATGCGAGAAGAAGAGACGAGTTCAAGACGGTAGTAGGCATAACTTAAGGCTGGCGGCTGCCTCAAAAGCGCGCTAAGTAGCCCTGTCTAAGCACGTGATATTCCATTTCAGCCTCGCCCAACTCAAATCTGTCTCCCGATGCAGGAGACCCAATTTAGCCCATGAGTAGAGAAAGTCTTTAAAAGTCACTTTTGATTGCATCTCTGTACGGGTTCCTTCCTGAATGCATTATATAACGGTGTACTCCACTGTATCACTCTTTCGAGAATGGTAACGGTGGTTTGCCGTATTCACCACAGCGTATTGGAATGGCGGTCGCTTTAAGGGTAGTTCGTGAATTCAGATTGAGATACTGTACAGTATCCTAGAGATACATGAATTAATGTGCATGAATGAAGTGCGTTTATGAAGATGCCCGAGAAATACTTTTCAAAATCGCGTGTTGGGGGCGGGGAAGCCGCCTTAGGTATCCTTGCACGTCTCTGAACTTCAGTGAATCAACTCAACCTCCACCCACGCGCTTTTTGTGTCAACTTCTGAGGAACTGTTCCTCCAACGATCCCAAGTCATCATCTCAATTCACTCGAAAGAGTTTGGAAGCATGCAAAGGCTGATAGTGCGCAATCTATAAGGCTGTGCCGGAAATGAGGCTTCTACATTCAGAAACGTGGGAATTGCGAGAATTTGCCAACCTACCAGAGCATGCTATACTTTCGCACAGATGGGAGGATGAGGATGTTACCTTTCAAGACCTGCAATCCTGGAGAATGTTAACCTTGTACGCTCAAGAAAAGTAGGCTGGAAGAAGATTGAGCGCTGCTGTGAGCAAGCGACTAAAGACGGCATCCAGTGGATATGGGTCGACACTTGCTGCATCGACAAAAGCAGCAGTGCTGAGCTATCCGAAGCCATCAACTCTATGTACAAATGGTACGCAAATGCGAGCAGGTGCTACGCCTATCTAGCAGACGTTTCTAGGACCACTTCAGAAGAAGACAGCCATGAATCAATACAGGGAAGTAAATGGTTCTGCAGGGGTTGGACCTTACAAGAGCTATTGGCTCCCAAACACATGATACTGTACGGATCCGATTGGTGCAAGCTGGGAACCAGAGAAGAGTTAAGCTACGACATTTCTGTTGCTACTGGCATCCACGAGCCGGCGCTTCGGGGTTCCCAAGAAGAGCTAGGCAAGTATAGCGTTGCGCAGAGGATGTCCTGGGCATCGAGAAGAGAAACTACAAGACCAGAGGATATGGCGTACTGTCTTCTTGGACTCTTCAACGTCAATATGCCGCTCTTGTATGGCGAAGGTGGCAAGAACGCTTTCATAAGGCTTCAGGAGGAAATTATGAAGAATTCTGATGACCACACTTTATTCGCTTGGACTGTGCCAGTTGAAAGACTCAACACCCTTGAAGCGAGCAAGCTAGTAGGACTCCTAGCTGAAGATCCGGTGTACTTTCGGTCTTCCGAAGATGTACTCTCTTTCCGGCGCTGGGATATCAGCGATCCTTTCTCTATGACAAACAAAGGACTCAGGATCACAGTACCATTGGCTGCCATCCCAGGATCTTCCGAAAACTGGACAGCGTACCTCGACTGTCACAAGATCAAAGATGGGCATCGGTTTGCTGTTGGTGTTACGCTTAAACAGCTCGCGTCCGGCGGGGACCAGTTTGCAAGGGTAGATCGAGAGATACTAGAGATCCCATTGAGCTTGGAAAATGAAGTGTCAGAGGCGAGACGCGAAATTTACATTCGGAAAGACATCATTGAACCGAGTGTAGCTTATACGGCTACAGATGTGCGGCGGCCGCAGGAATTCCGTATCGTTCAGACACCGGAATCGCACAGTCTTATAAAGAGCCATGGATGCGTTGCGGACATAACGGATCCGTTGAGGCTACTGGCACCTCCTAAACCTCCGAAAACGACCTGGTATTGGGTGGACCCACATTCGTGGGCGAATTGGCATGTGGCCTGCCATTTCGAGGCTAGAGCAGACGGTACGGAGTCGCAAACCTCAAATTTCAATATTGTTCTAGGTTATGACGGAAAAGCATCAAGGTCTTGGTGCATGATCGAACAACACAGCCGCCAGCAACTGCAAGACATATGGGACGAAGTACGCTACAGCGAGTGGGATGTAGTTTCCAAAGCTATGCCGGATAAGTCAAATGTGGTTGAAGTCAGACTAGAGCCCTCTACTGAGAAATCCGGCATCGTTGAAGTAAAGATACGGTGCAGACACGATGAAGACAATACCGCCGAAACGGCATCCCAGAGGAGCACAGACCCGTTTTCTATCATCTCCTTGACAGTCGATGTCGCTTATATCTGTGCTGAGCTTGTCAAGTACTTGAAAGACATCAACGGGGCTTCCGCACCAGTACACGAGGATATAGAGCTATCTATTCAAGTGTTTGAAATGCTTGATGCTGTTAATAAAGCAGTCCGAATTGTATTCCGAAAGGAGATATCGTCGTCGGAGCCATTTTCGCCAGATCTATTATGGGTCCAGATTGAGGGAAGTTTGAGAAACTGTCGCAGAGACATGGAAAAGCTAAGATTGTTAGCTGAAGAGACATATGGCGAGGCAGACCAAGATGATACGGGAACTTCGGATTGGCTTATGAAGGCGAGGAAGGCATTGTGGGGGGAGACTTACCTCAAGCAATGTCGCAACAGTCTTTCGACATATTATAGGAGTCTCCATCATGCTTTAGACTCTACAAAGTTGTAAGCTCGCTTTCTTCTCCTTCTTTGCTACATGCTAATTGATGCAGTCCGGATTCCCAAGGCTCTAATGGGAACCCTTTTCAATCGTTCATCCAAATCCCGCGAGCAATTCAAAAAGCCCGGTCACAGCTTTCCACTTTGCAATACGTCGCTAGGCAATCTGGAGAGAGTCATACTCAAGATGATAAGGCTGACTTCCTCACGAGTCCTAAGTTGCACACGTACTCTGGTATACCTCGACCAATAAGCTCGATATTCACAGGACAAAAGGATCATTTAGAGAGATTAAAGAATTACTTTCTGGAAACTCCAGAATCCGGTGAGATTGCAAACCACCAGAAACGATTTGTTGTTTACGGGATTGGCGGATCTGGTAAAACGCAATTCTGCATCAAATTAGCTACAGAGAATCGCGATCGGTGAGCTTCGCTACTTTGCGGGTTTGTCTAAAAGCCTTTGCTAACATGTTTCACTCAACAGATACTGGGGAGTATTTTGGATCGACATGAGTTCTCCGAAAAGAGCAACAACAACCTACGCCGAAATTGCCAAGATCGCAGGAGTTGAGCCTACTATGAATGCAGTTACGCATTGGCTATCAAATCTGGAGCGACAGTGGCTGCTTATAATCGATGATGTGGACGGTCCGCAGACTCGGCTAGAAGATTTTTTCCCAAAGGGTAGCCGAGGCCACGTTCTTGTGACAACGAGAAACCCCGAATATAAGAGATATGGCAATGTTGGTTGCCGATTCTTCGCATTCCAAGGCCTGGATGCAGATGATGCGACCGTCCTGCTACTGAGAGCTGCTGACCTACCCGAACCATGGGATGAAAACTTGAGAACGACTGCACTGGAAATTACAGAGGCTCTGGGCTACCATGCTCTTGCCATGACTCAAGCTGGAACGGCAGTTTCGACCGGTTTGTCTTCTTTGAAGGACTATCTTGCGTACAATGCGAGAAGCTTTCACAGAACTCAAGGAAGAAGGGCTGAGCTTGATCGAACCGTCGATGGTGACGTCTACGCAAGCTTCGAAATTATCTACTCCGCTCTCAAAATCAAAGCCAGGGACACTGAGGAAGCGAGAGATGCAGTTCAGCTATTCAACATTTTCGCTTTTTTCCACCACGAAAATATCCAGTTCGACATCCTTGCGAGATCCGTCAAAAATCGGAAACTGGAACAGGAACACGAAGTGCGAGAGAGGGAGAAGGAAAGATCGAGGGTAATCCATAATGGAAAAGAGAGCTGGTCGAGTTCTTTTCGAAGGTTTCCAGTCCAGCTTCTTCGAATCCTACGAGAAGACCGTGGCCCTTCGGTATTACCTGCCGCTATCCGTGATGCTCGCAACGCCGTTCAATTTGATCAGGATTGGCTGCAATATGAGGATCGTCTCCGAGCGGCGTTGAAATCGCTGGTCCAGATGTCCTTGATTGTCCGCAATGACTCCAAAGATGATGAGAGCTATTCCATGCATCCACTTGTTCACGCATGGGCCAGGGAAAGACATTGGATGAACCTCGGAAAACAGGCATTGTGGTCAGAAGCAGCCGCAACAACATTATCCTACTCGCTTCTCCTCCCACCACTGCCCCTGGGCGACTCCTCAAGTGAAGAGGCGTACCGGGCAGCCATTTTCCCCCATATAGACCACGTCTTGAAATGCCAACGGTCAATCAACAGTCAGATAAACAAGAAGAAGATGGTAGCTTTACCTCGGCGGCCTTGGTTAATTCTACCGTCACCCGGTCATTGACCCGCAGTCTTGCTATCATGTACGTCAAATTTAGTATTGCCTACGTCGACTTCGGACGCTGGTCCGAGGCCGAAGAACTCCAGGTCCAAGTACAGGACTTCTTGCTATCGGTGTTGGGGATTGAGCATGTGAGCACCCGTCGGATTATACTTGCTCATGCAAAGACATTGCGCGAGCTGGGCCGTACCGATGAAGCGGAAAAACTTCAGCTTCAAGTCCTCGACGCCTGTAAAAGGAGATCCAAGGTGGATCACCACGAAGTCCTAGTTGTGAAAGAAGCTTTAGCAGAGACGCTGTCTGAACAGTTTGAATACAGCGAAGCAGTCAGGCTCCAGAAGGACGTTATATCTGGGTTCGAAAAGCTATACGGACGGAAACATGAAGATACTTTAACTGCAATCAGCAACTTAGGCATGACGGTCATGCGTTCTCGCGCCGATTTTATTGCTGCGCAAAAATACAATTCCGAAGCTCTGAAGGGCATGGAAGAGCTTCTGGGCCCTACTCATCTCAAAACATTGATTGCGAAGGAGAGGCTTGCGGTCATAGCTACCTACCTCGAGAAAGATCTGGATCACGCATTGGAGCTGATAAATGAGGTGTGTGAAGAAAGAGAGAAGAGATTGGGAAATGAACATCCGTATACGCTCTTGGCCATGGCCATCAAAGGCCGTACCAAGCGTGCGCTGGGCGACCTGAATGGTGCCGAAATGCTCCTAAGAAGTAGTATCGCAGTCATGGATAGAACTCTAGGACGGCGCCATCAAGTCACTCTTAGAGGACAGTACGAGTTGGCTATGGTTTGTAGACGGCAGGGAAATCTAGAAGAGACGGAACGCAATTTGCCTGATGTGATTGAGCTTTCTCCAGGTAATCAGATCTTGGTGCTAGAAGCCATGTATGAACTGTTTGTGTGCTACAAATTACAGGGGAGGAAGAAGGAATGTCTAGATATTGCTGAGAAGGCGATTCAAGGATTTGAGATGATAAATCCTACAAAAGAGCCTCCTCTAGCCAGAAAGATAAGAGAGGAACGCCGCGAGCTTGTGGGAGAGACGGAAAGATTAATCGATGTATGATGGGCACTGCAACATCACTGTTCGTCTTTTCCACCTCCTCTCATTCCTCCCCCTCTCTTACTCACCAACTACCTCCCAGGGCGTCTACGGCGGCGTCGTAGCCAACGGCAACAGCAACATCCTCGACCTCCCCAACATTAATAAGACCGCCTTCCGCAGCATCCAGCCTAACCCGACGGCGTCTTGAGTTTTGGCAGCCGTCCACACGCTACTGTACTAGCGCATCCCTAGCGACATTCCTCAGCTTGCATGCGTCACCTTCCAGCTCAACAGGGTTCCTTCTCTCAGCTGAGCTGGCTCCTCTACGCCTATATATACCCACCCTCCTACATAGCAATATACCAGAGTTCTCATCACTTTTCACCAGCTGCCAGATGGTCCACAACTTATTATCAATGCGGCTCACCAGGTCTCCTGCGCCACGAATATGGCCCGGACGGTACTTTTGTGAAGTCAGAATCAGAAATCCTCGAGTCCGACGGATACTAAGTACCTACAAGTGCTGAATGGATCGGGAAGTCTGGCGGGACTACTGCTGACCAGCAAGAAAGTCAACGAGGAAGTTAGCTCCATTATGTGGAACGAACTTGAATTCCGTTTCCAGGACGGACATTATCCTTACTCCGGCAATGTTGCAGAACTCGAGCGTTTCGTGAGCAGCGTTTCCCAGCACAATCTTTCAGCGATCCGCAAGGTCGTCATCCACGGCAGTCCGAGGATGATGCTGAACTTCTTCGAGCGGGCAACAACAGGCAAAGAGTCAGACCGCATTCGAATCGGTGGCTCAGCTCCCCGCAAACTTTCGCGGGGTCTTGAGTTGGAAGTTCGATTGCCTCACCGTCCGTACTACAATCGACGGTGGGACTATGGCTCGGACTGGGATCTGAAGCTCGATTGCTGGCGGGAGGTCGTCGGTACCGTGTTGTGGATGGGCCGGCGTACTCTGGCACACTTCGATAATGTGAAGCTGGCGGGCTGCCTCAGCCCAGCTGTGCGTGAAATGTATCTTCAATTGTTGGACGACATCAAGCACGGGCGACGCACACAGATTCGCGATGTCGATCTCAAGGGGACTTGCCAATTTGTAGGGTTTAACCATGCCGAGTGCCCTCGACGCGCTTGCATCGAGGTTTGGTGCGTGTGCCAAGGTGTTGCAAAGCCTCAAGACCAGGAAGGGTAGGTACGGACCTAGAATATCGAGTTTGAGATTGCGAGGTTGGGAAATGGTTGTGGTTTTGGGGTCGAGGCGTTTCTCTAGGAGTATTTTTCTGAGTACTAGATATGGAATTGTACAATGTGCTCTAATGTAGGGACTCGAAACAATGTGGTGTTGTAATCGATCAAATTTTCCCAAGTAAGACTGTGCATCTGGAGCTCGTGATCTATATCTCCTTTGTTCTTTGCGGACGGGACCTCTGCGTCTAGCTTTTGGAAGCCAAATTCATGAAGTTACTTTAACGAGTAGAAAATACCGGAGACTGGTTCGAGGCTGGTAAAAGTAAACCGACAGCTGCATATGCAGTGATTTGTGGCTTAGTTAATTATGTGTCTGTTACTAATTCGGACTTGACGTGGTCTCCGGCTGGTGATTGCTGGCGGAATCACCAGAAGTTGTCAAGTAGATTGAATTGAACATGAGTTTATATTGAAGTGAATACGTGAGTTTATATACGTGATAACTTGTAGAGTAACGTGACGTTGGAGTAGCTACGTAGTTCGGAGCCGTACGGAAGCTGACCCTGTATATACGTACTTCATACATAGGAAGGTGTATAGATCTACACGAATCGACGATGTAGACCCGGAGTTTGTACCGAGCCTATAGTTTGTATAGATCTTCATAAGGATCTACACGTCAAAGCTTTTGCGAGGCCATGAAGGCCATAGCCGTCTGTCAGCTGGCATATCCGATTCGTCGGCTGAAAATCAGTGCTTGCGAACATGATATATTGGATGCCTTTTGAGCAAAGAAAGGAACGATACTCACAATCAAGCAAACCTGGTAACACAACTCCGGGTCTACCAAACGCACTTCACCACTCACCATTTGCGCACCCAACCTTATCGCCTTGTAGAAAGCCTACATTCATCCCTATCGAGATCCATATCCCCTCAACAACCTTTCCCCCAAAATGTCCACCCACTCCCGTTCTACGTCCCCGTTTCCCTCGCGCACACCGTACTCCTCCTCTCAAACGTCCAAATGCAAATCTTGGCCCGCTTCCCGCAAGATATCCAGACATCCTACCTCGCCGAGATCCAAAATGTACTAAATTTCTCTCGGTCCTAGATCGTCGAAGCCACGATCATCCAGCAAGCTGAGCAGCGAAGAGTAATTCATCAGAGTGCCACTAATCGTGCACCACACTCTCCCCGTTATCCCCCGGCCAAACATCGAAAGTTCGCCGTCACTCCATTGGTTCGGCATGGGCCTCTTCAGCACGCATGGCCTTATCGCCAACGAACCGACCGATGTCGACGTCTCCTATCGCTCACAGGAAGATGCGGTTGTGGGAAGGCTCCTGCATTATTTTGCTATGATTAGTGCTCAGCGCTATCCTAGGGACTGTGTGTGGGCATTGAAGACATATAGACCAACGGTATTTGCCCATGAAATTGCCACTATGTCGGAACTGTCGGATCCTCATCGAAAGGTAAGATATATATTAGATAAAACATCAGTGTAGATTATGATTGATGAGACCTTTCCACCTCGAGCGTACATATCTACAAACCCCGAAAATCTCTCTTCATCAAACCACTTTTACTTTTCTTCATCTCTTACCCCTCTCACCCCATCGTCTCCTTAAGCACTCGGCATCGCACTCGTCAACAACCAAGCGCCCCCCCCGGCTCCGTATGATTTATTTGTATGACTATGGAACAGTCACGTTTGCTCTTCCGAAGCGGTGGGCTCTTGCAAGCAAAGCCGGCGGAACAGGATGTCATCAACCCAGGAGGGCCAGACTGCGCGTTTAATGGGAAGATGAGCCCCTACTACGAACTAATCGACTTGAATCGGGGATTCTATCTCTTCAGCACGTCCGGCCATCTCCAGTACGTCGAAGCGCTGGAGGGAAAAGCAAGAGCAGTCGAAGAGCGGATCAAAATGTCGGACACGGCCACGGAACTACGCAAGATTTGTGAGCAAATGGGCAGCGACATTTCACACGTGGTTGGCTCCAAAGGGTTGGACGCACTTGACAGCTCTGCAGCCGCCACCACTGTGGAGGTGGAAGTGCTAGAACGGGCTCTCGCCGAGCTGTCTATCGCAGTCCGTACATCACCATTGCCACAACATCCAATCTAATGATACAGGTCGTGAAGCTAGAAGATAGAAAGAAAGAAAGACTTGGACACGGAAGAGCTGAAGTTGGGTAAGATTGTGGAAGCAGACGCGGATTTGAGGGCCGAGATTAAGAGCCTCGAAGTGGCAAACGCGAGGAGGGAAGAGGAATGGCGAGAGCAGGTTGACAGGCGTGATGGTGCAAAGGAGCGCATCACGCTTTTGTACCACTATCAAATCCGCGATAATGTCAAGCTAATGGGCGAACATGTCCATTTGATAAAACAGAGACGAGTAGCCCGGCGGAGGCTTCGGCAACACCGCCAGACAGTGTTCAAGCTACACAATGAGACCAGGGACCAGTCTCACGCCGTCGAGGATCTCCAAGAGCAATTGAGGATGCAGGGGGCCGTGTCGCAGAAGCAAGAGCAGGCTATCGAAACCAAGGATACCACCATTGGCGAGCTTCGACGTGAGCTTGGGAGCAAGAACGTGGAGATTTGACCACAAAAGGAGGCTGAAAAAGCCCTGGAAGCCACTATTAGTAAGATAGGACGCAGGGTCAATGCGAGGGATGCTGAGATTCAGCGGCAGAAGAACGCTCTGCATCAAGCCATTGTCTCGCTCGAGGAAACATTTGGACCCGTGCTGGGATGGTTATAACTGGGGATGATACGCCTATTCACCTGAGTCACCTCTACAAGGATGAAACTCTGAGAGGAGGAGGAGATATATGGCATAATGGACACCGAATTTAGAAACTATTATACTGCAATAGGCCGGAGTGTTCCCTGTCAATTAGAAGTAGAGGATAACTCGGCCCTGCCTTGACAACACGTCTAGCCAAGGCTGCCACAAGTCGTGAAAGACGACAGAGAAAACTAATTACAGAAAATGTGGTGTGGACTCACCGTGCTCCCATCGTTGTGAGACCAACAAGAACCACATGCTGAATCCCCTCGCATTCAGGTACTTGACTAGATCCGAAGAGGCGAGGCAGCTTGGTTGAAGTTCCCCAAGCACGATCTTGTCTTTCAAGGCACCCTACCCTCTCAGCGGTGTTAGCGTCTCCGGGATGGAGAAGTTGAGCGTGTGAGAATCTGCCTTTACTGTCTGCATGATCCGTCAAATCATCAGCATTAATTCAACCTAAAGCTTTAGTCGCGGCGCCATTCTTACCCCTAAAACTCCCTTCTCCTCTAACCCACGAGCCTACTGCGCCAGCTTATTATACGGACTCACAAACGCGTTGTTATTCAAATTAAAGATAATTCGTGGCCGGATGACACGGCTCTAATCCAATTCGCCGGAACTTCCCCTTCTCGTCCACCTCGAAAAGTACCGCGGCGTCCTTGTTGAGCTTGCCGAATGGGGGATCGGACGATGTGTGTCGTGAGTTGTTGACCTCGTCGTTCGCCGACAAGGCCGACTCCAAGAGCTTGTCGTCAATCTTCTTGTCGCCCAGCAGCTTTTCCCCCAGATTCTTGTGCACAGGGTATTGAACATAGAATGGCTGGTCCGCCTTGGCCGTTGTGGCATATGCCAGACTGCTTTCTCGAGACACAATCCCAAATCAAGAACTCCGTGTGATAGTACCTCCTATGACAGCAAGCGAGCTGGTGACGACGCTAAAGAAGCGTTTGGCCAATAGCAGTGCTCGAACATAAATTCATTTTCACGCTAACCCGCATTTGGAAACATGTTTTTCTTGCTCTGCCCTCCACACTTTTCTGCGCGGACTTCAGACGATACTGGATCGGGAAATCGCATATGTGACGTCAGCATCTTGTTCACTTGCATGTGACGATGTATCAAGCACGCAAAGATGGCGTGGGGTACTCTGCGGGCGTCTAGGGGGTCTGGGGGACGTGGTGTGGGCTACGTACACACCGTGTCTAATAAAAACTCCTTCACGCGGTCAAATCTGTCGATCTTTGTAACTAAAGCGAACAACAGGTGCCAGGAGACCTCTGCGAGACGTGCCACTTTGCGTATACCCGACGTCTAACAAATTTCTCTCTTACGCGGTCAATTCCGTAACTATTTGCACTTCGAAGAGACAATGGGTGCTGGGAAGCAACTACAAAATGCCACACCCCGCGTCTAGCTCAAATATTTTCACGCGGTTCAATCCGTAAGAACTTGCACTTCAACGGCGCAAAGTGGGACCTCAGCGGGCTTTGCGTGCTTTCCTCCAGACTGTGCGAAGATGCGTTAGAAGTTGTTACGAGATTGACTGCGTGAGAGCTGGGTTGATAGACGCAGCGTAGCCACGTCGTGGTCTATGACACGCCGACATAGCGGTCAGATAGCACAAATACTCCCCGATCTGACGGCGACCACATCAATTGAGAGGACACAGTCCCATCACAGTCCCCTCCACCCCCTCAGCCATCCCCACAAACCTCACACCACCAGCATATCACCATCCAACCTGTCACATACAAAAAAACATATATATTACATCTAAAACGCCCCTCTTCCCTACCTCTTCCCCACTTTCACATCTCCTCTCCCTCCGACTCCGGCTCCGGCGCAACATGCACCTCCCACAACCCACTCAAATCACTCTCCGCATCCTCAGCCTTCCCCAAGGGCCCATCCTCACTCGTAACTCCACTCGCCAACACCCCCCTCCTTCTCCCATCCCTCACAAACCTCAAGAAATCATGACTCGCGTTCACGTACGCATCCAGCGCCAGCCGCTCGTTTAGTCGTGTTCCCGTCACGAGACGGAAAATGAGGGGCTGCAGGATTGGCGCGTCGGTAATGGAGGAGTGGGCGGTGTGCAGCAGGGTTAGGAACCAGGCGTGCACGCCACGGTCGAGGACGGACTGCGCGACGGCCTTGACAACGGCAAAGTGCGGTCGGCCGTAGAAGGAGGCCGGGGAGGAGGTCCACGAGCCGGAGTTGATGATTAGGGTGGGGACGGTGATGTCGGAGTTTAGGGGGCCGGATTCTTTTCCACTGGTGGCAGTTGGCGTTAGTATGAGGGACGGTAGGTAGGGATGTAACAACTTACGGGTCGAACATGATCGCTGACCGGACTGGTAAACTCTTCGAGGGCGCATCGCGGAGGGTTTGGAGCTACGTTTCCAAGATCAGAAAGTTGTCCACGGACGTCAAGTGATGACTGCTGAGAAGAAGACTTACAGCAAGCGTAGCACCATACGAATGTCCCACAATCGTCACACTTTCCACATCCAACCTACCCTGCCACTCCGCAAAACTCCATCCCTCACGCCTCGGGTTTTCTCTGAGCACTCGCTCTCCCTCCCCATCATCAATCGCCCGGAGCACCCGAATCGTCTCTTCCACCTCCGCTTCCCGAAACGCAAGTTGAGCGGCTTTAAAGCCGTCGGCTGTTATGGGTGGATCGGACCTACAAATTATAACATTAGCGACCAACCGCAAAAAGAACGACTTGAACGTGACAACGAGAAGGGCCAATATACACTATATCATCCATATTAATATGCAGAATATCCCTCTCCTTCCCATCCGCCGTCATCACCACACTCCCCGGCCCACTCCCATCTCGATGCTCAATAGCCGCCACCACATACCCACGACTCGCCAACTCCCCACAGTAATGCGAGTAGCTCGTCCGCATCCCCGCCATGCCGTGCGAGAACACAATCACCGGCAGCCCGGCGCTTTCTTTGAGTAACGGGCTCGTCACCACGCTCCCATCTTTCAACCCCCCGAGCTCGTGCTCGAGGCGGGACAGAATGGGGGCATCCGCATGTGCGGGAATCGTGGTTGCGCCGGCAAAGAGCCACAACCCGAAGGTGAAAACGCGGTGAAGGATGGAGGAGGAAATGTGCGCGAGGCGGGCGTAGCCGGAGGCGACGAGGGAGAGGGGGCGGGGGACCCAGTAGTGTTTTGGCGGCCAGTGGACATGCCCGGGGTTTGGTGTCGCGGGGTAGAAGAGGGTGAAGAAGACGGATTCGAGCTACGGGTACTTAGTGAGCAAGGATTCGTTCATCTAAGAAAAGCATTGGAGTTTATGCTGCGAAATGTGAAGGACATCACGTGTAGTTTTAATGAAAAGATGATGAGATATAAGAGATGAATTCGCGACGAACCTTCAACGCTATCTCCCCCCCGTCCTTCAACACCGCGGGATGCAGTACCCGCGTCTCGCAATCCGCTTCTACATCGATAATTCCGACCTGATGCGGGCCGGAGTACGACGGCAGCGGGTTACAGAGCGGCAACATTTTGATGACAAAAAGAGAAACGATGGCGCTGAAGATTAGCACCACAGAGACATTTCTCCAGGACCGGCGGCCAAAGGGACGGATCATGCTTCAAGAACGTGGGTCATGGAAAGTATGGAATGGGGAAGGAGGTTGTTGGAGTTGGAAAGGCACGAGAGGGTCTATGATGGATGGGATGCAGCAAGATCGATGGCAGGGGTGTTCTAAATCGGATAAGACGGCGAAGTCGTCGATGACGCAAGTGGTGTGTAGCTTAGTCACGACGGAACCTCGAAGACTAAATACTAAGTGCTAGTGATGCTTTGAATTCGTGCTCCTAAACGCCTTAAAATCTAGGCAACATTAAAACATGGTTTATTTACAGATTCGCAATCGATATTCTGTATCCCAAAGACGACGCGTCTTGTCTCTGAACCCAACGGCCAAACCTCGGCCCCTCTTCTTCTTGCACAAGCCGCGTTCCGATTCGTGCCGCCTTTTAGCCTTAGGGCGCGCGTGCGACTTCAGGTTTCAACACTTTTCTGCTCGACCAGGGTCTATGTGGCCAAGACCTTCCTCTCCTGGAGAAGATGGGATGACAGTGAGGACAGGTCACGTGACGAGTATAATCCCTAGTCATAACTATGCCGAAAGGCGGGCTTTAAACCCACCTCGTGCTAACGGCTTTGGTATTCAAGCAAGATACCTTTGTAGTTTATCGCCTCTCATCACGTCTGAAGGTAGCAATAAAACTCAGTAGTAATCCAGTTAGAGTAAAAACACCACCAAGCTATCTGCTCCACTTTGCTATAAACTCCACCATCGAAAATAATACCCGTTCGAAAGGGGAAAGTCATCGTTCTACATACGACACTCGCTTGCTTTGCTCCCATATGCACCCATCCAGCTCCCAAATCCCATGCTCAAAAAAGCCCCGAAACTCTGCACCAACTTTACCAAACAAAAAGAAAAGATCGTATACTCCAATTTGCACTTCCGCAATCGTAATCAACCCTCTCTCAATCCTACCCCTCAGCCTCAACTCACATAAAACAACTTCATCGCCGCCAGCACCCTCCGCCTACAGACCGGACAATTATCCACCCGCCTCGCACAGCTCAAACAAGCAACCACGTGCCCGCAATCATAAAACGCCGCCTCGGCCGCATCCTCCCAGCAGATGCGACACAGCCGCTCCGTCTCCTGCGCGACTTTCCAATGCGTCACCCCCTCCCCAAACCGCTTATCGTTCTTCCACCCACCAACATACGTGTTGCCGCTACTCGCCTCGACAAACGTGCCCGTGCCGTGCTGCTGCCCCGCGACCCATTCTCCGTCGTAGGTGTCGCCATTCTGGTACGTGAACAGCCCGTGGCCGTGGCGCAGCCCGAGGCGGAAGGAGCCGCTGTAGACGGCACCGGTGTGGTAGATGCGCGTGCCATGGCCGTGCTTATGGCCGTTGACGAGATCGCCTTTGTACATTTGCGCCGAGAAGTAGTTCAACGTGAAGTGGCCGGTTGCTTTGTGCGGGAAGTTGCGGACTAGAGCGCGGTGGACGAGGTAGGCCTGGGGCTCTGCGAAGGCGGCGCGGGTGGCGAGGGCAGCGCGCTGCTCTTCGGTGAGGGGGACTGTGGCGATGATGATGGCGGTGTTGTGGAGGTCGTTTTGAGAGAATGAGCGGCGGAGGCGGAGGGGGTGGGTCGTTGTTAGTTCTTGTTCTTCGTGGAGCTCGAGGGAGGTGTCGGGGGGAAGGGAGAGGAGCGAGAGAATTGTTTGGTCCACGCGGGCAGATTTGACGGCGATGTGCGAGCCCCGGGGTGTGAGGGTTTGGGCCTCGGCGTCAAAAAACTTGAGGAAAAAGTAAATTTCATCGGGTGCTGGGGGTGGAGGCGGTGGTGGTTGTGTAAACTGAGCCGGTGGGGGAGGCGGTGGGAGTGCGTCGGTTCCGCCCATTTCGGTGTCTGTTGGCGGAGGCGGAATAGGGATTACGACTTCCACCGCGGGCGGCTCCGTGGCAGTTGCTTCTGTCAGAGAGGCATGGATAGCAGCCTCAATTTCCATGGCCTCGTCCGGGTGTGTTTCTTCGACTACCGGGGCGACGGGCGATTCTTCTGCCGCTGGTTCGGGCTCATCAGGCTCGCTCATAGGCGTATCCTCCGACTCGGGAATGGCCTCTGGCACGGGTGCCGCAGGAGGCTCAGGCGGGGCGACACTCTCATCAGTCGGTGGTGGAATCTCTTCAACACTTGGTTGGGACGGGGCTTCAGGTTGAGCGGAGGCTTCTGGGGGTGGTTGAGTGGGCTCTGGTTCTTTTGGCGGCTCCTCGACTGGTAGCTCAGGCAGACTCTCAAAGTCAAGGACGTGAATCCAGATACGATAGTAAGACCAGCTGTCTTCGATGTCCTTCAGCGACCACGCCTCTGCCTTTTCATCGAAGTGATCGTTGCTACCGCTGGAGTACTCGATCTTTCCAGTACCCATCAAATGCGGTCGGTAGACTGATCCCCGTAGAGCGTCCGAGAACCAGAATTTGATCTGCCGGGGATCCTTGATGTCTTGGACTACCGCCGCAAGCTTATCCCGCACCTCCTTACACCCGTCGGTGGACTTGAGCTGTACTGTGTAGACAAGTTTCGAATTTCCGGGAGTCCACTTTGGATCGTACGCGTCAATCGTTCCCGGCCCCTCATGCTCCATGAATGCCCTCGAATCAATAACGTGAAATTCATGAGTTGTGGCTTGTGCCTCCTTTTCTCTCTCCTCGACTTCTTTCTCTGCATCAGTCTTGGGTGCCGCTGGTGGCGCTGGTAAGCCACCGAATGGCGCTGGCGGCGGAGGAGCTGTGGTCGCTTCAGCCTTCTTGACTTCATCTAAAAGCCATGCTGGCACGTCCCAGGCCTCGTCTTGGCCGCTGCTGTCAAATGCGAGGTCTGCTACGTCATTCCGTACATACATGGCAATGTATGCTACTGGGTCCTTCCCTCCGTTCATCCCCGAGCCGGCTTTGCCCTCGTGTGCGTCTACTGCTTGTCGTTTTGTCAGACAAAGTACCCGGTTCTCATCTTTGCTGTCCGTATAGCTGTACCATTTGCTATTCGGCCCTTCTGGTCGGATGATGGGGTGGTAAAGGTAGGATTGGAGGTTCTCCTTGTGTACCACCATTCCATAAAGTGTGTAGCTCACGCCCCGAACGGTAATATTGTCGTCCAGAGTGATCTTGTTGACCAATTTGAGCCACGTCCGCGAATTCTTGTCGAAAGCTTGTCGGTCAAGCTCTACAGTCAGCAGCTGTGGTAGAGACTGACCAGGATGCAGCAAGTCGGTGGAATTGGCAATTGCTTCTTGCATTGTAGAGGCACTTTGCACTGGGGCCCTGTAGCTTGGGATCCCAGTAACATAGTCTTTCTTCTTGCCGAATAGCTCGTCGAAGACGGATGCGTACGGGGTATCTTGCAGCTCGTCCTCCATCTTAAGCCGCAGTGTCTCCCAGACTTCAATGACATCCATCTTGTCGAAACCGTCCTGAATGCCATACCACTCGAGAGCATCGATGATGTCCTCCAGCCCAACGGGTCCAGCGCCCGGCTTGACCTGTGTCCGCAGCAGATACAGTACTTTTTGGAATGCCGCAATCAGAAGCTTTGGCCGCACGAAAGGCTCCTTGAGGGAGTCTGGTACTTTGAATTGATACAAAAATTGACGGAAGGGCTTGAAAAGCATCCACGACGCGATTGCAGAGATAAGGTTGCCACCTGGAGTGATTTGAGTCTCGCCTAGACTTAGTCCTTGAAGGCCGGTCATGGCAAAGCTGTCCCATGGATTATCTCGGCTGTGATGTTCCCAGAGACACGCGGTTTCGTCGTCAATTACTCGGATGTAGCTAGTAAAGGCAAGCTTATCATCGCGAAGTAAGGCTTGGCGCTGGCCACGCTGCCTGTGTTGGATCTCGTAGTACGGTCCATGATACCGAGTCCATCCCCAATCTGGCGAGCCAGTGCAAAATCGATGTAGGCAAGTTCGGACATAATTTACTCGTGGTTCGGTCGGGTTGTATAGGACGACTGAAACTTGGGCAGCGACGCTCGGACGTTTTGGAGGGGGCTTCTCTACGAGCAGAGGGAGAGGCGCATGCTGAGGCGCATGCTGAGACGCTAGCGGAGCAGGCTCCGGAACATCGTCTGTGGCCATCTCGTCATCAGATGGAGCTTTCACCTCATCTGAACTTGCTTCATCGGGCTTGTCCGCGGTCTCGTCAGTTCGAGTCTTCTCTTTCTCCTCCTCCTTTGCTACGCTAACGCACTCGACATATATACTCAGGTAATCCGAGTCATTGCCCTTGGGATAGAACTTTATTTGCCAATCGTATCCTCCAACTGTCACTATTTGTGACTTCATGACAAGATCCCGGTTCGGGGTTTCCTTAGTACCGTTATAGTTGTCTACAACCCAATCGATGCGGCCAGTTTGACCAGCAACGTACTCAGTCTCCTCGAGGGGCAGGAACGTCTTCTCTTCCCAATGCTCGTCTACAGAATGCATTAGTATAATCCTTCAACAGCGAAGAGTCAAACTTACGATCTAAAGCGCTAACCTCCCCACCCTCCTCAATCTCCTTCAGCTCACCTTCATCTGGCACTGATGTATCTTCAATGATCGGATGCCAGGGCTGAGCACCATCATCATCATCAGACGAGTCAGCGACATCGGTGGGAGGTTCAGCAGGTGGAGGTGGGGGCTGTTCGGCATTTGGATCCGCAATGGGAGGCGGAGGCTCAACCGGGGCCACGGTGCCTTCTGGTGGTGGGGGAGGGTCAACTGCGGATGCTACCGAGCTGCCATTTGAATTTAGTCGTACTAGGTTTTCGTTCACAACGGGTGGGGTAGAGTGTCGTTCTTGGGATGTTGGATCGTCTTGATCAACGCCATTTTGTGTCGGAGCAGCGACCGGAGGCTCAAGAGCCCCCGGGGCATCAGTTGAGCCATTGGGAAGCTGTTCCTCTTGTGTGCCATCCGGCGTTGTGTCCATAGCGTCGTCATCAGCAGTGGCCGCCTCGGGCACCCCGTTTGTCGGTATTGAAGCTCCCGGTTGTGTTCCCTCTCCCGCAGTACCGTTCGGCAGAGCATCTCCATCCACTTCCATTGGGATGTCCCGGTCGTGGTTTTGGCCCTCGAGAGGCGGTAGTGTGGTTGAAGCACTCATGTCCACGTCGTCGGCTGGTTGTGGGGGCGGAGACGCAAGAGGTGTTTGGGAGTGGTGTATGTGATTTGGTGATTGGGGCGGCGAGGAGAAGGAAGGCGGCGAAGGGGAGCGCTGGCCGAAGAGAAGCGGAGGCGGTTCGACGTTGGGGGAGCTGGTGGTGACGCTCATGGCGAGGTGGAGACAAGGGCAGACAAGGTATATTCGCGGGATGAGTCAGTAGATGGGATGAAATAAACAAACAAAGGGTTGAGCGCAAAGGTGCCAGCGGGTATATGTTGGGATGGCTATGTCGGTGAGGTGGCCGAGCGTGAGGCTGCAGCTGCTGGCGGGAAGGCACGGCTTATCGCGAGCTTGAATGCGGCTGGCTGAGCTTGGATAATGGGAGCCTCGTGGTGGAGCAGAACGAGGAGCCGTCAAGCAACGACGACGACGAGAGGGAGGACTCGAGTCTCAGCAGACTTTTTGGCCTGCAGCCAAGGGCAGCGTGGCGCGGTTATGAAGCGTTGTGCTGTGCGGTGGCCTAACGCCGGCCTCTCACGTCTCGTCGTCGTCCAGCCTCATTCTGGCGACTTGTCCAAGGCACCCGTGTCGCTAACGGGCATCCCCACACCAGCCGCGCCGTGCTAGGCCCGCACCGGATTGAAACTGGAGCTTGAGTGGGTCCAATACCGGGCTCTTCAGCAGCTGCGAAGACGACTCCGCCGCCCTTTGGATTGATCGAGGGGCGGATCCAGGCAGCTTTGAGGGGTCCTGAAGCTGGCTTTCACAAGCTACTCCAATCCTGGGATCGATGCCCTTCAGCCGGTGTGGAGACTGACATTCGATGTCGCCGCCGCCAGGCAACCAGCCAGTTTTCATGTGTGGGTGCAAAAGATAGTAATCATAAGCCTTTCTCAGCTTCTATGTCTATTTTTCTAAGAGAAGGGTCTCGTTTAGTCATGCATGTATTATTTCGATTCCATCCATTATTTTGCAGTCGGTTTCGCAAACGTTGCTGCCACGATCATCGGAAACACCACAGTCGCCTCCGCATAGACCTTCACACTATCCCCATCCGCTCGGATCTTCCCCCAACTGACAGCCTCATCCGGCCTCGCCCCCGCATCACTCCCATCAAACTCCTGCGCCGTGTTGATGTACACGGCACTCTCCGCCCCGTTCCGCATCAGGCACGCATTCGCAATGTGATGCTTCACAATTCCACCTCCTAGAATCACCATGCCCGCCCGCTTCGCACGAACCGCAATAGTGTTGATCTTGCGAATATCCTCGACAATGTCTATCCGCAGTTGCTCCGGCGAGGACTTGAAGGTGTGGAAGTATAGCATATCGCCCAAGCTGCCGTCAGTTAGTGCAGGACAGAACACTGGGATGTCGTTCTTCCACGCCCAGTAGTACACGGAGCGCTTGTCGTTGATTTCTTTTCCTAGGCGATGGGTCACTTTGCTGGGTGTCCAATGGATGGGTTCGTCAGTCTTCTTGCTTGCTTCCTGCTCTTCCAGCATCTTGTCGAGAATTGGAACCACCCAGTCTTCAAACGCGCAATAGTTACTGTTCGGAACGACGAGGTTGCCAATGCGGTTCATCCCTTTCTCACGCAAGCCCGCGCCTGGGGTAGAGAAGGAGCCTAGGTAGGTGGGGGCAAGGCATTTGATAAAGTCTTCCTCGACACCGCCGGCCGTCGTCACAACGGCGGAGACGTGCTTGTGCTGTACGAGGTAGCGGAGAGTTTCCCTTAGGCCGGATGATATTAGATTGGAGGTATAGCCCAGGAAGATGGTAGTCTTGTCGGCCGTCTCAGGGTCGCGCCAAGCTCGCTATATACCGTCAGCACCAAATATCATAACGTCTAGATCAATTCGAAGCTCGGTGCCATTGCACAGCTCTCCGAGTGTTCGACTACCCTGTTTTTCAAGGTTGGTCGCACACACCGACACGTTCGATCGCTCAGCCACACCCCCTCCAGCTGCAAGAAATGGCTCACCATGTCGTTTATGATCCGCACGGCCTCGCCCACGGACGTTGCCTGGAACCCCATGCTGGACATGCCCGACACCAGCTCCTCGACGGTGATAGGCCGATCGCCATATTTGTCGAAGTCAATGCCCTCAACCTGACGCGCGCCATCAGGCACAGGGTCCGAACGCTTCAGAACGGCATCCGTGGCGCCAGACGGAGCTATCGGACCGTTGTGTGAGTCTGACATGATGCAGCCTTAATGAGGTGGGTGTTCGGAGGATAAGGGAAGGTGTCCAGGCACCCCTCTGCGCGAGACTGGACGCTTGAGAGTCGCGCACCAAGCCCTTGGATGTTCTTGAAAGATGTCCGCGGCGGCTAGGTCACCGAACGCGAATGGACGTGCAGTCTGGCAGAGTCATGAAGACTGCGCTGGCTGGGTGCCTCGAATCTGCGAGGAAACTTCTGCCTCGAGTCGGATTTGCGATAGTCGGGCCGGCCAGCGATCAAAGCGCCACCTCAGCGGATGGGTCCAGCGTGGAGGGCCGATCGACCTTGCAACGTTGGTGTGCCTGGGACCATGACCGCCATGCGTGACTGATGGGCCACAATGACAACGTCGCCCGCTGCATCGCTCCATCGCTCCACCATTATTCCATCCCGTCGCAGCTCACAACGCCCCTCCCGACGCACGACTGCTGGCACCCGACGTCGCTCCGTCCCGAGCGGCACACGATGGCGGCTGCGCTGGGCAAACCTGACACAGGCGCAACGTTTCAGCGGCAGGTGGGCCGTGTGTGGGCGGTGCTTCGTGCATGGAGCCTTCGACGCCATCCCCTGCGCGCCCGGCAGCCCATCTCGAAAAGGCAGCGAATCAACGGCCTTCTGTCACGCACCGAAGGGGAACAGCATGCGGGTCAAGCCCAGGCTAACCGCGTGCATCGGCAGGGCTCGTCTTGCACGCCCCCCAAGCCCGGGAATTCCAGCAACGGCGTAGGCTGGGCCTTGCGCAGGCCACAGCTGCCGCCAGGGCATGACGCTCCCCGTTCTCGTCTCCTCTCCCTTCCTCTGCCACGAACGACGACGACGACGGCATCGACGGGCGCCCGCAGCACGCTCCTCTCCCGACCTCCATCTTCGCTCCTGTGCCTCCGCTCATCTGCAACGGGTCTGTCACGTGGCCCTCCCCGTCCCGCGCCACGTCAACCGGGATCGAATTAGCATTGAATCGAACTGCCGCTGCAGCCTGTCTGCGCCTCCGGGATCGCTCGACTCCAGTACCGCCGCCAGCCGCACCTCTCACCAGGCACTCGCCGCCGTTCGCTCCGTGGACCGCCAGCGCGCCGGTGGTTGTTGTTTGCGGTGCGTGGATTGTCAGCTCGTCCGCATCGTGAATCGCAGACTCGGCCCTGGTGAGGCTCCACAAAAACGCGCTACCGGCTAGGCCGTCCCCGGCCCTAGCGCCATCTCCCTTGGCGGCAAGCACGAGCCACGCGATCTTCAACTCCCAACCTGGGATCGCCATCAACACACGAGCCCGCCCTCTTCACTGACAGCACCACATCCGCTGCTGGGTTCGCGCAGGTACCGATTGGGACTTGGAATCTTCTGCGAAGCGCACGTCGCCTCACACCTGCGCCATATCTGCATTGCCGTCTCAAAGCAGCCAATAAGTGGAGACTGCCATTAGAAACGAAACATCAAAGAAACCTAGGCCAACCCTCCCGTCACGGACTGCACTCCGCTCTGCGGCTGCCGTTGCCCATGTGGGTCTCGACCGTGTCATTCATAACCCCGCCGACCCCCGATTGTTGCTATGACTTCACGATACCCTGACAACCGGTACCCGCCCCGAGACAGGACCCCTCCCCGCTACGGCGACCGCCGGCCATCTGCAGCCCCTCCATATGGCAACAGCTACACACCGCGGATAAGCGAATCTGGTGGCAGACCAGCTGATTCTGGCGCCGGCTTCCCTCCCTCACGCGATGTTCCCCGTGGCCCCAAGTCTCTCGACCCGCCACGCGGGCCCGGCGTGGGCTCTGGTCCTGGCGTGCCTTCTGGACCTCGTGGACCTGGTGGACGGGGCTTCACTCGCGAGCTAAGAGACGCGCCGCCGTTGTCAGAACCCCTCAGCCGCTGGCGCGCCGCTGATCGTGATCGTGAGTTCAGAGATCGACGACCCTCTCCACGACCCCGTTCGCCAATCAGAGATTCGAGGGACTACCATGGCCCCACGCAGGTCGACATTGGTCGCGCTCGACGAAACTCTCGCGATGGTCCTCTTTCAGCAGGGTCCAACTTCTCTGACCCGTCTCTCGGTTCTCAGTTTTACCGAGGAGTTGGATTCCGAGGGCGTGGAAGAGGTGGTCCAGATTGGGATTCTCGTGGGCGAGGCCGACCTCCATTTGACGACAGAGACCAGCGCGACCAGTTCCGTCCCCGGAGTAGATCACGCGGACCCCCGCTACGCAGGGAACGAGAACCTCTTCGAGATGACCGGGATATCGATAGACGGGACGATCGGAGATATGACCGCAACGAGGAGCCACGGCTGCGGCCCTACGACAGTTACAAAGGGCCAGCGAGCACAACGGATTCGAGAAATGTAGAACCGCGCCACATACCGCCAGCTACAGAGTCGAGGCATGCTCCTTCTGGAAGCACGTCAACAGGACCATCATTTGCTCCGCCGTATTCTGGAACATCTGCTCATAGGTCTGCCATCGATCGACCTGATCCTCCTCGGGACGACTTGTACTCTAGGAGATCATCGATTGCCACAGACACGCTTGGCCCCAAAGAGACGCGAAGAGAACCTGACAAACCTGATTTTCTCGCTGGGCGTGCTGAAGCTTCTCGAGACCGTTATGGTCCACGAGCAGCATCGCCAGCTCCTCAGGTTCCGGCTTTTGGTTCTGTTTCAGCGCGACCGCCAGCATACCCTGCGCAAGCATCAAACGTCTGGCGAAATCCGAATCTCGATAAACCTCCACAATCAGTACTCAGCTCTAAGCCTACTCCATCCGTACCACCAGCGGCCTCTACTCCTGCGGTACCTATACCGTCGGCCTCCTCAACCATATCCAAAGCTCCTCCTCCCGTCCCTTTGGGTCTAACAGCAACCCCTCCCACCGGTCCCAAAGCACAGCGGGTACCTGACAGGCCCGTAATTGACAACAAAGATACTCGACCACCCAATGTCGACCAATCGCGACTTGATACTCCGTCTAGGATTCCTGCTGGTACCATAAATCCTCCCACCACCCCGGCAGAAAGTGTCGAGCTGAAGTCTTCTTTGCTGACACAAGCTGCTTCACCTGCTATAGGTGTTACACCGCAAATGCGAGCACCTCCGACAGGACCGCAAGGAAGTTTAAGACCGAATGCATCCCCATCACAACCTTACGCAAGGACATCCCAGGCTCCATTCCCACCAAGGGATGCTTCTCCGAATGCTCTTCCTGTCGGACCTCGCGGGCCAGCATCGATGAACACCTCCCCGAAAAGCGTGGGTGCAAACATACCAACCGGTCCCCGAGCAGACAGAAGTCAAGTAATAGGAGCCAGGCCACCAATCTTTGGCACACCTGATCGTCCAGCCTTTGTTCCTCCGCGAAACCAATGGATCCGGCCAGGAACTATACCTTTCAACAATCGTCCTGCAATTGTTCCCGCAAAACGTGAATTTGCTGGCGATGAAAGAGACCGAATGTCTGGGAACGTTCCGAAGGCTCCACGAATGGATGGATCGACGTCAGCTTCTGATTCACGGCCATGGGAATTGTCAAAACCGGAGCCACCACCGGCCGATCAATTCAAAGCCGACACGGAGAGACAAATGGAAAACGCACCAGGACCACGACCCCAAAAAGCTTCGCCCAAAGTTCAACAACTAGAAACAAGACGACTATCTGATGTTTCTATGACCGACGCCTCTCCGTATACTGATCGGCCGCCGGTCTCCGCGACTTCTTCTGTGCCCGACCCTATGGCAGAAGAGTCCGAGAACGAGATTGATCTTGATGAAGCCGATTTTGCAGAGTCGCAAGCGAAATTCAACAAAGAGAAGGCACAGTTGGAAGCGAAGTTGATCGACCTCAGCGTATTGGAGTATAGGGCAGTCTCGCTGTTGGAGGAGATATCTCTCTTGTCTGCTGTTGCAAGCATTCCAATCGAACGGCTGTCTATCAGTGGTCCGCAAACCACTGAAGTGGAGATGGCCTCGCCCGAACCACCTGTGGAGCTTTCTGGCCCGGCCCAGCAAGAACCAATTACTCCGAAAGCCGACCATATGGTCGATGCCGACAATTCAGAAGTAATCGAAGACTCAAGAGAGATACCCGTTCCAGATTCCAGGTTACTACGCCCGCAGCGCTCGTATTCGCTTGATCCAGATTACACTCCAGACATCAATACTCTGCCCTACCTGCCTGAAGGTGAAGGTCCTCCAACTCCAGTCTCTGAGCTTGATCTAGATCAGTTTGCACCGACGGAGGATGTTGCGCAAGCTGTTCAAGATGTGCTGCAGGAGTTTGAAGAAACTGAGATCCAGAACCAGGAGACAGCGGAAGACGAATATGCACGTGCATACAAGGAGTGGAGATTTCGAGTACAAGAGCTAGACGATGCAAAGGAGCGGGAGAGTGAGGCCAGAGACCAGTCCATTGAGCCTACCCTAAAGGCCACAACGCCTGATGCCACCGCTGCTAACACCGTGGCAAATCTTCTAGAACAGCCCATCCGGCGAGGTCACAGGTTCAACAGCGAATATGATCTTCAATTGGCACTGAAAGAATCCATGAAAGACGCTGAGGAAGCTCAGGCTCGAAAAGAGCGTGACGCTAAGAAGTCTGCACCTGACCCCGAGCGAGAGGCTGCCATATGGGATCAGTACAGTCTGTACGAAGTGCAGCGACGGAAGTTCACCAATACGAACTGGCAACGACAACCAGGCCAAGGCATAAACGTCTTCCATTACGACCCTCAACCGGACGACTTCACCGACGAGGAGCACCGGATTTTAGTCGAGAGCTACCATGATATGTACCTGAAGAAATGGGGCAAGCTGGCAGAGATTCTTACCCAGAAAACAGGGAAGGCACGGGATTATAAAGAGTGTATCAATCATTATTACACAACGAAATGGTCGAAAGAGTACAAGGGTAGGCGAAAATATCGAAAAGGCAGAAAGCCGCGAGGAGGTGGAGGCGCAGGTCGCGGTCGCGCGTCTGCTGCAAATACCGAGAGGCCAGATCTTTTTACAGACGACTTAGTTGACAAATCCTCCCAGTCCCACCTCAACATGACCACGGACAGCGGTCGTCCCCGGAGAGCAGCAGCTCCGACGTTTGGCGCGGAGAGTGAAGTGGATGGAGTAACGCCAGCGCCAACACCAGCGAGAGCTCGAGGCGCAGGACGGCAAGATAATGGCGATGCAACGGGCGAGAAGGCAGGGAAGCGGCAGAAGGTGGCGAAGGAGAAAGGCGGGAGAAAAGTCAAGAATCACCCTCTGGCCGCTGCAGCTGCTGGCTCCCCGGTCAAGCCGGAGAGGAAAGAAAAGCTTCTGGGGGTGAAGACAGAGGATGCATATGGTAGAGAGCGGTCGATTGAAGAGTCACGAATGCTTTCTAGCATACAGCCTGGTCCAGGGATGGACGATCACCTGGCCTACCAGGAGGAAATGCTTGCTCGAACCGGGCCGAGCGGTATTTTGAACGATAGACCAAGGATTCAAACAGCCCACTCGAGAGGTGGGCCATCTAGTTATTGGTCTGTGATGGAGCAAACGGACTTCAAAAGGAATGTCGCGCACTTTGGTACTGATTTCGTTGCCATCGCCAATCATATGGGCACGAAGACGCACACGATGGTGAGAAGAGTGTTTCCTGTCCTGTATACCTCAACTCTCCAAATTTCATCCTAACTGTATCAAGGTGAAAAATCAATACCAAAGATTAGTCGAGCAAGGTAATGCACCCGAACTGTTGCAAGCGGCCCAGGAAGCGGACCAACGAAAACTGGCCGGTGAGGACCTTGGTCCACCACCCACTCCAACTCCAGCTGTGAAAAGGCGATATGACCAACCTCAGACTACCGTGCCTCGAACCATTGCGCCTACGCCGGATGTTGTGGACCTGATCAACTCGCCCGTGTTACAGCCTGCTATCCCAGCGCAGACTTCGCCTCCCATGTTCCCTGCCTCGACGAGGTACCCGGCCATCGCCCAAGCTGCTCCCGTGCATACCAAACAGTCAGCCCAGTCGCCACCTAGTGAAGCAGCTCCGCATATTGCCCACCCACCTCAACCACAGCCACAGCCCGCCCAAGCGCACCAACAGCACCATCACCACCATGCCCAGCATCAGCCCCAAAGGCCAAGCCTGTCAGGCCCACGCGCAGGTTACTTTTCTGACACCCGTGCTGAGGCTCGTCCTCAGTCGCAATCCTCGTCCATATCGCAACCCACACGTTCCATACCGCATGTGCAAGACCACCTGCATAGGCACCAGTCCAGTCAGGAATCGACATATCGGCAATCGATCCATCCTCAGGACCGGGAGATGCAATCTAGGTTTGAGAGCCAACAGGAACGCGAACATCAATCTCGCTACCAGCAACAGCAGCATTCCCGAAGGATCTCTCAGGAAATCGCACAACAGCGCCAATACCAGGCGCATGCTACTTCCACAGCGCAGATCATGTCCCAATTGCGATCAGATCATGCTGGACATGGGTCTCCTGAGAGTCGCGCGCTGTCCCTACAGCCAAATCCCATGTATCCACCCCAACAGCAGCAGCAGCCGCCTTCTATTATGCAGCATCTGATTGACGCTCCTAACTCTGCTACCAACTCCATGGCTCATCATATGCCATCCAGACAATCGGTCCCAACTCCTCCGCCTAAGGAAGAACCTCGCCCGTACTCCATGCCACCACAATTACCTCCGAGCCAACCTGCACCGCCTGTTCCTCGACCAGCGCAGGAGCCCCGAAAGTCAAATTTGCTGTCCATCTTGAATCCCGAACCTTCAGAACCCGAGGAACCTCGCCCACGCAAGAAGCTGAGTGACCAAGGTAGTTCGTCACATACGCCAACGCCGCTGCAGAATCACCCTATTGCGCCGCCTCCGCCGGTTTCTCAACCGCCACGCAGAGAAGCTTTTGGCGACAGTGCTGCAAGCCAACCACCCTTTTCTCGGATTCAATATGGCCAGCCACAATCACAGCCTCAACCTCCTAGCAGGCCTCAAATTGTGGATCTTACTGGTCGCGATCCCGCCGCTAGCACGCGTCCGCGACAAAGCTGGCCCCCTCGTCAAGAATTCCAGCCCCCGCACACCCAAGGGCAAACCACGCCCCAAACCAGCTCTCCACACCCCGCTCACCCCCAGCCTAGCATCATAAGCGACTCCCGCCACTTCCCGAACCATCGTGCGCAAGCCTTTGGACAACACAACACCGGACGCCACGTCCCGTCCCCCCCTCCTGCATTCACACACTCACCTCATTCCCACACCTCCAGCTTCACTCACATCCCCCCTCCGCAATCCCGACATCAGACACCCCTCCAAGCTGCCCAAGCTGGCGTTGGTGCCGCCGCCGCTCAGATCCTGGCACCAAACCCGTACGGCCAAATCGACCCTCCAGGCTCCACCCCTCAACCTCAAGGACCCAGCGGCATGCGCCCCAGCCCGCACTTGCTCACTTCTCAACTCCAACAGCAGCAACAGCGCGAGCTCCAAGCCCGCCAGGAGGAGGCGCAAAGAGCACAGCACCACAACGCGGGCCTCAGCTACTCGAACCCCCAGACGCCCTCGGACGCGCACCCGCACGCTCAGCTCCGCAGCATCATGGACGAGCACAGCCGCGAACGCCAGAACAGGGCGCGCGAGATGCAGCGGATGCAGGAGAATGAGCGCATGCAGCGGATGCAAGAGAGTGAGCGGATGCAGGAGCTCGAGCACATGGAGCGTGAGGGCTTGCAAAGGGAACAGCAGCTTCGAGGCGGCCCGCCGCCGCCGACCGATCCGCGCTTTGGCCACTCCCAGCACACGCCCGGCCCTGAGATGCGCGGGGGGCAGGGGTACGTCCCGCCTCCGCAACCGCCACGGACGTCTACGCCGCTGGGGCATGCGCATCATCCGCTTCATCACCAGCAGCAGCAGCAGCAGCAGCAGCAGCATGGGCACTCGCACTCCCTTTCTCACGGGCTGGTTGTTGATCATAACCACGTCATCCTCGGGCGGCACGCAGACGAGCAAGCGAGGTATCGAGATCGAGAGCGCGAGCGGGAAGAAATGGCCAGGCGGGACGAGATTGCGCGTCGGGACGAGCAGCGCATGCGAGAGGAGCAGGTCGGGCGACTCCGAGAGGAGAACCTGAGACGGGAAGAGTTGTATCGCCGTGGTCAGGGCGCTGCGGGGCAGGGAGGGGCGATGGATTGGACGAGGGGGCTACCTGGGAGGGAGGGGAGATAAAGTGATCTTTTTGAAAGGGTGGGATTTGTTTAGGGGGGAGGAGGATGGTGTTGGAGGAGGCATATGGTGGGTTTCTTGTCAGGCAGGGGCTGGATTTACCCTTCTCAACCACTTTTTCAGATTTTTTTGTATCAAATCATTTTTCGAATTTTCTTCTTCTGAGCTTGTCGATGTCTGATGATTTCGATGTCCATGTCGAAGCAAAACGCATCTCTATGAAGTGTACGCTGGGGGTGGCTATTGTGTATATTTGGGATCATGTGGAGAGGTGGATGGGATGGGTTGGTTTGGTTTGGTTTGGTTTGGTTGTTTTGTATTTGAATGAGATTGGGAGTCGTGGAGGCGCTGGGAATGTGTAATTATAGCGGGAATGACACTTGGATGAGATTGAAATGGGGCGCAGGCCGTGAGGTGAACTGATGGTGTTTGATGTGGTAGACTAGAGAGTACTGAAGCTGCGGAGGGGGGAAGAGGTTGAAAAGGTACGGAGTGGGGTGCAGGCGGGCGTGGCCGATGACGGTGCATATGGTAGCGGACGCTTGAACAGTGGTGGCTATGGAGTCGTGGTCGTAGGTATTTGGGGCCGGGGATGGATGCCGTTTGTTTTTCGGCATGCCGAATTTCAGGGTCTAACCTCGAGGAACCGTATCTTTATATAGATGTCGGCCAACTGCACGTGCTTCCTCTATAGTACACATGTATAGCACGTGTATACACATTTCTACTTATTGTCTAACTATAAAACCCTGAACATACATCTCTTTAGTAGGACTAGGGGTAAAGACTGATGATGGCTAGGGGGTGTAAGACATGAAGCCAACAAAGCGCATGGCGGTGCGTGAGTGTTTGTGCTTATTTACGCGAAGCAACTATGTGGCGATTTAGGAGTGTTGGGATCAAAAACATCAAGCAATGTCGTGCCATGACAGTCAGTGTTTGTCCGGGGCCTTGTTGTTATCACATTTTGATGATAACGACCACTAACACTCGCCTCACGCTCGCTCCCTCGCAAACTATCGCCAATTATGACTGAAACCCTGGCTTCGTGGTGCTGGGCAGCAAGATGCGGCGATGACGAGGTGCACTAGTAAAAGCATCATTAGTTTCCAATCCATTGCGGCCCACCTCGTGTCTAGTTGAACTCTCAACCCCACTCTGCCCATCGCTCTTCGGTCAGGCTCCTCTTTTAATCGGCAGGCACCAGCCCTTCTCCATCACCGCCAACTTCTCCTCATTTGACCCAGCAGTCAAACATTCCATGAGCGTGGAGGATCCATATTTTGCTCAAAAGCAAGCCACGGCAGAAGATACCGTGCCGTGCTTGATCCAAACCTCCATAGCTCGTCGCTGAGGACTTGGAAAGGCCAAGAATAGAGGGACATTTATAGGCGAAGAGGCGGGAAAGATACTATTGAGTCAGCAGTCACGGGGATCAAGCTGAGAAGAAAAGCACGTTAGTATTGGAATAGGGGCGCACGAAACGTGAGTTGAGCTATCCTGCTCCAGTCACGTTGTCGTGCAAAATGTAAGATCTAAAGACCGCGGCGTCCACCAAAGCGACGATCCATATCACGGAACGGTCAGGGTCTCGATTTTCTGAGTCCTTCATATCTCTACAATACTGGTTCATAAAGACGACACAAATATCTCACTGCTCGGGCTCCACTTTTGCTCGCTTGATACCACCGTAAGGAGGGCTCCAGCTGGCACGTCTTTTGTGTATCAAAAGGTATCTCAATTCCAACGGCTTTGACATTTATATCATATCCGGACATGGATATCTCACCGCTCGAAATCCACCTTTGCTCGCTCGACACCGCTGTCAGGACCCCGGCGAGCAGGTCTTCCATATGTCAAAAGCCTCCCTCCACAACCGCCTCCATCAGCATCCTCACCAATCTCCTCAGCGCTAGACGATACTGCTCGAAAGGCGCCGCCACCCCTCCGGACGCCGCCGAATAATTCGCCTTGAGAACCGAAATCACCAGCGGTGCCCACCGCTGACTTTTACACACCTCGAGGCCCCAGAATCCTCCTAAGACATCCAGACCAAGCCCATTAGGTCCGAGTGCCTCAATCGGCACAGAAGCGAGGCGCGTGAAGAGATTGAGGTACGAGAAATGAAGATGGGGTTCTTCGGCTGCGATGCGGGTGTGGAGGAGCGTAAGGATATCCGTTGGGCTTGGTGATGCCTGACTAGATGCGTTGGCGGGTTGGAGTGGGAGTACGTGGCTGATGATTTGGTGCAGGGAGGCGAAGGGGAGGCACTTCTTATCGTCACGGTTGTGGGAGGCTTGCATGAGCAGCTCCATCAGCGGAGCAGGCTTTATTAGCCGTTTGCGGGTTGGATCGCGCTGTACGCGATCTGTTCGTGAGTCCCTGGCATATGCGAGCAGTTTCTCTCCATGCGCGATCCTGACTAGGCGGTGGAATTTCTCGGGGTCGTTGGTATCGGGTAGGAGGAGGAAGGCTCGGCCGTGGATGGAGATGAGGGTTTCCATATCCGCCCATGGGGTGGTGATAAGGCCTGAAAGGCGCCCTGCGTTGTAGAGGTGTGCGAGTGGGACGAGGTCCCAGGTCCCATTCATGAGCTTGATCCCGAGGTCATGGATTCTGCTGGAGAATTCAAAGGCCATCTGGCCGCAGATGAGAGGATGGATTCGGAGTAAATGCGGTCCAGGAGTTGGGCTAAGTCCGAGGCGTGCCTTGACAGCGGTGGTGCTGTAGCATTCGCTGCGCAGGATCCTGTTCACGAGACGAGCGAGACTCAACGGTTCTTTTAGAAAGAGTTGTAACATCTCAGGTGGCATTTCTGGAACGCGGTCTATGGCTTGACGTGCGGTGGGCCTATGTCCTTTGAAAGTCTTCAGAAATCCTTCCAGTGAGTCTTGTAATTCTTTTTCAAGTGGCGTTAGATCCCGTTGAAACCAAGTAGCTTGTAGTCCAAGTGTAGTGCTAATATCCATGTGGATGCGACAAGCAAACACCAGCCAAGAGGGAATTAGTTTGGTCTTGAACATGTCTAAGATGCCCCTGGTGAGATTATCCGAGTGCCAGATCTTCTGATTCTGTATATCTGGTGAGATTTGGAAAAGCCATAGTTCCTGCAGGAGCTCCAGTAGGCACGAATGGCCATCACGTAGGGAATGGCTCTTTCGTTGACCATCATTTCCAAGTCCGTGAAATCTCTGCCACAGTTTACTCCATTGCCAGCTTCTGGAATCATCAGCGCTACCCTTGATGTTTGTCGTGTAGGTAGACTGCCGTAATATTCGAAAAACATCTCCAAAAGGTAGCAAATCTGCCTCTTGTTCACCTTTTGTGTCGACCGAGGCTTCGAAGTCCGGCAAGTTTAGAGAAAAATATTTAGCAATCTCGGTGTAATTTGACAACCGAGGAAAAGTTGCTGCGAGTACGGATTCCTCGAATTGGACGAGCTCAAAGGCGGTATTTGTTGTCATGGAAGCATTCATGAGGCTAGTCCTGCCATCCCGATAGCCCACCCAAACTTTTTGAAGACGGCTCCTAAGTTCCTCAAGGAGACCGAAAAAGTCAGAAAGTGCGAGCAGAGAGTCATCCGTGTTGTTTTCCCCACTTCCGGGTGTATCGTAGGAATGCGCGGCTGAGTACTCAGCGTAAGAAATGTCGAGAATGCGATCGCTTACTGGATCTTCCAGTGACCCGAGCTCCCCGTTGGTTTCAGTGTAATTGTCTTGTGCACCATCAAACGCCAGGACCGGAATCTGTGATTCCACTATTGGTACAGGAGCTCGAGCTTCGAGAATCCGTATTGTATCCGCCAAGACATTGTTAAAATAGACATGTTTTTCCGTTGCTCGTCGGACTGATTCTATGTGAATCTCGGCGTTTTGCCAACGCGTGGTGAGTTTCCGCCGAATTTTCAGAGTGTCATAGAGACATGGCAGAATCCATGGGGGTATCTCGCATTCCGATTTGGCAATGACAGCGGCCTGCGCTAGGTAGTGGTGCGATTTCAAAGGACGCGCAGTCACGTATTCGATGCTGTTGTAGTCAACAGGCTGCTGCAGGGCCTCCCTGGCCCCATGAAAGTTGTCGAGGTAACGTGAATTGATATGATCAACGGTGCCAAGTAACCAGTTGACAGACCTCCGGTTCTCGATCTTAGATTTCCAATAGATGCTGAACGGTGGGAGTGACATATGGTACAATGTATGCCGTTTACATAAAATATGTGATAAGAATATAGATCACCAGAGGTAGTGGTGGTGGTGGTGGTTTGTTAATTAGTGCATGCTAAGCAATAGTAGTTCAGGCTCAAAACATGCCGGGGAACGGTATTTAATGGGTTTCCATGGCACATGGTTCTCGTGACGCTTACGTGCCATGGTTGATGTTAATTTGCGGACTAACCGAGGGGCAAGGAACACAACCTAAGGACGAAGCCACTGCAATTGCAATATCCGGAAAAGAATGTCATTGGACAGAAGGGATATATAGGTGAAAAGATAACAATTCCAACTATATTTGAAAAAGTCGAAAGAGTACCGGGACCGACCGCTCCAAACCATATCTGACTAAAACAAGGGAGTCCCTACCCGAGGAGCCCATGCCGCAGAATGATTAAGAAAGAAACGTGAGCTAAGGAAGATGAAGGACAATCGCGAGCATGCTAACGAATCAATATATGGGAATCGAAGTTGAGGAGTAGTAACAGACGCTGACAGCGATGAAATTAGACCGAATCTTGATAGAAAATGATCCTGATGCCAGGAGAACACGGAAAACTCATAGAGGCATAATATAAGGCAAAGGCCCGGCGGGAACAATCGCATGCGGGCCCCCAAAAGCCCTGGTGTATCCACCCTTGATCTGAGCGGGATTAGCCCAAACATTTTGTAACAAGCAAAGACTCAGGAACTTACGATATCAAACTTTGTCGTATTCTTGAAGGCACCTCCCTTTGTCCTATCACTCTCGTCCCAATACAGTCGTCTTAACCAAGCGTGCAGATTTGGGTAATCTTGGCGGATCATTTTGACGTTACACTTGAAGATTGTGTAGTATGCACAATCGAAGCGAACAATTGACGTGAAGAGACGGATGTCGGGTTCCGTGATATGCTCACCAAACAAATATGGCGAATGCCCGGGCTCTCCGAGGTACACTTCCAGCCGGTCAAGGGCATTGAACAGTTTCCAGACATTTTCGTCATACACCTGCTGCGAAGTAGCAAAGCCGATCCGGTAGACTCCGTTGTTGACCGTGTCAAACACCCAGTTGTTGAAGGCATCAATCTCCTTGATCAGGTGTGGCGGCCGAAATCCTCCGTCTTGTTTGTTGCTCTCGCGGTCTTGGAGAGGCAGGAATTCGTCGAAGGCGTAGTATAGAAAGCTTATGATGTCACTGCTCTCGTTGTTCACAATCGTTTCTTATATCACTGTCAGCCAATCGAGCATGCAAACTGGCAAAAGATGGCTGACCATTTTTGAGATCCCAAAGTACTGGAACTGTGATTCTCCCGTTGTAGTGCGGTTCGGCTCTGAGATAGAGGTCCCGCAGATACTTGACTCCATAATATGGATCTCTATCTGGGCCTCGTACTCCTGTGAACTCCCAGCCCCTCACTGGATCTTTGCCGTCCAGCTCAACCAGGCCGATGATGTTATCCAGTCCCTTCAGCGCGCGAACTATCAAAGCTCTTTGTGCCCATGGACATCCATAATGAAAATAAAGGACATATCGGTCCCTTTCTGCCGGGAATTGCTCGGAAGGAATAGTATGTCGAAAGGTGATTGCAGGGCGGTGGTGAGCGGTGTCGCCGTTTGCGGATCGTCTGGGGCTGCTGGTCTGGAATATCAATAAGCATGTGTAATAGAATAGACATATAGAGGACTTTGGCATACTGAGTGTACCGTCATTGCTCTGATTCGTCGGTCTGACCTCCTTTGTTCCTGTGTTAGTAGTCCACGAAGATCGCAGGGTCAGTCTTTATAGGTCTTCCATGCGCAATACGACATGTGTGCGGCGATATCATGGACAAAGGTCCCCGCTTCATGATTACAAAACAATCGAAACACGGCAGCAGCGCCATTCCTGATTACTCGTTAGTGTCCGCGGCGCATTCCTAATGCGATCCACCGCTCGGGGGCCCGAATTGCACTCTGGTATTCGCCTCGCGGAATCATGCCTGACATATAGAGGGTGGGGAGACGCGGATCGGATTTGAATGGAGAGGCGACAGCCTTATTAATCCAAAGCTGCAGGGGCTGGCGCCCTAGTTAATCCTGCCAAGGACTGACTAACGTGATGACGGACCGATCCAAAGTCCGCGAGACCTCCAACGTTGGGTCATTGCTGTCAAGACCACAGGAAAACACACAATTTGCAACGGCGCTGCAAAATTATCTCTCTGTTCTCATCGGCATTTCTTCCATCGGAACACCTCCGCAGGTCCACGAGGACATTGCAAGAATGTGAATACAACCTTAGGAAGCCCCATAGCCGTCATCAATCCGATTAGAGAGATAATCAAGCTTCAAACCTGCACCTCGAGAACTATCTCTAGCACTGGCTAGCATGGCAAGGTCGAGCTCATGCCCGAGCTCCCCTTTCAGCGGCTATTCCCAAAATCTTACGATATGCGGCTTCAGGTTGAAGGGCCTTGAACTTTTCAGTGTCAACTCCCTCTATTCACAAGCCAATATCAAAATCAAATCAACCGCAAGTGGGAAAGCCCGATTCCAGGGTTGAATACCCAAGGAGGGCCACGTTAGACTCTTCACACCACCAGTAGGCGCGCTGGCCAGGGGCTCTAGCCATATTATATTTAACGCGGTTTGATTGACGCTGGAAGATACCACGGCGTCTAGGCCTCGCCCAGCCGAGTTGGTGCCGGTGAAGGTGTTCCAGCTCAGACATACACTTTTATTTGTGTTATTCGTACGCCCATATCCCGCTAATTAGACACACAGACCTACTATTGAAACACAGATGCGCTGTCATCTCTTGTAGTGGACCACCTCATACGAGAAAATTCCCCGACACGGTATCAATATACTAATCACTCCCAGAGCGAGTCGAGCCCCCACCAAAGCGCAGAACAAAATGACAAAACAGTTCGGACACCCTACTACCACTGCGCTACCATACAATGGAGTCGCAATCTTTTATGGGATCGTGGAATGCCGTACGTCTGTCTCTATAGGTTAGTATTGGAGGACTTCAAAGATAGCATAAAATATAAGGATACCCAGGTAGTCGGGCCACGATCCTGCGTTTGCTGCGGTCTTGGCGGAGATTTACACGCAACCGAAAGACACCACCATCAGACACACGAGGCAAGTCAATCGACGCTGTCGCTGCTACAGTCTCAAGAAATAACGTGCTAGATCTTTTCTCTTCTGTGTTAGGGTCTTGGTGGCTAGAAACTCTGACTTGCGCCGCGCTCCACGATTCATCTACCCGCTACCCATTCCCTCTCTCATACGTAGTCTAATGGACATATCCTGCTGCTAGCAACGCTTCGAGCGGCATCTGGCCTCTTGTGACGCACTCTCATGCAATATCGCAAGCCCCTGCACCCTCGGCGCCCTCGGCCTGCAGCATAGTTACCCAGCGCCTGAATGCACTGCAAAATCTTACCACCACCTCACCGATTCTCACTTCGTAGTAGGTAGTATTGCTGCGGTATTGGTATGAGGCTGTTCCATGCCAGACGCCCCTTATCCTCTCCTACTAATGCCATGGCAATGTTACCTACGACAGAGTCCCGCTCCATCAGCAAGATGACCTCCAAGTAACTGCGTTAGACGTCACCCACCACCTAAGTCGTCAGACGAACGCCGCTCTCCGCGGAGGTGGTAGTGCAGAGCAACTAAACCCCAACGCACGAGCACTGCACCCGCTGTGGTGGTAGATAGAGACGTCGCCTGATCCTGACACTCTTTCTAGGTAGCGAGGGTCCTATGGGAGAGCTCCTCGCAGCGAGCGCTGGTGGTCCGACGAGACCAGCCGCAGGAGGGAGGGCGCGTATGGAGCGACAGTGGGGTAGTCAGGAGGCACAGCTGGCAGTATTGTGATGCGTTTCCCGGATTCGGTAGCACACATTTCTGATAAGTAATCACCATCATCGGCACCGGCACTACTCGTACACACCCATCTGCAAATCTCGCGCATACAATCCCCACTCGATACTTCCCCCCCGCAATCGTTCCCGTGTCGTCACCTCGCTTTTAATTCGCCCACATAACCTCACTCAGCTGCAACAAACAATCCCCCTCTGCGCGCTTCGCCTGCATCGCCACCTCGCGCCGTTCGCTCCCCAGCGCCTCCGAGTAGCACAGCTCGACCAGCCCCTTCAGTTCCTCGTAACTATACCCTAGCTCTTCGTTGTTTGTCTCCTTCGCACGCTTGATGATCGCGTCCGGCCCCGCGGTGAAGAAGTCGAAGTAGGCGGCGGAGCGGGGTAGGAGGGCGAGAGCCTCGATGTTCTTCAGGTTTTGCTGGAGGACTAGGATGTTGAGCTGCATGCGGCCGCAGCCGGCGGCGTTCATGCGCTTGATGTTGTGAGAGGAGAGGTGTAGAAGCGCCGTATCCATTAAGGTGGCGAGGTGGGTGGTTATGAGGCTAGTGGTTTGTGGTTAGGGGTTTTTTGCTTTTTACCAGGGAAGGGAAGGGAGGGAGTGGCGTACAGGTGTTGCGTATCGGGCAAGTGGTTGGAAACCTCCTCATCGAATACGACGAGGTCGCCGTTCAGACTGATTATGTCGGGGTCGGGGTCGTTGACGACTTGTTCGAGGAGGTAGTCTTCTTTGATGGAGAGGCGGAGCTGGTGTAGGACGCGGCAGCGGATTTCAAGGTGCAGACAGCGCAGGACTGTTGCGGCGAGCTGTTGGTAAGAGTTCACGACGCTGTCGAATTCACTGTAAGGAGTTAATGTTGCGCTTCGAGTGAAAATAGGGTATTGCGTACGTTGCGGTTTCTTCATTGAGGGGAAGGTAGACGGCTGCTCCTTCGGAGCGAGGCTCGGTTGACTGGACCATTGTCCAGCGTCGATTGTGCTTGGGTTTGCCAGACTCTCGCCGTGAAGAGTCGGTGGCTCGGTCGCTGATTAGTCGTAAGTGGGCGACCTTGCTTGCTAGCCACTTCATGCTGGTGTGTAGTAAACAAAGGCTAGCAATGTTTTTCCTATCCAGGATCAGATCGTATTCCTCGAGCGGTTCTGTGTCCGTCTCAGAAATAAGGAGAGAGATTTCCTTCTCCAGACGTTCCTGGGTAGGAACAGAGAACAGAGAGGAGACTATCTCTGAAAGTTCTCCATTCTCTGCAAATGATGCGGACGCCTTGAGTCGCCTTCCTGTTTGCGCCTTGGCCTGACTTCTAGTGACCAAGGCTTTGTACCAGCCGCAGCACTTGTCATAATATGTGACCATTTGAGTGATGATCAGTTGGCTGAAGGCTTGATCATGAGGCAGATTGTCCAGCATTTTGCAGAAGGCGGTAATCAGCGCGAAGAATTTGATAGCACCCTTTGGAATTTAGTAGTGTTTCATCGTGTCGAGAAAGTTTTTTGATAGGTACCTGGAAGATCGGCTTCTTTGAGTGTTGTGCCCAATGTCCTTCCTGCTGGAAGGCGTCTAGCTCGATGAAGGTTTGTGCGCATAGATCGACAAGCGTCTCATCTAGTTGCGGGTGGAATACGTTCACCAGGAAGTCATCTAAGAATGATGTCAAAGTACTCATGACTATGTCTGAGCTCGGTGGGACAACTTCCTTCAGGCGATTGAGGAAGTCTAGAGACGGAGGAAGAAGAATTCCCATGTTGAAAACGCTCGGCTCAACGAGCAATTTGTGCCCTGTAGCACTGCCATCATGCATCGTACTGTTATTAGCGTCAGAGATCCCGTCTGGCCTTTTCGAATCAGATACCAGCCCAGGAACGGAAGACTTCAGAATGAACTCAAGATCATCTCTTTCCGTAGCCAGCTCCGTCGACTTGACGTCCATGTCGGATAGTTTAAACATCCTCTTTGACCGATCACGTGGATTCTTCTGAAAAACACTGCCACTAGAAGTCTGGCCTTGGCCAGATCGGTAGGCAAGATCTCCATCCGTTGCGAGATAGTCATGCAGAAGAGAGCGCATCTAGTTGGTCAGGTAAGCAACAGCCTCTCCCGTCAGAGTGGCACACATACCTCGCTTTGGTAAAGCTTCCACAGTTCCTTGAAGCCTCTCGTCAAGGTACCGGCATCGTGGAATCCTTCGCGGCGTGATATTCCAGCTACAACATCATGAACAACGCGATGGCCCTCTGCGATAGCTTCGAACCTTGCATATAATGTCCAAAGAAGATCATTCAGCAACGTTGTTCGGGCCGTATCGCTCTCGATGATGACATCTGCCTTCCCACGGGCCTTGTTCGCATATGCACGAAGTGTGCTTGGGTGACGCTGTGCGACTTCGTTGTTCGATTTCTCTACGACCTTGAATAATTCAACGGGCAAGCGTTGTTCAATGGTGTCGATCGCAATTTCAAGGCGATTCATCTTGTTCAACGCTTCTACTATGAGTTGGATATAATGAAAGGTATCAGCTTCGGGGTTGCGCGATGAATCGTCTGTCATCTGTTGAGCATCAGCTAGCGCTCATGGTAGAAGGCGAGATTGTACAAACTGCCGCAGAGGTGTCCAAAGCGTCGAGAAAGTTATAGAGGGACCGGCCTTGCGAATCTAAAGCATGTTAGCCTTTAGACCAGGGTACTAGAGAGCGTCCGTACCAATAATGGGGGCCCCGCTGGCCGATTCCGTCTTGGCTTGGTTGTGTGAGTAGACCTTCCAGCGGTCTTCACAGTATGGCGATTTGAGGTAGAGGTGGCTGTGCAGCTCTTCAATCAAGATATCGGTCAAAGACTACTATATGTTAGTGAAGTCTTATCTTCGTTCTTAGAAGCAGACGTACATGTTCTTGATTGCTAAGATATATACGTAGGTCACTGAGTGCCCCGATGCCCTCCATCTCTGACTTGCGAATCATTTTTAAAGCATCCTGTAAGATCTCTACGGCTGTGAGGAATCGCTTTTCTGATATTCGGGCCTCCAGTTTCCCGGGAACAACTTGTAATTGCTCACTATGGGTTGTCAGCGCCCGTTCGGAAGGTCTTCAGTCTGGAAAGGAGGACGTGCATTGTGTTCAGCACCTGTATCATGCCATCGTAATTTTGAGACGAGGTCGCATAGTCCTTCAGCTCTGGCTTCGTCGTCGACAAGTGCGACTTGGCCTGGATGAGGGAGGCTTTGAGGGTTCTAACGCGAGTTTGTGACATCTGCAGGCTCGACTGAATCTTATGGAATGTGCCGATGGAGCTGTTGAAGCCCTGATGATGCTCTGAGTTGACTGGTTAGCCACCAATCCGGGCGCAGGGGAAACTCAATTACCATTCACTATTGCCTTCAATGAGCTTTGCAGCCGTTGATGTGTCTCCCGAAACATGTCGTATCGGCTAGCAAGACCAAGGGAGCTGGAGTCAAGCAACTTGAGGGAGATCTGCACAGGCACGCATTTGTCGTCGGTCATGAACTCCCAGTCTCGTTTTATATACTCTAGGACGTCTGATACCTATTAGTATCGCTAGATCAAGGCAGAGAGCAGTTCGCCCTTGAAGTCCGGGCTTGACCTCAGCACAGGCTGTCGATAGCAGCATCACTGACCCTGAATCTGCTGGTCAGCCGAACGGCCACCGCCTGGACGACTCCTGCTCCGACTGCGATTGCCCCATTGCCTGTCCCCGCTCCTTCGATGTGCTTGGGTCCGCTCCAGGCTGGTTGGCCTGGCCACAGCAGGGTCCTCCGGGGAAGGGTTACGGTTGAAGCCCCCGTAGCCACCAGCACGTCGGTCTCGATTCTGATCGGGTCTATTCTGGGGAGGCGCCTCGCTGTCTGGCTGCTCGTACTGTCTAGCAGTGCCCTCATCGTAGTATCCGTTCGTGTATCCTCCCGAGCCATTGGCGCCAGGCCGGTGTGGAGGGCGTCGTGACATGGTGTTGCTGTCAGCGGTTGTCGCAAAGTCTGAGAGATAGCACCGGGCAGCTCATATTGCGCAGCTACGTAGCCTGCTTCCAATCGTTTTCTGCTATCGCAGTCGGTGGTGCGCGGTAATCGTCTTTAATTTCTGAACAGCTGTACTGAAGCTGCGGTCATGTTACTCGCGTTGCGGGAGTCTGCTGCAAACCAGGCAAACACCGCACAATGGGCCGACGATCTGCCGGCTTGGCAGCATGTTTGGAGGTCGCGATGCATTTCACCTCACTTTCTTTCTCTCTTTGAACCTCAATTCCACCGCCTTCACGCCAGACGCTCCGGCATGAGAGAGCGCCTCACGATCCTTTAGGGGCTATTGTTGCCTCTCGCTCACCACCACTCCATCTCCAGCCTTGCCTGCGCCAGCTGCGACAGCTCCACCATGGCGACCTACCAAAACGGGATCACGAACGGCATCAACGGCCATGGCCCCTCCTCTCACCCGATGCGCTTCTCCGATGTCCCCAAGGCCATATCTGTGGCTGTTGCCGAGGACGAAGGCCCCATCGAAGTCGAAATTTCTCTGGACGATGATATCCAAGACGACCCGACCGAGCTATGCACACTCCTAGAAAACGAGACCGCGGCAAAGAACATGTGGATGATCGTCGCGCTTGGGTATGCAAAGCAACGCAAAGTTGATGTCGCTGTCGAGGTCTTGACGAAGGCGCTGGCGGCGCTGGCAAGAGGACGGCCGGATGACCGACTCAGTGTCTTGAACGCGCTCTGCTGGATGTACCTCCTGAAATGTCGCGAGGCACCGAGGATCAAGCCAGGTATGCGACTACTTCTAGCGTAATACTGTCTCCAGTCCATTGCTGGAGGTTAGAATCAGCACTTACTAATTGCCTCTAGACAATCAACTTGCCTCTGAAGCGCGTACCAAGGACTTCTACATTCAAGCGGCTACCAGTACCTTGAACGACGCCTCTCGGATCAGCCCTTCATACCCTCCTCTCTTTCTAGCCCGCGGCGTCTTATACCTCCTCAGGTCATCTCTTCAGTCGTCGAAGTCTGGATCGGCTTCCCAAATCAGTGCTGAGCGCATCGAAACCCTCAAGCAAGCAGATAAATGCTTCGGAGACGCGCTTCGAGCCTCCGGCCACAAGAACATCATGGCCTTCATGGGCAAAGCTAGGGTGCAATACTCTCTGGGTAAATACGGTGAAGCCCTAAAGCTGTACCAAGGCGTGCTGGAGAAGGCGCCCGACGTAATCGATCCTGATCCTCGCATTGGAATTGGGTGCTGTTTCTGGCAATTGGGACACAAGGACGATGCCCAACGCGCATGGGAACGAGCTATGGAGCTGAACCCGAAATCGAAGATTGCGCTCATCTTGTTGGGGTTGTACAATTTCCATCGCAGTTCGCAATACTCGACCTCCGACCCCAACTTCGCCGAGCCCTACAGAAAGGCAATAACCCAATATACTGTTCCGGCGTTTAAGATGGATAACAAACTTCCGCTAACATGTGCTACCCTTGGCGGATATTACATGATGAAGAGAATGATGGACAAGGTTGAATCGCTAGCGCGAAGGGCCATTGAGCTTACCGACGTGAATGCCATTGCCAGTGATGGATGGTATTTGCTTGCGCGTAAAGAACACTCCAATGACGATATCGCCAAGGCTTACGACTATTATTCGAAGTCGGATCAGGCTCGCGGGGGTGATGAGCGTGGTTATATTCCCGCCAAGTTTGGATCCGCGCAGATTCGGGTCCTTATGCAAGACTACGATGGCGCAAAGTTCCGCCTAGAGAAGATCGTACAGCAGGCTAAGATCCCCGAGGCGCAAACTCTCCTAGGAACGCTCTACGCTGAAGACGTCTTTTCCGCGCAGTCAGCAAAGTCCAAGGAAGAGAAGTCCAATGAGATGAAGAAGGCCCTGACATATCTTGAAGCTGTCCGCTTGGCTTGGGCAGATCCCAAAAAAAATTTGTCAGCTGACTCGTCCGTCCTTCTCAATCTCGCCAGATTGTACGAAATCGACCATCCCGACAAGAGTTTGAAATGCCTGGAACAAGTTGAGCAAATGGAGATTGACGACATCCCCGACGAAGACAAACCTCAAGGCATTGACGATGAGGCTGAATATAACGCTGCCCTGCGCGAGTCTCTCCCGCCTCAGCTGCTCAACAACATGGGATGCTTCCATTACCAGTCAGAGAAGTATGGTCGTGCTCGTGAGTTGTTCCAAACCGCTTTGAATGCTTGTGTCAAAGCAGGCGACAAGGACCAGTCAATCGATACCGACGCGCTTGTCACGACTATCAGCTATAACCTAGCGCGAACCTATGAGGCAGAGGGGATGCCTAACGAAGCGAAGCAAGTCTACGAAGGCTTACTTGATCGACATAGCGACTACACGGACGCTGTCACTCGACTTGCATACATCGCGTTACGGCAAAGCCCGGGCGACGAAGGCCCGAAAGCGATTCAGAAACTGTACCGCGAAGAGCCTTCCAATCTCGAGGTCCGCGCTCTCTATGGCTGGTATCTAAGCAAGGCTAAGAAACGGACACCGAACTTCGGTGAGGATCAGGAGCAACGTCACTATAAGCATACTCTGCAAAGCTTCGACAAGCATGACCGGTACTCACTGACAGGCATGGGCAATGTCTATCTGACGATCGCTCGTGAGATGAGGAGAGATACTGAGCAAGACAAGGACAAGCGGCGAAACATGTATTCCAAGGCGGTTGAGATCTTCGACAAAGCTCTGCAACTCGATCCTCGCAATGCCTACGCAGCTCAAGGTATTGCTATAGCTCTTGTCGAAGACAAGAAGGACTATGCTACCGCACTGCAAATCTTCACGAAGGTCCGAGAGACGATGAAAGAAGCCAGCGTCTTCATCAACCTTGGACATACATATTGCGAAGTCAAGCAGTACGCCCGCGCCATCGAAAACGTAAGTTACTGATCTCTCAAAACGTAATCTGTGTATTAACAATGTATAGTATGAAGCTGCTTTGTCAAAAGACCGTGCTAGGGATCCTCAGATTCTAGCTTGTCTCGGTCGCGTGTGGCTGCTACGTGGAAAACACGATAAGAACATCAAGGCAATGAAGACTTCACTGGAATACTCTCAACGTGTAAAAGTCAAGATTCCTTTGTTACAAGATCTATCTTACTAATTCTCTCAGGCCCTCGAAGTCGCTCCAGAACAAGTTCACTTCAAGTTCAACGTCGCATTCGTCCAGTTCCAAATCGCACAGCTGGTCATCAATTTACAAGAATCGCAACGAACGCTCGAAGAAGTCGAGGCGGCATCCACTGGTCTAGATCAGGCCATTGAGTCTTTCAGCGCTATTGCCCAATCTCCCAATCCGCCTTTCCCTAAACATGACATTGAGCAGCGCGCTAATATGGGTCGCAACACAATGCGTCGCCAGATTGAGCGTACTCTCCAGCAACAGAGAGAGTACGAGCAGAAGAACGCAGACCGACTTAAGCAAGCTCGAGGAGTGCGGGAAGCGGAAATGAAGAAGAGAGAGGAAGAGAAGCGCAAGGCAGAGGAAGCGAAGGCTGAGGAGAGACGCAAGGTGGCCGAACAGCGACAAAAGATGGAGGAGCGCGACCGAGAGTACATTGAGAGGCGAAAGGAAGAAGAGAAGAGGCGACAAGAGTTTGTTGCGCAGGATGAAGTTCGCAAGGGTGAGAGAGGCAAAGGCAGGCGAGGTGGAAAGAGGAAGAAGAAGGGCGACGCCTCAGACTCGGACACCGAGGGTGGTGACACCGACGCTGGTGCTCGTAGGTCTAGACAGCGGAGCGCCATGACGTCGGCTACACCAGATACCCAGGATGAGCGACCTCGACAAAAGAAGCGCAAATTGGAGCGGAAATCCAAGATTGCCAGCAAATTCAAATCTGACGAAGTCATTGTCGACAGCGGCAGCGAGGACAATGCGGACGTGGCTGGCGGTTCTGGGAAAGCCGGCATTGGGTCCGACCAAGAACAGTCTGCTGCTCGACCCCGAAAGGCAGCCCGTATCATTGATGACGATGACGATGAGGACGAGGATGCGGGGGTGACCAAACCTACCGGCCGTGCAGCGTCGGATGAAGACGAAGAAATGGTAGAGGCCCCGGCAGAGAACGGTGGGAATGCTGGTGGAGAATCGGAGTCAGAATGATTGGTTCTCTGGCACTCCAGGTTTGCCCATTTCTTTACTTTGTCTCTGAGCATTAGCCATCGGCGCAACCGGCATGGTTTGATTTGGCGGGGCATGGCATCTTGTTCCAACAGGTGGAATAAGCGATATCAAGGTAGCCTCCTTTACATTTGTAGGATAACTTTTGAGCGCCAAATACGAGAAAGTTTTCACACAGTATGCCTATCGCATACCTAGTTATTGGCATTTTCACTTTCGGAGTACAACTTGAGGGATTTTTGACTTGACGTTGATGTAGGCGTGGTGGAAGGAGGTTTTTCTCCGACAAAGTGGTGAGATCAAGTTCCACGGTTCCCTGCCTCCTTTCCTCAATAACTCCGCTCGGCTGACAATTTTAAACAGGAAAGTGGTAAAACAAACTGTAAATAATATGATCTCGAATTGCCCATACGTATATACTCTTGACAAGTACCCACTTCAACCTTTACAGAATGGAGATGTTCCCGACTTGACACACCCGTGGATCAGCAACGCCCGGTGGGGCCCTGCCAAAAGCACCCATTGGTGCACGCTGAGAGTGTCCAGCAACGAACAATCTATTGTTAGTCAGGGCGAGAGGGTAAGAACTCAATCTTTGAGCTATTACGACAAAATGACAGACGATGCATCTATCAGCAAAAGCGCTGTTTAAGACAGAGCTAATAACTTTCCAGTGTGCTGCATAACAATTTTATTGTCGAGGTCATTGATGAATGTCTCGCTGCTAGCTAGTTCTATCAGGCATGCCTACGAGAATAATTGCCTGCACTCATTAGAACGCTCTCGGAAATTCCAGCGCTTACCCAAAAATACCGCCCATTATACACTTTTGGCAACAGAGAGTTTCACGCAAGTACACGTAGCCTTCCCGCAACGACTCATCTCGCCTGAGCAATTCCATGGCGTTAGGGTCCACCACCAGTCTCATGGACATTCTTTTACACATTCAGTTCTTCATATATTCTTCATTTGCTTGGTAGAGGATTAAAACAACGAGATTCTGGCCACATACACCATAAATGGCACCCCTCGATCTTCGTCCCTCCAAGAACTTTTTACTCGTTTTGGCGTCCTAAAAGCTCCCCAGAAGCCTGCTGCATCTCTTACAGCGCCTTCTTGCAACATGGTGAACGGAAAGAGGTGGGCTCTCAGCAGCCTCCTAGCGATCTCTGCATCGGTAAGTCTTGCTTTTCTTCACCTTTGCGTGCGTACGCGCGACACGTTGCTGTCGATTGACTCGACGGCCGTCTTGCATTATCACAAGGGCGGTGCCTTTGAACCTCATTGTCTCGCGGGTGGTTCACAACTTGCTCGCCCTCGCAGCAGATAGTGCTAGAAGCCCAGCTCGCTGCGCTGATCTCCTTCAGTCTCTACTCTCTCCTTCTCCCTCGCATAGTGCTAATCGACTCTAGATTGGCCCAGCCAGCGCCAGCAAGCAATTCTCCAGCGCCGCCACTACTGCGGCCCCGGAGGCCTACACTCAGAGGTACTACGGCGCCGCAGGCATGCCGGCTGCCCAGCAGGCGTGGGGTGTCACATCAGCCCCAAGCTACGAGAAGCATGGCCAGTCTACCTGTTCCGAAGCCAGGACGCCCACTACCCATTACCAGGAGCGTAGGAACGGGTGTTCGCATGGAGGACCTGTGAACGAAACCTCACATGGAAAACTTGGGAACTGCTGCTCGCATGAAGGACATTTAAACGTAACTTCGCATGGAAATCATGGGAACGTAACTTCGCATAGAGGACATAAGAGCTGGTGCTCGCATGAAGGACATAGCAACGTATCTTGGCATGGAGGACATGGGAACGGATCTTCGCATAGAGGACATGGAGGACCATGTTGTGGAGGACCAAGTTGCCGCTCAGGCTGTGGTCCTGGGGGGCACGGCCCTGGCGGTCCTGGAGGTCCTGGCGGTGAAGGCCCTGGGGGCGATGGTCCTGGGGGTGGTAATCCTCCCGTCACAACCATCAACTCCGCCACAACCTCCACTACCGTCACTACCTCGTCTTCGCCCAATTACGCATTTCCTGTTCCGCTGGGAGACAACACCAACATCAGCTGCCCTAAGGATAACGCCACGTGCTACCAGACAGGTAGTGGTCAGAGATACGTTATTCTCTGCAACGTTGACATATATGGCCACGACTTCGAATTAGCCAATTATCAAACCTTCAACGAGTGTCTCCAAGATAACGATACCGAAAGCGAGGATTGTAAGGCTGTTACGTTCGTCCCAGGTGCCACTAAGATGGGTACTTGCCATAGCAAGGAAATGGTTCAAGGAAAGGCCAGTGGACCAGATCACTGGAGTGCCGTGCAAGTGGACAGGTGCCCGGCTCTGGACACCTACCCCTCGAGTGCAACGGTCCATCCCGCAGGTCGCTTTTATTCCACCTCTCCTGCCGGAGCCTCGACCTCTTCGACCACCTCAAACGTTTTTTCTTCCACCTCTCCTGCCAGAGCCTCGACCCCCTCTTCGACCACCTTAGAGACCACCTTAGACCGCTCTTCTTCCACCTCTCCTGCGGGAGGCTTAACCCCCTCTTCGACCACCTCAGACCGCTCTTCTTCTACTCCTTCGCCCGGAGCCTTAACCTCCTCTTCACCCACTACTTTGTTTACCTCTTTAGTCAGAGGTTCGACTGCCTCTTCGCCCCACGGTCCAGGCGGTGCATGGGGCACTTCGACTGCCTCTTCGCCCTACGTTTCAGGCGGTGCGTGGGGCACCACCGTAGCCACAGGCCCCTCCGGTAATGCTATCCCCCTTTCTTTAAATAATCAAGCCGAGATCAGCTGCTCCCAGAACCACCTCACTTGCTATCAAGCAAAGAGTGGGAATCACTATGTGATTATCTGCAATATAAACTTGTACGGCGGGACTACCAGTCTTACAGCTATACAAGTGTCAGCGAGTGTCTCTTAGACTGTGATCTCGAAAGCGTTGATCGTACAGATCTAACGGACGTCCCAGGCTACACCCATGATACCGGCGGCTACTATACCAAAGATGTTCACAAGCCACGGGTCAGTGGAAACACAGACTGGAGTGCCGGGCAAGTGGACAAGTTCCCGCCCCCGCACAATTATAACTCCGGTATAGACAAGCACGGCGCCGCCCAAAAATTTGCCGCCAGGTCGCTCCCGCCCTACACTCCCTGGACAGCTACCACCACAACAGCATGGGATGGCGAGTCAGTTCGGCAAAAGTATACAAGCTCCCCCACCGTTTCCAAGACCGAGGCACCGGAACCAGGAGAGACTCTGACCAAACACTGGTTTTGTGAGGACAGTGACTCGTGGGCCGGCTCCGGCAACGACGGATGCTGGGAATCGGACGATGGCGAGATCTACGTCATCTCCTGCGGCATTGGTTTCCCCGCTAGTGACATCGTTGATGGGACATATGACAACATCTCCCGGGACCAATGTTTTACGAAGTGCGACGAAGATAGGGAATGTAAATTGTTTACGTTCGTTCCAGGAAAGCAAGCCAAAGACCAGAAATCCGGGCCTAATGGCACCTGCTACACCAAGTGGAAACAAAACCCGCCAACCCAAGACACTGCTGTCTGGAGCGGTGCGAAGGTCAATAAATGTTCTCTATCCGACAACACCTATGAACTGGGTGAAAAAAAATACCAGGGCTCGGCGGACGGTGCTGTCTTGCTACCACTTTGGTACAATATCTGCAATCCAAGGAAATCAGACTTTAGCATCGGGAAGGGCGGATGTTATCAGACGGATGATGGCAAATTCTACAACGTCTCCTGTGGCTTTGAGTTGAGTAGCAGTGAACACCTTACCTCATTCGACTTCCAAACGAGTGGCGAATGTGTACAAGACTGTGTTCTCGACGCCAACTGTATGGGCTTCACGTACCACCCAGGCAATGGGGATGAGGGCAATTGCATTTTAAAGGGCATGAAGGATAGTCTCTCACCGCCGATTGAAAACCCCAATGTCTGGAGTGGCGTGTCCGTCGAAAATTGTTCTGTTAACCACTCTCCCCTCCTCCCTAATCCTGACATCGCCAAATCAGCCGTTTCGGGCGCCACCTCGTTGTCTTCGTCAGCACCAACCAGGACTAAACTCTTTCGGCGTGGTGCCTCATCGACGAGTTCGTCTACCATTAAAGTGGCTGCCGAACCTAGAGTGTCAGCCACCTCATTGAAAACGCACAAGACCCCACTAACCTGCCCCGAGGCCAACGGAAAATGCTACAAGAGCGAGGAAAGCCACCTCTACACCGTCCTCTGCGGCCGCGACTTCGTGTCCACCTACGAAAAAGACAAGAAGTCGTCTGAAGTAAAAAGCATGAACGAGTGTATCTCCGAATGCGACCAAAAGCTCAAAAACCTAGACGAAGTCTGCGGCGCCTTGACCTTCACCTTCAACGTCAGCGCACCCGAGACCGGCGCCAGTTGCTTGACCAAGAACAGGGACGTTAGTAGAAAAGAACCCGAGTACGAGCTGCCTCCCATAGCCGACTCCCCTAGGAGTGCAGTCGCCATCAGGGTGAAGGATTGCCCGCTCATATCCGACGTGGAAAAGGGCAACTGGGGGATCTCTGGTAAGGACGGCGTCATCTTTGTAGACCCGTTTTTCCCCCACTTGAACTTCTCTGATGTGCGGAACACGACTAGCAAGTGCTGGAAGAGAGTGGGGGATTCGCATGTCTCGGTCCAGGTATGCTAGACTGCCTGTGCGACGAATAGAGCAGGGCCGCTGTCGAGTGGTACCCTCACTTTCAAATCGACACCGGATGTCGGGCTGCTCCCCTCCCTCATCAGTACCAAACTAATGCCGACGCGTCAAATAACATCCACTCGAAGAGTCGAGAAACAAGGTCAAGTCTTTCTTTGTTTTCTTTTGTGGAGGAGAAGGGGTGTGCTGTTTGGGAGGTATCTTCCGAAAGCACCTACCCCTTTGGGCGCACGGATCGGATCTTAACATATGTGTTCATGCTGTTTGGCTAGATTCTAGATTGCAAAAGTGTTTTCATGCGGTTTTAAGTCTTACTGGGTTTCTAGGTAAGATGTAATATCTTAAGAATCTCTCTAGGTCTGTTGGTTGGTAGAGCACACAAACAAAAGCTTACATATGGTACACGCATCTTTCTGACACGGATTGAAGCCTCTCAACATACTGACAGAGACCTGGTCAAAGACGACGGGCGGCTCGAAAATCCTCCTTCCCGGCGGCGGCAAAACAAATTTGCGAGTCTCCCTTTCTAGCAACTCTTGGCAAACCGCGAGGGGCGCAAAAAGTGTGTAGTACGCAACCCCCCCTCTAACTTAACCACTTGGCCCAGCGGCTTCTCCAAAATCTCTTCAAAAATCCCATCTGGCTAGGCGAGTGACGTCCCAGTGTCAGATCTGAGCTACGACGCGTGCTTGTTGAGCTATCCGTGAAAAGACTCAAACACGGCGGATAGCTCGAAAATCCTCGTTCTCGGCGACGGCGAAACAAAGTTGCGAATGCTCCAAGGTTCTCTTCTGGCATCTCTTGGCAGTGGAGGAGCGCGTCACAGGTTTAATCTATGTACGCCTCTCTGGTTCTTTTTGGAGTGGCCTCGCGAGTTTACCAGTTGTCCAAACTGCTGGACCTCTTGCTGATTTGAAAGTCTGGAGATACCTTGAAGTACTAGAGAATGGCAGGAAAATGTACGGATATAAGGAGGCATTTTACGATGGTCGGGATATTTACTGAGTCCATCACTAGAAGCTACACCAACATACAGTTCTTGAATATAGTTCGAGGCCCCTTTCCGTCATGTGCTCATTTCAGATTATGCACAAAGCCTGAAGCCCATTAGTATAGCTTGCTACTAGAAACTGGTGCCCCAATACCGCAGATTAGCCCAGCCTTATCTCGCTTCCCCAAAGATGACCCATGACCAGCCTATGTATACTTCTCAGGACTGTCCAAGGTGGCTCACCAAGCTTATTGGCGGTTGAAGATGATGTACTTAGGATTCTTGGAAGTGTGTTGGGGCAACTCTAACGGTAGCGAGAATGATGACCCATAGCCAGCTTATTTATACTTCTATGGCACTGTCCGAGGTAGACCGTAGCCTACCAAGTTTACTGAGTGCCCAAAATGATCTACTTGAGATTCGTGAAAGTGTGCTGAGGCACCTCTGACGGTGGCAAGCAAGTGTGCACTCCTATCGGCCCCTTTTTATTGCTCACCCGTCTGATAGCCACCGATTCGCCGTCCCTATCTGTCAGTGAGAAGAAAGATAACGACGTCACAGGTCACACTGCCCCTCAGGCCTATAAGAACTCCCCTCCTTACCTTCCACCTCCACTCCTCACCTCACCTCCAACAACTTCCTTCCTCTACACCACTCTTCAACAGAACTCAACCAAACCAAACACTCTTCCATCATCTACAATCCACTATCACTAGCAATCATGAAGCTCACCACCCTTCTCGTCGCCGGCGCCGCGGTCATCGGCCTCGCCGCCGCGCACCCCGTCAACGAAGCCCGCGACGACTGCAATCACAGCTGGTGCGGTGCTCCGTTCTGCTACCCGGAGTGCGGCCCCAATGGCAAGGAGAAGCGTGACGTTGA